AAAGAAAGTCGTTTAAGACCCTGAGCAGTGCAGTCTCTGTGCAATGTGCCTTCTTAAAACCTGACTGGAATTTTTCACAAATATCATTTGCATGAAAAAACTCTGTCAATTGCAAATACACCACTTTTTCCAGAACCTTTGAAAGGAATGGGAGTTTTGAAATAGGCCTATAATTAGACAGTAGAGGGGTCAAGACTGGGCTTCTTAAGTAGTGGCTGAACAACAGCATGTTTCCAAGATTTTGGAACCACACCAGATGAAAGGCTACTATTAACCATGGTAAGAACCCAAGGACCCACGGAGGAAAAAACCTCCATAAAGAGGCGGGGAGGAATCACATCAGTAGGAGCTGCGTGTTCTCCTGTCCTCTGTCCTCCGGGCCACACGCACACACACGGGACTGTCTAAGCTGTTATTTTCGTTAAGGAGTGTGCACGTACAGCATGCACACCTCATGCACGAGCTTACTTTTGAAGCTGCAGTTACGCGTTAGGACTGAGTGGCGATCGCGAGCATAAAAACTTCAAACTTCCTTACGGTCCCTTTAAGTGTTAATATTTGATGACTAATTTTTACTCTGCACCAAACGCTCATTAACTGGAGACTCATTAATGGTAGAGGACACTAATGACACAGTTTAAAGGGTTACTAGAATAAAAGGGAAGTGCTAAACATTATGCAAAAACCACATGAAAATATATTACAAATTAAAGCTAAAAGGTCAAAAACAAATGAGGTTAAAATATTTTTTCATGCCTCTTAACAAATTTCCAACATGGTATAGCAATATATATATTGTGGAGTTTTTTAAAAAGTACAGTGTGTTTTTTTTTTTTTGCATTTGTCTAAAAACCTCAACCAATACCATGTTTCAGATCAAAAGCATCTATTGGGCCATCCAGTTGTTAGTCTTGCTAAACCGCTGCTCTTCCCTGGGTTCTCCAATAATTACACAAACATGTATTTAGCAACAGAACACCACTGGTGTGAGAGGTTCTTCTCTCAATAATATCAGAGAGAAAGAAACAGCCAGCTGCTACCACTTCAACTAGAGTCCCAAGAAGAAAAACACCATTTGAAGTCATGGACAACGAATGATGTTTGAATGTAGAAAACGGCGACTGGTGTTTAGCACTATCTTGTTTCCTCAGGCATCGCAGGTTTTTGGTTCCAGCAGAGGTTTTGCATTCAAAACCTAGCTTTGTCGCAGATTTACCATAACAGCTTTAAAGGTACACAATGAATCAAATAAAACTCCACAAAATATGCAAAACATAAAAAACTGAAAGATTAATAATTTATACAGATTTTAAAAGAACAAGCCCTATGATTGCCACAAAGTGGAAAACGTTGATAGAGAGAAAAGAAAGAAAATGAGGACAGAGTCATTGAACTGTTTATTAAAAATCGTATTTCCTGTGGGGAAAAAACAAGGATTTTTGATTTAAATGTGGATATGATCTAAAAAATCTGGAATTTTTGTAACATCCTGCATGTTTATTACAATTTACTATGACTTTCAGAATGAACGGGTTTGTATTTTGGCCGCTGCTACCTTTCCTGTCTGTGCCATGTGACAAGAGTGCATTTACAAATTATAAAATAACAGGTTTATAATATATTTTCTGTATATTTTATGCAATAAAAATAAAATAGTGTCTTAGGACATGAAAGACTGTTTTTTCTCATTTGGAACATGTAGGCACTTATATAGAGCAGCATGGACAATTTATCCTTAATGCAATATTAACACAAATATCACCGCAGATTGTTTTTGGCAACCAGATGGATCCCCAATTACCTTAATGGGACAATGTGTATTTTCCCAGGTGATAGAGGGTGGTACATACCTAAATCACTGCAAGCAGGCGGTATTTTTATGTTTGAGTAAGACCTTACCAACGGATGGCCATTAGGGTCAAAAATCCCTGGGAGCGCAACCTTCAGCAAAATGACAAGCACATCAGACTCCCTTTCATCACTGGCAATGAGTGAAGAAGTACATATGTAAAAAAAAAATAATAATAAAAATACACTTATGAATGCTGAAGGTTTTGTAACCATTTGTTACAAATCTGTAATTGCGTTTTGTCTTCACGGGCTTCCGTAGAAGGAAACATCACGTCTAAAATAGCGTCACCCAGGGACTTAGACCCGCTCCCATGTATTTTAGACCTGACCTTTATGGTTATACAGTAATCCCTCGTTTATCGCGGTAGATGCGTTCCAGACCTGGCCGCGATAGGTGAAAATCCGCGAAGTAGGGACTCCCAGCATGCCCCTCGCGGGGATTCCCTCCACGTCGCATCTACGTCACAAACCGCGGCTATAAACGGAAGTCGCCTTTCCAGCTCACCACTCAAGTCATTGTTTCTTCAGATTCATGATCAGTTTCCAACCTACCGATCAATCCAACGAACTATCAGCTCATAGTAAGTTATCTTACTTACTTCTGGAAAGCCCGGCATTTCCGTGTCACTTCGTTGACGCTCGAACGCTCGGGGGTTTCCTAGATCAGCCGGCGTTTCACCGACGCTATCACTTCCGCGTCTGTGAAACCATACTCCCTATTGAATTATCGTATGATCACATTCTCTTTTTGTGGGTAAAACTCAAGAAAAAAATTTTTTTACTTGTTTTTTTTTTTTAGTTTTATTACAAAAAGTGCATTTTATGATGAAATTGATGAAAAAAAAACAAGAATTTCTTGATATTTCACATAGAAAAATACCGCGAATCAGTGAAAAATACCGCGAATCTGCGAATTCCCCCTGAAAAATGCTCCAAAGGAAAAAATCCGCGAAGCAGCGAATCCGCGATGAACGAACCGCGAAGTAGCGAGGGATTACTGTATGTTACAAAGCCGCCAATATGTTTCAACATCTGGGCATCATTTAATTAATTTTCAACAATTCAATGGATATTTTCAGAGATTAACGGTGAAATCTACACATTGCCTCTTTAAGGCCCACAGCTTATTTTGATGATAGCAACCGAAAATGCTAAAGCACATGACGAGTGAGAGTTTCACAGTGATAAGAGAAAAGCAAGGAGAAAGAAAATTTAGGTTTACTGCGTATTAAGTGACATCGCAACATTTTTATGCAAATCTACGTTAACGCTAACTAAACACAACAGAGATGAAGAACAGCCAAATGACAGGTGGTCCACCAACAATGTGCCGCCATGCTGTCCAGCCTGCCGACGCCACATACACAAGCCTCTGTCCTACACCAGCCAGCAAGTCAGCAGATGGTCCATCTGCTTCGCCCCTCTGCCCAGCATGGTGCCAGGCAAGGAGAACCCACTGATCACCGGCCCAGTTCTCCACATAAGTGGGAAATGTGACAGCTATGCTTGTTGATGATCAAAAGCTAAAAATCGCCCCTCACTCTCAACGCGCTGCTGCTACACATCCTCAGAGATGAGTCTGTCTGCTTTACTAAAACAAACCAGCAAACTCCTCCACTTCACTGTCAAATGGTGATAAAATCACCCAACGGGCTAACGTTTCGCAGGCAGAGCCCGCTCTCTCTCCCTCGTCACAGGCAATCATTTAAAAAGAAGAGGGTTGATTTTTAGACAAGCCAAGCAAAAGGCAGAGCTAAACTCTTCACACTCCACTCTGCACTTTTAGTTTTGTTGAAGTGATTGAAAGGAGATTGGAGCCAAGACCATGCGGGTCAACACGTACACTTGTGAGAATACACTAACCTCTTTCAGCTCTCTTACATCACTTTCTAGCCACATAAATAGAGTGACGTTGGTCTTAGTCTCTAAGGGAACCCCCGCTCCTTTTGAGGAGAAATGTTGGGTCTGCTCTCCAGCTGCATGGTGGCGTAATCACTGTAACCTCATCAATGACATCACTCTCGTGGAGTCCCAGAGTAATCAACATTTCAGAGGTAAAGATATAAGTGTTAAAGGACTCGTAGGGTTTCCACTGTCCAACAAATGCCAAAACAGATGATCATCGGGGAATTACAGCCATCGGTAAGTGTTGCCCTATAAAAGACAAGCAAAAGATCTGAAGTATTGTCTAGTTGTGAGCCAGAAAACATCAGATTTCTATCATAACCAATTGTTGGACTCGTTGAACTTCTTTTCCGTGGCTTGTACGACTCCTCAAGCTTCAAACTGATAAGTGCTGGCCTTTATGTAAAGTCATCTAAAGCAAAAAAAATAAAACTAACAACCACCATTTTAGCCATTATACTACGGTATGACATCATAACATCCAGTTTGAACTGATGAGACAGGAAGTGATGGGTGATTAGTAAGGCTATAGGCAACCTATTCCTATTCACTGAGCAGTGGCCCCGTTTGCATGAGTCAGGTTTGTTCGAGTTTATTCTGGGAAGTCAGACAATACAGTGTGTCCTTTCACTCGCTAATAAGCCTAATGAGGTCATTATAAGCAGGGTAAAACTTGTGGACTTTGCTTTGTTAGTGAGGTGCAAGTGGGACAATACATGCCTCCATGCGGGAGCCTAAACACTCATTTATCTCAACTTTGGCTCCCCTTGCTTTACCTGACTAGAGTTAGTGTTGAGAAAGAGAACAATGGAACAAAAAAGCCTTAATGACTTCTTTGACAGCACATACATTTAAGTCTCAGTTGGTGTTACCCTTAATTCAAGGTTTTTGTGCAACCTCTTGGCACTTTTGTCAAATTCAAAAGGGGCAAGGGGTAAATTTCTCCTACAAACAAGGAAACCCCTTCCAGAAGCCTCGTGTTGTTTCTTTTGCATAAACAGACTCGGCCAACTTTCTAGACATAAGTAAGATCAGCTATGGGGCTAAATGGTAGAAGTAGGTAAGGACATCAAACAAAATGTTGTAGTAGAAGAATCAGACCCCCTCAAAACACAGAGGGCTAAGTGGTAAGAGCAATGAATGCAATGCAAGTCATACCAAGGGAGTTCCTCTTATCATCGGACAAAAACGTTCATTTCAACTAAGGATGTTTACTTTTCTTGTGTGGACCATTCATACCGTACCTTTGGTTTCAGCTGTGAGCAGGCAGATTTTTGGGATAAGAGTTGTTTGGAGATATTATAATAACCAAATGGGGAGCCTAAGTCATGCCCATCTACTTCCGGACCGGTCCCCTGAACAAAGAAAAAAGGAATGCAAGTCAATGAGGCTATAAAAGCTATTTTCTAATCCCATTTGATACGTGTATGGGTTTCACGTAGGAAGGACGTGAATTTTAAAGACACATTTTGATGTGAAGAAAACTATTATTTTCAAACAGTGGCAAAAGTAATTTTAGGTTTTGTGTGAAATGACGTATAGACCTACAAATGTGTCTCACCAGGATGTGTATTGTTGAAATTCTGGCGATACGATACATATCACGATACAGGGGAGACGAAACGATATATCACGATATATTGCAATACATTCAGTCAGACGTTACAAGCAATTTTTTTACTGAATTTATTGTAAGAATGTTCAATAAACTGTCCAAACTGATACGTAACATGTTTAACATGAGGTATCTGACCCATGATGGAGGGATTTACATTTTAAATGGTGGAAACAAAACCCGTTGCACACTGCTGCCAACTAGCGGGTGGCGATTGAATTGCACAAAATGAAAAGAAAATACACAAATGTTTGCATGTAAATTCTTTCAAAGATTAGATACACGGCTTTTGAATATTGATGTAATAATCGCAGGAAAAAAAATCACGATATATTGCCATATCGACATTTCCGATACACAGCTTTTGAATATTGATATAATATTTCTTGAAAAAATATCACGATATATTGCCATATCGATATTTTCTTACATCCCTATGTCTCACCATATTGATGTCATCAAAACAGACACAGAGAAGAAAATGGCTGTAAGTTTAGTGAGCTTCAAATACTTCCAGCACAAAAGAAGGAACATTAAATGTGGAGAAAACCACTATAAACCTTACCATGTGGTAAGTAGCAGCTATGCTGGGAGTGAAGAGATTCTGCAGTGATGTCGTACATGCAACGCCTGATTTGTAGTTTAATCTACAAATTTTTACAAGCTAACAATTCTCAAAGTACGAGACAGACATAGTCGAAACACACATAATTTACTTTTATTAAAAACTGAAGTTCAACATACGTGCGATTCAGGGCTTAGGCAAAGAGGATAAGAATATAGCTTTTATAGCTCCGTTCTCTTTTTTTAATCACTCTGAGGATCCATGAGCCGACTGGGCGCCCCACGGAAACAGATGTCTTTATTTTATAAAGGACTTATTAAAGGTCTGACTTTGCATGGATAGAAATAATCATCTAGGTAAATGAGTAGATCTGGTAGAGTCATGAAAGTCAAAACTGAAGCCAAAGTAAGAGGAAGCAGTCTCTGCCCACAACATTAGAATAACTACAAACGTGTTAGGTTGCAAAAAAAATCAATCATACATCTATTATCTGAACCGCTTACTTCTGTAGGGCCATGGGGGGTGGTGCCTATCGTCAGCAGCCGAGAAACATGGGACACCCTGAACAGGTTACCAATCCATCACAGGGCCATAGCAAAAAAATGAAAATAAACAGTTGCAACATAAGCACCTGCAAACAGGAGATGAAGTATAAAGCTGCTTGGAAGTTTTTTGGTTTGAGTTGTTGACTTGGTTGATGGTGAAAATTTGCTTTTGCGTGGTGTCATTATTGAACTTCCTGGACTGTTTTTGGCCTCTTTGCCCTTGATCACCAAAGCATGCTAACCTGTGCCTGACATAAGCTTCCTGCAACCACAGTTCCAGTTCTAGATCATTTCTTTGCCTCATGCAGGCCACAGGCTGATTCAGACAAGCCAAGTCAAAGTCAAGTCAAGTCGTTCAAGCCAGGCCAGGTCTAGTTTTCCTGTGTTTAATCAAGCCAAGAATCCTGTGTTGATTCAAGTCAAACTGAGACAAGTTATGGAGGAAATCCTGACTTTCTTTCTCAATAAATGTCCTTTTATTAGGAGGCCCAAGGGAAGACCCAGGACACAATGGAGGGACTATGGAACACCTTGGGATTCCCCCTAATAAGCTGGTCCAAGTGGCCGGAGAGAGGGAAATCTGGGCCTCTCTGCTTAGGCTCCTGCCCTCGTGACCAAACCTCGGATATGAAGATGAAAAAGGATGAATAGCTATTATTTTTTACAGCACAAGGTTTAAAAAACAAAACTACTTAAGTAAATGGATTCATGCATTTTGATTTAATCCCATGATCGCATCAGTACAGGAATACTCCACCAGTGCACCACCACAGCACCACAGCATGTGCTTGGCCATGAATTGATCCTTGTTTTTGTTCTGAGCCACGCCACATATTCAAACGTAAACAAGAGTTTTCATATATGAACAAAATCAAGCTGGATCCAGTGGTCCTAATGAGACCTTAAGATTTTTTTTTTTGTAAAACTGACAACTCTATTAGCTCAATGCTATCTTGATTCATCTGCAATTATCATTAACCATGTAGGGGTTCCTAAAAATAGCCAAATAAAAAGAGTTTCCCTGCAGCTGTCTACCATACACCTGTACTCGCTGCACCACAATACTCCCTCGACTCAGAGGAATCTGTGCAATCTGTAAAGTAAGCCGTCTTTTCCATTGCGAGATGACGTGCTATTACACGCACATTCACTCATTGTGTTTCTCCACCCAAACGCAGCCAAGCAGAGACGCAGCTCATAGACTTTCACAAAACAGCTGTGGCAAGAAAACTTTTCAGCTCTGGGACATAAAGAGCTGTTCTAATTCCTCCTCCAGAGGAATTCAGCCTCCCCGAAACTGACTAAAACTGGCCTGATTTCAGCGTTTCTGAGTCATTTAAAAAAATACACAAACAGCTGCAGGCACAAAGCAGCAATGACGCTTTTGTTGCAGTATTTTACAAACTGTCTGGACTCTTTTGCTGTCCTTGCAGGTCTCGGGCATTGTCCTATAATGAGACAGGCCATGCAGACAGCAGCTCAATCCAGACTACTTCCTGTGAGTTTCTGGAGTGGAAGGGAAGGGACCTCGCCGCTGTTTCACTGATAAAGACCGACTGACTCCAGGGAGGACACACGTCAACAATCCAAACGCAGCTAAATGAGAGTGTTGGTTTTACTTTACAGATTGCTTTGTGTCTAGTGGGAAAAGAAAGAAAACAGAATCTCACACGAGCGATGCATCCTGACGCAGCATCAGTCCCTCGCATCAGTTGGTTAGCCTGATACCCACTGAGGCGGTTATTTAGGTTAAAACCTGTCTATTTTTGGTCAAAATTGCCAAAAATCTGTTGGGAATGAGATTTAAACCAATAAACCTATAAGGCATGAGCTCTACATAGCAGTGGTGCACCTGAGCATGATAACAATTACACCTGTCATTCAATAACGTCCCTGCAAACTAATCTGGCTCAAAGTTTTTAAAGGAAGCATAAAAATAAATTTTAGTAGACTGGTGTTAGAAATAAGTGATTAAGTCTCTTTGTGTTATTTTATGACAAATTAAAAATCCAACTGGATTGGGAGGACATTTTCCTCCTAGATTAATTTACAAATATTTGGTGAAACTTACACCTGAAACACAATTAATAACTAGTTTGATCTGCATCTGCTGCAGGATCCCTTCCTGGTCGCAGTGAGGATGGTTTCCACTTGTCACTTCCTACTTTGGGGCAGTTTCTGAGGAATGACAAAGTGCTGAGAAATTTCATCCGTCACTCTTAATAGCAGATATCAATTTGTGAGAATATTTCATTTTGACTTTATAACATAAATTCTGATTAATTCAATTTGACACACACTGAAAAAGAAGTGAACCCCTGCCTTTTCACTTGGCAGAACTGAGCACAAATCCAGTTATTTTGGGAAAAGTAAGGAGACATATGCTAACATCCTATTTGATGCAGTTAAGCTGACCACTGTGATTCACGCAGGTCTTGGAGGACTGACAGCAAAGGAGGAAAACGGAACATAAATAACTCTGCAAACTCAAGATGGTGATCACAACTTTCCAAAAGCATTTCCATGTCCAGACAGCTGCACCAATAAAGAAACAGACTCAGATTATCCGCTTGAAATTTTTAATCTAACAAGAAAGAAAAAGTGAGATTATGGGTCTGTCTGATTTCAGATTCCCTATGAATTACTAAATGCCTTCCAAATGACAGTTCCCACATGTAAAACAAGCTGCTGCCAGTGCAAACATGATGTCGCATGATAATACCTCTAACTGTGTTTTAATCCCACAGATTAGAGTATTAAAATGCCATCAACTCATGTGGAGAAGCAGGAAGCCATACCTTGTTGTTTGAGTGTGCCCATGTTACGGCTGGGGCTGCTGCAGGGGCTCTAACGGTGACAAGTTTATGTAGAAAAGATAAATCCCAACAGATGCGGAGCAAATAATCCCCAAAACACAAAGAGCTGCAGTCCGGAAACTGTCCTCAGCACTAAAGAAGGGCGCAGAAATAACACGAAGACGCAGAAAGAGCTCCTCTTCTCAAAGCTGCATATCGATAATAAAAAGATATTATTGTTAATAATAATAATCCAGAGCAGGAGGCCGCGTTACCGGGGCAGACGGGACTCAGACGGGCCCGGTGGGATACAGAGTTAAAGTTTTCCCGACCTGCGCTCGGCTCGTCTCAACACTCTACAAGAAATCAGCTCTTCTCTGGAAGCTGCGCCTCTGATGTCAGCAGAAAACGTGAGCTCCAGGAAGTGGTGACGCTGTCCGGTGCTGCGTTACCATGTCAGCGGCGCCAAACCGGAGGGAGCAACGCCCCCGTGTGGACTCCTCAAGCTACTACAACGGTTTTACTCGTGTAATAAAATGAATACTGCTGATGAGTTTGTGTATTTCCCCCGTTTTTTTATTTTTTATTATGTTGCTTGAACTGTTTTAATTATTATTTTTTATTTGAATAATTTTTTTTTATTGTAGAATTTTTTTCTGCTGATGCCCCACTGCTGGTAACTACATTTTCCAAAGTTCTACCCAAGTGTGAATCGGAGAAGGAAAGGTTCAGTAAAGGTTTATCAAAGGTTGTTGCCAACCTACAAAAGATAAAGTCCAGGGAACTAAAATGTTCCCGTGAGGCTTGCTTAAGCTTCTGTAATGTGACCTTTAGGGAACATTCCATTAAAAACTGACCATCGGGGAACTTTCAGGAAGTGGTTCTTTCAAGTTTAGCTCCATCATTCAAAAGCTGGGAATGTCCCTTGAGCATGAGCTCTAACTTTCAAAAAGGGAACCTTCACCAGAGGTTCCAATTTTATTAAAACATTTAACCACAAGAGAACAATCCTTGAATGTTCTAAAGTCTTCTCCAACTTTTGAAAAGTGGGAACATTTCCTTAAAGTTAAGAAATGTTCAATGAAGGTTCTCTTAAGGCTAGCTCCATCTATCAACATTTGGGAACGTTCCCTGAAGATTAGTTCCAACTTTCAAAAAGCGACCTGAAGGGAACCTCCCTAGATGTTTTGCAAGTTTACTAAAACATAACCTCTAGAGAACAATCTTTGAATCTTTCCCCAAAGTCATCTCCAACTTAAAAAAAAATGGGAACATTTTCTCAAAGGTAAAGAATGTTTCGTGGAGGTTCTCTCAAGGTTAGCTCCATCTATCAAAAATTGGCATTGCTCCCTGAAGTTTAGCTCTAACTTTCAAAAAGTGAATCCAAAGGGGATTTTTAGAGAACGTTCGCTAAAGATTAGTTCAACAGTTGCAGTACAATAATCTTTAGGGAACCGTTTCTGAAGTTTCTCTTAACGTTGGTTCTAACGTGAACTTTTAGGGAGCATCCCTAAAGGTTCTGTAGTGGTTTTCAAAACTTTGATCTTCTGACCTTAGGTATGGCTGACTGAACCTACAACTACAGCAATGTTTCTCCGTTTCTAAACACTATGTTTATATCCTGTAACATTTATAGGTAATAATTCCATTTTTCAATTATTAAAAAACTTATTTGATTGATGGAGATCATCTCCAGACCTCCAGCTCTCCATGTTTATGTTGTTTTTATCATTATCAACATGAGCTGAAGTGGCTCGTTCAGATCTTTAGAGGTATCATACCCCACCTTACCATACCAACTTCATTTCCATATTAAAATACAGTGTGAGAGCTGACCAAAGTGCTGAACAGGCAGGAACAATTAAAACTGAAAAAGACAAAAGCAGATGGGATCAATAGCAGCTAAAAACAATGAGAACAGTAGATAAGACACAACAGTAAAAACAGTGCAAACAAGAAAGCAATAAAACAAGTCACCGTCTGAAAAGCCAAGTCATAAAAGTGGGTCTTTAAATGAGTCTTAAATACAGGCAAAGAGGATGCCTGCCTAACTGTTAGTGATGGGAATTCCGGCTCTTTTTAGAGAGCCGGCTCTTTCGGCTCCCAAGTGGCTCCTCAGATTTTCTGTTGCGTAGAGTACATTTATCACCAAAAATAATGCCAAACTATATGTAAAATGATTTACTGATGTAAAAAAATGCTATATATCAAAAATTTACAATTTCTATGGATTTAATAACTGAACACTTTAAGAAATCTCCACTTTCCGACTGCTGGCGCTCATTTTCTCACCGTCGCACTCTCCTCTCTCTCTCGCCTTTTTCCTCCTCCTCATTCCCTCTCATCTACCTCCGCCCGCATGTGCTCTGCTGTGTGTTTGAGTCTGATCCTCCCTCTTCCCCACCCCCTACTGCTCTGTGTGTGGACAGTCTGGACACACAGTTACACATGTTGACCAATCTCCTGTAGCTTTCACCAAAGCAAGAGGGGAGGGGATGGCTCCCAATGACGAGCCGGCTCCCGTCGTTCACTTCAAAGAGCCGGTTCTTAGAGCCGGTTCGTTCGCGACCGACACATCACTATTACAAAGTCTAATGAGCAAACATGGCTTCAATTAAAGTCAAAATTGTATTTGCACCCCACAGTGTTCAATTTAATTTGGTGTTTCAAATGAATGTTTTCACCTTCCACAAATATATATTTTTAAATATATGTTTCTATATTTAGCAAATCACAACATCCCCTTTAGGTTGAAAATTGTAAGTTGCTTTGAAGAAAAGTGTCTGCCAACAATATAAACATGAAACATATCTGCTGGATGCTGAGGAACCAGAATTCTGAGGTGAGTTTGACCGACTTCCAGGGAGGTTTGTTAAGATGAAAGGGTCTCTGCAGGGACTCGGTCTCTTATCATTCACTTCAAAAACCCGTTCAAAGATTCGATTCATTCGTGAAAGTCACATCACCAAGTTGGACAGAGTCAGTGACAAAGATTTAGGAATTAGTTCTCTTAAATTCTCTCTCTCATTAGTTCTCTTAAATTCTCTCTCTCATTAGTTCTCTTAAAATTCTCTCTCTCTCGTCTCTCTCTCTCTCTCTCTCTCCTCTCTCTCTCTCTCTCTCTCTCCTCTCATCCGTCTCTCTCTCCTCTCCTCTCTCTCTCTCCTCTCTCTCATCTCTCTCTCTCTCTCTCTCTCTCTCTCTCTCTACTCTATCTCTCTCTCTCTCTCTCATCTCTCTCTCTCGTCTCCTCTCTCTCTCACTCTCTCATCTCGTCTCTCTCTCTCTCTCTCTCTCTCTTCTCTCTCTCTCTCTCTCATCTCTCTCTCTCTCTCTCTCTCTCTCTCTCATCATATATATATATATATATATATATATATATATATATATATATATATATATATATATATATAATTTTTGAACAAATGTTGTAAACTTTTAATTTCTAACTAATTCAATTTAGTAAGGAGAAAAGTCCGCTTTAAGGGATACTTAAACAGTTTTGCTTGCTCTTTAGCACCCCTTAGTGTCCGTTTGTAGAAACGAAACAATCTCCTCGCTGTGCGGTTGTCATTTACTGTAACACCTTAATCTACCAGCCGAAACGTCTTCCACCGTTTCTTAGTGTCTAGAGGAGATTATTCACTAATTTAAACAAAAAAAGCTGGGTTCATGATCTAAAACATGCAGAAAACGTCCTGAAGCCCAACAGCAGCCCCAAGTCCACAGCAGATCAGACCAGCAACTGTGAAGTTGCAAGTGCGATATTCTGGCCGCAGGGGGGCGATAGGGGCTGGGTGACTTCTCATTAACAATATAAAGAGTGATTTAGCACATACTGGTCTAAGAAAATAATTTAAAAACTGAAAAGTTGCTTATTGTCCCTTTAAGTCGACAGTGGATGTAGTTTGCCTTTAGCCCGCTAGAGGGTATGTGAGTTTTCACAAGCTACTGCTTGCTCCAGGCAGGGACGAGCTGCTGGAAATAAACTGGTTTTATTTAGGTAAAGGGGCTGGATAGACCGTCATGTTTGACACTGTTACATAAATACAATATAATTGCGTTTTTAGATAATAATAAGAGAAAAATACTTCTTCATTAATTCACTGACGCTGACCTGCAGTGTCAGTTAGATATCAAACAGCTCCTTCTGCTGCCTCATTTGAGTTACGACTACAGCAGAATAATGCTTTAAAATAGTAAAAAAAAAATTTTTTTATCTCAAATTAAGTAGAGCATTTGGTTCGTTATTGTGGAAAATGTTGGAGAAATTATTGCTGCTGTTATGATTGCAGAGACGTGTTTAAGAGGCGTGTCTTGCGGATGCGGAAGAAATCTCCCGTCATGCATTGCGGCGTAGGTTAACGCGTTTATGTTAAAGAAACGTACAAATTCGATATTACATTTTTAAATTTCATTTTTGCTGTATTTATATTAGCTTACAATGTGTTCTATGACTTTATAAAGTTTTTGTTACGAATAAGTCAGATGACCCGTCACCGTAACTGTATAAACATTGGTACAATAAGTCTGGTTTACAGCCACAGATCAGATCACTCTTGTTTCTCTTCAGGTCGTATAAATCTTTCGCCTTTTACTAAAGATTTCCGTGGAGGGGAACACTAAGAGTTTACCTCAATTTTTCGATGCCCTGCAGCAGCAGGGCTCTCTAACATGTGAAGAATAATGAATCAAAAAGGTCCTTAAGCAAAATGACCTCAAAGTAAGAAAGTCTGCTCTATTTACAGAGCTGGTTCTTTAGGCTCAGCCCACCTAAAAGAGCCGGCTCTTGCAGTTCCTAAATGGCTTCTCAGATTTTCTGTTGCGTAGAGTAGATTTATAACCAAAATATGCAAAACTATACGTAACAGTGATGGGAATTCCGGCTCTTTTTGGAGAGTCGGTTCTTTTGGCTCAGCTCACCGAAAAGAGCCGGCTCTTTTGGCTCCCAAGTGGCTCCTCAGATTTTCTGTTGCGTAGAGTACATTTATAATCAAAATAATGCTAAACTATATGTAAAATAATTTACTAATGTAAAAAAAAGCAATATATCAAATATTTATCATTTCTATGGATTTAATAACTGAACACTTTAAGAAATCTCCACTTCCCTACTGCTGGCGCTCATTTTCTCACCGTCTTCGTCGCACTCTACTCTCTCTCACTCGCCTTTTTCCTCCTCCTCATTCCCTCTCGTCTCCCTCCACCCGCATGTGCTCTGCTGTGTGTCTGTCTGAGTATGATCCTCCCTCTTCCCCGCCCCTACTGCTCTGTGTGTGGACAGTCTGGACACACAGTTACACATGTTGACCAATGGCCTGTAGTTTTCACCAAGGCAGGGGGGAGGGGGAGGGGACGGCTCCCAATGACGAGCCGGCTCCCGTCGTTCACTTCAAAGAGCCGGCTCTTAGAGCCGGTTCATTCGCAACAACAAATCACTAATATGTAAAATGATTTACTAATGTAAACAAATGCAATTTATCAAATATTTATAATTTCTATGGATTTAATAACTTAATAACTGAACACTTTAAGAAATCTTCACTTTCCGACTGCTGGCTCTCATTTTCTCACCGCCGTCGTCGCACTCTCCTCTCTATCTCGCTCGCCTTTTTCCTCCTCCTCATTCCCTCTCGTCTACCTCCACCCGCATGTGCTCTGCTGTGTGTCTGAGTCTGATCCTCCCTCTTCCCCGTCCCTACTGCTCTGTGTGTGGACAGTCTGGTCACACAGTTACACATGTTGACCAATCGCCTGTAGCGTTCACCAAAGCAAGAGGGGAGGGGGAAGGGGAGGGCTCCCAATGACGAGCCGGCTCTTAGAGCCGGTTTGTTCGCCACCAACACATCACTATTAGACTTCCAATGTGACAAGATTAGTGATGGCAATTTCGGCACTTTAAAGAGAGCCGGTTCTTTTGGCTCAGCTCACCAAAAAGAGCCGGCTCCCAAGCGGCTCCTCAGATTTTCTGTTGCGTAGAGTAGGTTTATAACAAAAATAATGCAACACTATATGTAAAATGATTTACTAATATAAATAAATGCAATATATCAAATAATTATCATTTCTATGGATTTAATAACTGAACACTTTAAGAAATCTCCACTTTCCGACTGCTGGCGCTCATTTTCTCATCGTCTTTGTCGCACTCTCCTCTCTCTTGCCTTTTTCCTCCTCATTCCTTCTCGTCTCCCTCCACCCGCATGTGCTCTGCTGTGTGTCTGAGTCTGATCCTCCCTCTTCCCCGCCCCTACTGCTCTGTGTGTGGACAGTCTGGACGCGCAGTTACACATGTTGACCAATCACCTGTAGTTTTCACCAAAGCAAGAGGGGAGGGGGGAGGGGACAGCTCCCAATGACGAGCCGGCTCCCGTCGTTCACTTCAAAGAGCCGGCTCTTAGCGACCGACTCATCACTACTAACTGTAACAGGCAGTGAGTTCCAAAGTGTGGGGGCAGCATGGGCAAACGCATGTTCACCCCGTTATTTGTAGCACATCTGGGGAGTGCAGAGAAGTAGGAGATCAGGTGACCTCAACATACACATATGTACATAGGGGGTGAGCGGGTTGGACAAATAGGGAAGTGCTAAGTCATGTAAAGCTTTAAAAACAAACATCAACATCTTAAAATGTACGCGAAAAGTGACAGGGAGCCAGTGGCGATGTACCAGGACTGGGGTGTTCATTAAAAACCTAGCAGCAGAGGTGGGATTGTGTAGATAAGTTCAGAACCACCTTACCTTATAACACTTTAAACAGCCTCATTTTGGAAAAACAAAAATTTGTTTTGACCAAGTTGACAAGCTAACGGCTAGTCGCACCAGCTAGCTAGCTAGCTTAAAACTCCAGATGCTAGTTTACCATCCTTTCTGCTGCTGTAAATGTCCCAAATGCAGCCATGTGGAAATATTTAGCCCGTATTTGATTGTTCAGATGTAAAAATCTTGATTTATTTATTTAGCAGATTTAACCACCAGCTCACGAGGGCTACTGCTTGTTGTGGGTTAGAAAACTTCAGCATGGGCAGATGGAACATTATATGTGTACTTTTATAAGGCAATTTATTTTATTTTTTCAGATTGAATGCTTCATACAGTAAAATCCTCTCCTTTGTTCAGCCACAATGTTTATATTTGCCCTCAAAATCTTAACTTGAAGCTGGATTTTCCTTCTTGCATCACACTCAGACCTGGCCACTGGATTAATACACACTTCACTGGTATCACATGCTCTGTTAGTTCTGCACAGCAGTGTTTTGTTGTGATCCGACACATCCTTGTTCTGTTTGCTGCTGGAGTGAATTTTAATTGTACATTTGCATCCCTCTATGGATTTGGAGTCATTGCAGATGTCGGCAGCAGCAGATGAGCGACACAAGCAGCTGTTGTGATGAGTTTGAGTACGAAGCTTCATGTTTTTTTTCCTTCATCGGCTAGAGCCCAAAACAACAAGAGAGTCGGAGTCTCCCAAGAGAAGACCAACGTTTTACTGTCAGTGTGATGTGATAAACAGCTTTTTCATGTGGGAAGCACAGAATCTGTTTGTCTTCAATTATGTATTCTACTGCTGATGGGATTTAGATGATCGCCTGAGCAATTTTAAATGGATTTTGTAGAAAATGGATGCAGGAGTCTCCAGATCTCAGATCTGTGGTGAGCTTGTGTTTTTCGTGTCTCCTCTGGAGCCCCCGTGCTGTCATAGAAGCATGTTTCGGGTATTAAACCAACCTTTGATTTCCCCGCAGCTTTGGAACAAGCCTGCTAAGATGAACGCGGGCATGGAAAGGTTGGCTTTCTTGTGCTTATCTTTCAAGCCGTCTTCTTTTATCTCTCTGCTCAGCTAAATGGGTCTTCTTGTAAAATCCATTCATCCCTCAGGGAGAAAGTGCAGCTGCTATTGACGTTTTGAAAATCAATGAGGCCATGAGCAGACAGGTGATCACCACGGAGGAAAGAAATGTTAAAATACCAGGAAGTGCTTTTTCTTTTCTTAGAAATCAGATAAAAAAACATAAAACTACATTTTTCAAACAAATGAGGTCAAAGTGGGTTTGCTACAACTTTATGTATCCCAACTAGGTCACATGACCCTCAAGAATCATTTATTTTAGTGACGCACCGATATGAAATTTTTGGGCTGACACTGACATTAAGATCACTGTTATGGCCGATAACCGATATTTGTCGATACCGATATACAGACATTAATGCTTCTAAAATTAGCAGATTACCTGGATCTAATATTTTATCCGATTAACTAGAATTTGCTCTGGAGTATAGAGGATAATTCTTATAAAATAAGACATTTTTCTATGGTGTTCACATAAAATGTAAATATCAAATGCTTAAGGCCCTCCTTTGTGAATAAAATATGAAGTCTGTGTAAAATTTGACAAGATATGAATCATATTTATTAGCAAAATGACAAATCCCAACTCGCGGATAATTAAACATCTATTTAGCTTAATAGATGAAAACAAACTAATTATGTGATGTCACAGGGACATTTTGACCTTTAATTTTCATCCAAGGACCCCGTGCCCTGGAGCAGCAGGGTGAGAGGAGTCGTCACCAGAGGAGACTGAAACACCACCACGGCCTTGAACTCTCTGTTCTCACTAGAAACACAAATAAAACACACTAACGGTTCCAGTTTGTGTTTTGTTTACATGCATCAGGCCCGTTTCTTACTTTGGGGTGAAGCTAATCTGCAGACACTGGTTGTAGGTGGTGGTGTGAAGCTTTTTGGATCCGAGCAGCCCAGAGTCCGGGGAGACCCTGAACACACCGGACTCTAAACACAAGGAGATCCAATTAGGACAGATAAACAGCATTAACTCATTCGTTGCCAGCGTTTCTCACCATTTTTACTCTTTTTTTAAGAGTCACAGAACGTTGCGCTAGGATGATTTCGACGCCAAGACAACCAAAACAAAGTGGAGAGTCACCTCTTACATCAGGAAGAATCCGCGCGTTTCGAGCGTTATCCGTTCTTTCATAATCCGTTGTCGAATTTTGATTGGCAGACGCTTTTCCGGTTTGCGCCTTCCTTTTTTTTTTTTACAGAAACGGCCCAAAACTATCTCCTAACACATGGATTTTCTGCTTGCTGATCACGTGACGTATGCGGATGAAGATCGGCTTCTGAGCTGAGATGTTTGTTCTCTCAGTATGGGGGCTCGTTCCGACGCCCACACAGTAAAAAACAATGCAAATGACGACTTTAGTCGTCATTGGCAGTGAATGAGTTAAGTGGTTTTATTGTATTTAACTAGGTTACCTGTGTGTGAGTTCCAGAAGGTGCGAGCTCTGTCGCTGTAGAGGTTTAGTTCTGTGGTTCGGGTTTCTCCAACGCAGCAGAACCCAAAGTTAAGGGAGTCAGTGGAGAGACTCAGAGTGGGCAGGTCCAGATCAGCACACAGAGGCACCGTCTGAACACAGAATTTCTATTTAGTTATTTATTTTTACATTGAGCAGAAACTTACAGCTAATAATTTTAATTTGTGAAGTCATGCGTGACCTGCTGGGTGTTGTTACTGAACTGGATCAGGAGATTTTGCTGAAATCTCAGCTTCTTCCAACCATTTTCAGTGTGGACCAGCTGAACTTCAGCAGACTTGTGATCTTCTGTCTGGTTTTTGTGGTCCAGAAGTGGTAAAGAACAGTGGAAGGCCACCTTTACCTAACAGTCACATCAAATACTGAGTAAGACTTGAGAAGCATTGAATCAGGAGACGTTTCTGCATCATCCAATCATCTGACCCGTGTGCTGTGACGAGGCTGTATCACCAGAGCCTGACCGTCACCAGTATACGGGTCGCTGGAGGAGCCGCGAAGAGGTTTAAGCACTGAAAATGGAGCTTTAGTCCCTAGTCTAAAGCGTAAAGGCATCTCTGCTGGGTTTACAAGCTGAAAGCTCTGAGTGACGTCAAACTCACAAGCTACAAGCTGCAACACAAAACAAAAACAGGGCCGTTAAATGTTCAGAACCACAGCGGACCTTTGGGATCCAGTGGGTTTCCTAACCTTCCCGTCTGATTCTGCCCTCAGTAAATCACCGGCCGAGGCGTTAAACCCCAGCACCCCTCCGTCCTCATCCATCTGCACCAACAGCCTGTGGCGACAGAAAAGATGCACAGCTTAATCAGGCCACCTCTGAGCTGCTTTCGCCTAACCTCAGCTGATTTTAATTTAGGAAACATAAATTGAGTGGAGCACAGGAGGAATCTGGGGGACATAAATAGTATGGGTGTAATTGCTTACACTGCAGGTTTAACGGCTGCTTGTAGATCCAACCTGATGGGCTCTAAATCCAAACCCTGCACCCGCCTGACTCTACCTGGGACGCAAACGGCCGTCTGCAACACACACAGTGACAGAACACAAGGAAACATGCTTTGTTTATGCTTTAGCACAGATAAACAATCCTGTGTTACCTTGGAGTCTAGGCTCATGAATCCTAACGCAAATCCTGCACATCTGGACTCACAATCAGAACCAGAGAGAGTCAAAGGGGTGAAAGAGACACGGATGATTCTGCTGCTCCTGGCTGGAATCACCTGAAGATGTAAATGTGAAATAAGGGCTACAGGAAGTAGGAGCGCTTAGTCCGTAGAAAACTACACTTACTATTTGTTGAGGTGTGATGCAGTATGGGTAATCGGAGAGGCTGCCCAGATGAGGTCGGATGTGGACGGAGATAAGATTTTTCCCTGCAGGTGGAGGTCCAGACTCCTCCTCTTCCACATTCTGAAATCCATCATTATGAGTAGGTAGAAGAATAAAATGAACAATTTCATCTCCTCTACTTACAGTCACATCAGACAGTGGTGCATGAGTCCATGCATCTTCATCGGAAAGCCCCAACGCTCCACTCATAACCTCATTCCCATCAGCATCCTTCAGAGGGAAGTGGTCTCCATAGGACAACACAACATCCACCAGTTTCCCGTCGTTCTGATCTATGTTGTAGGTCTTCCAGTCCAAACGAATGTCTGCCCCAAATTCAACACAAGCTGTTTTTATTACAACAACATCAAAAACATGACCATAATGTTTTTGCATGCTTCTTTGTTTGGTTAAAGTAACACTAGACAGTTACCTGCTCCTTCACCCTACTGGTTGAAAGTGGAACTGTCATAAACAGCCCTGCTGTAGCTAGTGCTAACACTGAGTTAACACTAACATGAGCCAACTGATACTAAAATATAGCCTAGTGAACTAGACCGAATTCTTGCTTTGCAAAGTTTGGTCTAGGCACGCTCCATTGGAACCTCCGCAGCTCCTACCAGGACTCTGGCTAGCCAATCACAGCTCTCTAGAGGGGTTTCAAACACATAAAGAGCTGTGACTGGTCCATAATGGTGGGCCAATCGTAGTGTTCTATCTGCTTAGTGAACAAATCACAGAGCTTTATCCGCTTTGTGGGCCAATCAGGGCACTCTATATGCCTGGTGGGTGGGATGATGCAACAGAGTGAAACAAGAGTATGCCACATTCATTGTCCAGTGGAATGCGAAGATCATTTGAAAGACAACGGTAGAACCCGCCCCACAACCGAGAGCCGTCAATGGAGCGTTGCCAGACTGCCAGGCTAACTAAAATAGACCACAAAGTAAAAAGATCCGCATTGTTGGACAAAAAATATCATTACTCACAAGTCCAGAAGTAACAAGGCCAGGTCATCATCAGTTTGTGATTTTATAGCCTCCTTTAGCTCCCTCAAACTAATGTAGGCTGCGCCGATGTTCACTCATGTTTTAGCTCTTTGCTTTGCATCCAAAAGATAACTCTCTTACTTTTACTTCCGGGCTCTGCCATGATGCCAACAGGAAGAGCAAACTTCTTCTTTTTCTCCTGCTTCTTATTGATGATAGGCAAACTGAAAATGCTAACTGTTAGCTTTACAGCTAAGAGCTGTTAAGAAGGTAAAGAGTGCCCCCTAGGACAGTTACCCACTCCACAACACTATCAAGTGCAGTTTTTGGTCAGCAGAGGGCTGCAGAGTGGTGTCAAACTTGAAACTGGTTAAGTTTCTAACTCAACAATCACTGAGATAAACAGTGAAGCTCTAGCTTAAAGTAAAAAAAAAAAAACTATCTCATGTTACTTTAACTTTTGGAGTCCATTTTAAGATGACTGCCACCGCTACTTAACTCTGGCAATCAAAAAAACAAAAGACTTGAACTCTGATGGGTCAGAAGACAACAATGTTTTTCAAACAGTCATGAAGGGTTGGGGTTGAACAGACCAATATACCTTACCAAACATGGTGGGATTGTTGACGCGATGACATCGAGAAACTGTGTCCCCTCCAGATACGTGGGTGCCAAAGCTAGCAAGAGAGTCAAATCAAAAAATATATTAAAAAAAAAAACGAAACGAGTCGATCTGTTAGAAGCCGGCGTGACAGACTGTAGGATTGGTCCCTGGTGCTGGTGTTCTGCTCGTGGGCCGGTCATTTGGAAGTAGAGCGGACAACCTTTCACAGTCATCTGCACCGGAAGACGCACTGGCTCCAGATCCCCAACCTGCAGCAGAGACAACTCTATCAAACCTGCAAATAGAGAGGAATAAATTGTGTTGCAGGGCATAAATAACACACCTTGCATACAAGGTTATCTTTGTATTCGCCCCACATGTCTGTGTAGGCGGTCACTTCCACGGTTCGGGTCTCAAACGGTCCCAGTAGACCCGAGTCTGGCAGCACGTGGAAAGCTGCACCTTTCCCATGAGTCAATAAGCTGCTCACAAACGCTGATAACAAACAAACAAACAAACAAACACAACCAGCTGTTTGGGAGCTCGTTGCTTGATGAGGAATTTATGTTTTTTATAAGTTAAACCTTCATGAGCTTTCGCTTCTACTTTCTTTGTAAGGACTTGAAGCGGATCCTTCATACGTATGAATCTGTAATGAGAACACAGACTGTGTTGCATTTCTTTCATGGTTAATGTGATCTGGGATCTATTATTCTGCCTGACCCTTTCTCTGATTGGTTATCTGGCTCAGAGACATGGCAGCTGAAGTATTCTGCCTCTAGGGTGAAGGGAGCAGGAATGGCAGACTGGTTGGTGATCAGCAGCTGCTTCGTTGCAGCTTTGCTTAAAACGACATCTTCTCCAAAGTCGAGCGTCAGCGCGGAAGGGTCGGTGTCAGACTGCGATGGGCTAAAGGTGAAAGTAAAGCATTATGGGGGGGATTTTAGTGTGTGAATGAGCTGGTGTTTAGCAGAAATGCGTTACCAGAGGCCGGGCAGCGAGTAGGAGACAGAAAGTTTCTTGGGTTTGGAAGCCGCTATTGCCAGAACAAGAGGCGAGTTCATCCCTCGGACCTCACAAACAGCAGCCACCTTCGTCAGCTCCACCTGGTAAAACAGAAAGAAGCAAATACTTAAGTGATTATCGTAAAAAAATAGAAGTAAATGTAAAGAGCTACTTTACATCTGAATGAGGAGTAAAGTGAACTGTGATCTCCATGGTTTCATTTGGTCCCAGAGTACCAGAGGGAGGGTCAAAGATGGCCGTACACAGATGAGCCTGTTGACCCCGGAGCTCGGCCTGATGGGTAAAAAAATCAAAAATGAACTTAAAGTACTAAACAGATCATGAATGTAGAGAAAATGATAAATCTACCATCCAGCTGAAGTGTGAAGACAGAAGAGTCTGGTTGAAAAGAGTTACGCTGCATTTAGCGGGAACGCCGATGTAATGATCAGAGACGACCAGCTTACGGTTTAAGAGACACACTTGAGGAGACTGAACGTCTGCTCGCACCCCCACGTGACTGTTGGGAACATTCAGAAAAGCCGATTGTTGCCGTGGTTTCTGTTGTTGAGCACAGAAAAATGATCTTGGACTTTGCTCATCTGTTCTTCCTCACCATCCTGTTCCATTCTCCACATTCAGCATCAGCTCGGAATGAAAGTGCTGGCAGAAGAGCGGCCTGAAGACGACCACCACATCACAAGAAGCGAATGGTGGCAGCACACCTCTACGCGGTTCCACTGAGATCTAAAGAACACCACAGAATACTGACATGAATAAAAGGGGCCACTAATCTGGAGCTGTATTTGATTTGACCTGTGGGTCTGGATGATCCTGATGATCCTGATGAAGTTTCTCCTCCAGCATCCAGGAGGCTTCCAGCTGGGTGGTATTGGTGAGAATCACGGTGGTCTGAGTCTGCTCCCCAAGCCTCACAAGCCCAAAGTCAACGATGGGAACACCGAGTGTCACCGTAGGACCCTGTTCCAACACATCTCCTGATATCACAACTCACACAAAACCTGGAGCAACACACCTTAAGTCATGTGATTATGTCATACTTTAAAAGTGACTTTCACAGCCAAAACGACAGGCTTGTTGTGCTTCTGTATGTTGCAAACCAAGCTGGTCTCCAACTTCTCTGGTTTCCCTCCAGTCAGAACAAGATCAAAATCCAAAAACTCCTTCTCTTCTGCAAAATGTAACAGCAACATGGTGTCAAAACACAGTTAAATGTGAATATTTTCACCAAAAATAAAATAAAACCAATTCAGCTGAGCAACACACCTAGTCTACCAGCAGATGGCTCTACTTCTATTATATGGAAGTCGTTCTGTAACCTCTCCCATTGAAATGAAACGGGTGCTTTGCTATGATTCCACATCTGAAACACAAACATGAAAACAGTCTCAGTTATAACTGGGAAAAATAACTTTATTGACATAAAAATTAGGTCTAAAATCACCGTGAAATGCCTGCGGACGGTTGTGCAAATCAAAATTTCTCCGGGGATTATGACAGCGTATGGTTCCAGGAGGATCTGGTAGGGCTCTGCTGACCCTTTGACCTCTATCTCCATGGCGGTGACACTGATCAGCTTGGAGCCAACCTGAACAGGCTTGAGGACACTGCATTTCCCACAGAAACAAGACATTCATATGCAATTATGTTATTTTTAAATTTAAACTCTCCTAATGTAAATATGAAAACAGCAAACCTGCTCTCTCTGGGCTCTGGTGGCAGCTGAGGGACATCCATCAGGGATAAGTGAAGAACGCTGTGATAATCCTTCAACTTAAAACACACAAATCTTATTATTAGAATATCTTAACACATAAAAGGTGTAAAATGAAAGCATTTCTAACACCTTTTTTGTTTTTACCTCTGTTGGACTAAAGGTTAAGAGAAATTCTTGATCCTGGCATGGAGCCAGAAGGCCTGTTGAGGGGCTGATGTGAAACGCATCATCTGTGGCTGGATGGAACTGGATTTGTGAGGATTCAGGGGGTTCCCCAGGAAGAATCGGATGCACGTTGGGCTTCATGGGTTGCCAGTGAAAAGGCAACTCTACATGGCTTCAGGACGGACATGAGGAGAGAGAAAAACTGTAAGGTGGTATAGATAAGACACTCTTCATTCTTGCTTTGGTCATCGAACAGTAAAGTCTCAGAAACGCATTAGCAGCTCTGGATGCTAAAATGTTATGACCACTTGCAGCCGCTTGGTTGGAGATAATGTAAATATCTCCCTGAACCGTTGGTGAATTGACACATGTGTAAGAAAATTAACAAATTATTTGATTACATGGAAAATGTGATATTCTAGCAAATAAACTGCAAAACCTGTTGCTACAGTTTGGTCACAAAGTGTCTTATTTGCATCTCATTTTCTTTTGAGTTTACAATTATGTTAAACATAAATCTAAATACATAAAAGCGTACCTAAATGTCAAATATCCAAATGTGAATGTGGGGGGTTTAAACTAACTACACTGCTCAAAAAATAAAGAAACCCAGAAAAAAAGACATCCTCCATCTGAATGAATGGAATATTCTTATTAAATATTTTGTTCTTTATGGAGTCGAATGTGCTGACAACAAAATCAAACAAAAATTATCAATGGAAATCAAATTTATCCGATGGAGGTCTGGATTTGGAGTTACACTCGGAATTAAAGTGGAAAAACACGACAGGAAATAGGATATATTTAAATCTATCAGGGAAATTTATAGAGCTGGGCACTAAGTCGAAAATGTATCGTTAACAAAATCTCTGACCCTTATCGAGATCATTTTTCTCATGTCAATAAATTTGATAATAAAAAAATGAAATCATGTCCCTTTAAGAAGCTGTACCACCTTGAGTCACGTAAAAATGGCCGTGTTCGAGATGAGCCAGTTCTGCGCAGATTAGATCACCGGTGATCGGCACGCAGTGCTTGCCGGTTAGATTTGTGTCCGACTTGCTCTGACGTCATGCATACGTAGGCAACGATAACCTCGTGAGATCAAGGCGGCCACAGATTTTGGAGCAAGGCGCTGCAGTTGCTCTCCACTGGCTGCAAAACCTAGAGGATGACGGGAAACACCTGGCTCTCACCTGATCTAAGATCTGATTGGCTCACATTCTGATCCAAACATCCGGTGGTAAAACATGAGATGTTAGTTGGTCACATGTATTCTGTAAATCATGTTATGTTGATGATGACAACTATATAGGCCATAAAGAGAAAAGTGATTTGTGTTCATTTGTCACGTTTCCTGTGAGCACACTAAACCTACAGCTGATAACCTTTACTTATTATTACAGTCATGTCTTCATTTACAATATATGATATCCAGAAGCACGTGAGGATGAACAAGTGTGAACGCTAACGCGATATCTTCATCCATCATCACCCGTGAGCTACACGTGTAGGGAAATCGGTCCGACTTAAATGCCGACTTTCAGCCACTCCCACTGCTGCGTCCGTCTTCTCTCGTCTGTTTTCCAGGTGAGGCGCAGCTCAACTCGAACAAGGCCAGAGTGACTCAACGTAATACATGTGACAGCCCCATCTAGTGGACAACCTTTGTTTCTGCGTATACCTGTAGTTATCGTCCATTTATCGTTATCGAGGTGAAATCCTCAATATATCGCGATATTGATTTTAGGCCGTATCGCCCAGCTCTAGAAATTTAAATCATAGTGATTCTCCTGGAACAAAGTAAAGAACGTCTGTGTTCTCCGCGAGCAGGGCATGTTTGTAGGATTTCCCTTATCCAACTCTGGAAAATTTCTAATATTAGAACTCACATCGTGGAATATCCACCGAGCCCCGGCAGGCAACAATATTAAAATGTAGGTAAATATTTGGAGTATGCTTCACATTTGTAAAAAGTAACAGCTAAGATGGCAAACTAGAGTGATACAGAGATCCGGAAGACCGGAACCTTCTGGCCTTTAGAGCTGTTCACAGGGTCTGTGGAGGACAGCCTTCTTTTGGTGCGGATCATCAAAAAAACTTAAGCACCGTAGCTTCATTTGGGAACAAGTTACGTCCAAGTAGAGCTGAGGAATATCTCGATATTTTTAAAATATCGATATAATTTCAAACAAGATGACTAAATAAAATTTATATCGATATAACTATACAACCAGTGTATTTCTAGAGTTAGCTGATGCAGCTAACTGTTAGCTATGAGCTAGCTCTGTCTCTAAGCGGTCATTATTCTCACACGTCTGCTCGATCAGAAAACCTCTGGGTTGATGTTCTGCCCTAAACTTTGCATTTAGCGTCGTGGTTTTTAACTATTTTGGGACATCTATTCGAGTTTCAGCGACCCTTTTCACCGTGGCTCCCGACGCAGTTCCGTTTAGAGACGGGCCAAACCCTTCCCCCGTGTAATCTGGTAACTGGTTCAGAGAGCTGTAGCAGCCAAAATACCTCAAACATATAACTTGGAGAAGTTATTGTTCCGGTTTTCATCATTTTGTTATGGCAAGAAACCGCTCTGTTACGAGCAATTCTGCTGAAAAAGTTAGGAATTTAGAGACAGTAGCCAGAAATAAATACCCATAAAAGAGCAACCAGAGAGTCTGAGTCGTTACAATATGATCGCTGAATTAATGCTGTTAGATTCCAGCCACGTTTGCCTTAATAACTCCACGGTGCATGACCCACGTTAAATGTTTATTAGTGAGATGACTCTTGTTGTGAATCGGTGCAATAAAAATAAACTAAACTGAGTTTACAATTGTGATAGGCTTACACATTGTTTCTGATGATAAGTGTTTTCTGCTGTTTGGAGTGGGGGTTGCATGGGCTGAAACGGACAAAGTGCTCAGCTGTGAGATCATGTCGCTCTCCAACCATAAGAGGCTCATCCTCCCCAGAAACAGACACAAGCTCAAGTGCAACAAGCTGGCCTTCGCCTAGACAACAAAGACATGTTTGTCAGCTTTACAGTAGAATTTTCTTAGTCACTTTATTGTAAACGCTCACCTTCAGCGGAAACGTCGTTGACCTGACAGTTGTCACAGACAATGGTGAACGTTTGAGAGCTTCTCTTGGCTGCGGTTGGGAAGAAAACCAGCTGCAAACATAGAAATGCATAAAACACACGTGTAGTCTTCTCTGTGTCAGTGGCGGTTTTACCATTAGGCAATGGTCGGCGGCCGCCTGGGGCCCCCAAGCCCTGACTGCTGGCACCCCTCTGTTAATGCCACAATGGACTATTCCTTTAAAGGTTGGTTTATGTTTGACGCGTCTGCGAGGTCCGCACGGCTCCGTGCGGAAAATTTCCGTCATTTTAACAACCACGCCCCTCCACCGCACCTCCGCACGGCCCAGAATTTCCGCAACGCGCACCTTGGAAAATTTCTAACCACGCGGACGCGGAAAAACATGGCGGACCCGCAAGAACTAGTATGGCAGAGGTTTGTAAATACAGACATTTGTATGATTCAGCTCTCAGAGATCACCGTGATCAACATGTTGTAAATAATTCTTGGAGAGAAATAGCTCGCACTGTCGGAAAAGACGAGAACGCTCTTAAAAATGCTGAAATGCCATGTTGTAAACAGTAATTTCTACTTCTACTATGGTGTAGTGTTGGGTGCATGCCGTAGAGCTCCATGCTGTCCTGTTCAGTTTGGAAGAATATTGGCTCACCGCAGAGACGAGCCGCACGAACCATAAACGCTGCGAGTTGTGAAGCGCGTTCCATCCGCGAGCCGCATCACCGCACGGAAAGTGAATGCGTCAAGCATAAACCAAGCTTAAGACGCCGATGCACAAACAGGAAGTGATTGGTAGTCATTCCACTCCAATCCAGTTGGTGGCGGTAATGCACCAAATTGCTGTTTGCCAAGTGTCATAACACCACAAATAATAATAATAAGAGAGGCGGGAGCATTTGTAACAAACTTAAAACGGTAGTCAAAAACATTAAGCATGAAATGGAATTATGCTAGTGGCTCCAATGAGAGAAAGAAGCAGCTTGCTTTAAAAAAGATTTTATCTTCACTTCCGAAAGTGACGTCGTTTTTCTACGTAAACATCAAAAGGAAGCCAATGGAAAATGTTAAAAGGGAGGAAAGCATAGACCAAAATAGAAAATAGAAAAATAAAAAGCAAAAGCACAGGAGCACTGACAGGAAGAAGAAAGCAGAGCAAATATTGAAAGCGCTCAAAGGGAGAGAAATACAGGAAAAAAAGAGGACTAATAAAAACTGAAAATAACTCATGTCAGAAGAGGGGAGAGTTTCGCAAATCCAGTTAAAGATAAGATTGTCGAAAATTTAGTGTAAGGGGGCCCCATGTCTGTGTTCGCCTTGGGCCCCCAAATTGCTAAATCCGCCACTGCTGTGTAGACCAAAACAACTACAAGTCCTTCGTAACACAAAATGATGCCAGTTATGAAAATCGGTTATGAAAGATAAAATGCATTCTTAAAACGCCTGATAAGCCTTTAATTATCTCGTGGAAAACAAGTAAGAAAGAATGTGGTAGAAAATAAAGAAAATGAGTCCTATAGTGACTCACCTCTATAAAAATGTCCTCTCCAGGCTGCAGCATAAACAAAGAGGGGCTTACTGCAAAGGGTGGCTGCTCAGAAAAGTGTTTTCTGGACACAGACTGCATAAAGGAAGGAAGTTTTATCACTACGTGTGTGTTGGTTGTGCTTTTTTTCCTTTTTAATCAAGCAACATTTCTTTACCCTAAGATTCCGGGCTGGCCACTGCTCCTTCGGGATGATGCAGAAATTCCCAGAGCTGAGTCCGACATTTCGGCACAGAAACTTAACAAACTTTACCCCCCCAACCAGACAGTACCCACAGTCCAGAACTCTTGGCACTGCACAACAGTTAGTGGGAGTTAGAGCTGAAATGCAGGCCTGGATCATTCTGATTGTGACGTTCCGGCTTACATGTAAGTATGGGAGGGGGTCGCCTTGCTTCAATGGGCACCTTGAGTAGGTGCTTCCCATGAGTCTCCACCACGAGAAGATCCTCGTAGTCCCCCAGCGAGTCCGGAGCAAAACGAACGGTGTACTTGCAGCTCAACCCCGGGGCAACAATGCCCCCTTCGCTCGGGAATCTCCCTGCCAGCACACATCACAGCTTTTTCACTTATTCAGCTATTTTTTTGGTCACATTTCACACAGTACTTCATGTTACACCCAGGAAGAAATAAAAATATTTACCGCATTCTAAAGAGGTCTTAAACCAGTGACATTCTTTTTTAACACAAGTGACTTCAGCATGACATCACATGGCTTTAAACTACGATCCAGAGCTGAAAGAGACTCACCCAGACCAATGGAGAAGTACTGAGTGTTAGGAGGGATGACTCTGACATGGCAGCTTGTGGAAGTTGTGTTTATCAGCTCCAGCGTGGACTGACACATGACAGGGGACGTTACTGTGCGCCGTATTCTCCGTTAGGATTGTTGTTAGCGTGTGACAAAGACAAACCTCATAAATATGTCCCACGATGTAGTCGGTGAAGACAATCACAGAGGGTTTAGCGATGAAGACTGGGGCCGGGTCGTCACTGGAGGTTTTCAGAATGGGACAAACAGTCTGAACTAAACACATCAGAATACGGGCTCACAGGAAGTGATGAGCTAGCCGACATTGCTCATCAGTGGTCAGTGATTTACATTTTACCGTTAAACCTCAGAATTGCTGAAAAGACCATCAATCCAACATGACAGTTCCAAATGGGAAACTGGTGCCTCCATAGTTGGTCGGGGTTTAGTCTGATAAGGTATCAGTTTACACATATGTGGACAACAGGTGTGCAGCTGTTTGCACACAGAGATAAATGACACTCACGTTTCATGAGGTATTATCTGAGCCTGATGTGTTTCCCCGACTAAAGCTTCCAGAGTCAGCCTCTGTCAATATTGTGAGCTGTTTTTTGTAACCCTGTGAATCAACATTTACTTTGAAACGACAGAAAAGGCCTTTATCATGACTACGTTGTGGTACCTTTGATCCTCAGAGACTTTCGTGCTGCGCTTATTCTTCACTTTGGCTCGGATCAGGGACGATCCGCCGTCACGCGCGTTCGGCGGAAGAAAGCGCGGATTGCGTAAGTAGTCGTTTCGATCTTTCAGCTTACGCAGTCGCTCCCTTTCCTCGACACTTGGCTCGCACATCCATTTTGGTTTGGGTTTGGTCTGGTTCTGCTTCTAAACACATGGAATAAAAAAAGCCGAATTTCATATCTATTTATGAATGAACGTGTAAACAAATCACTCATCCAGACTTTTTCTTCACTTTCCCTCCACGATCCTTGCAAGTGCACATGGACAGCAATAAAACTAATAATTAACTACAGATTAAGACGCAGCAGTTACCTCTTTGGGGGTTCTCTTCTTCTTTGGGGTATCTGAATCAGACTCACAGGTAAGTCTATCGTCTAAATCGTTCATTTTTTCCACAATCTCCTTTGAGCTTGGACTCAGCGAATCATCATCACCACAAGACTCGCAGGCTTTTGTGAGCTTTACAAAGCTAAGTGTAACTGACAAGATTAAAACAAGTTAAAAACAGACTGAATTACACCACACCTGTTAAAAATATGTCTCAAAAAGTGTCAGATACCTGGAGCTGATTCTCGTACTTGTGGCTTTTGTGTGTTTAAGTAGTCCTCGGGGGAGATCAGGTTGTTTCTTCTGAGAAGTTCTTCATCAACATACCAGGAGAAGGTTGATATGACTGAACCTTAAAACATATGCCATCATTTTAAAATATGTGAAGATAAGATATAGGCAATAGTTTAAACATTTTAAATGTGTTTCCATCCAATCACTGCATTACTATAAGTAGGTTTGCTGCCATGATAGGATGCATCAGTGAGCCAAGATCTGGTCATAAAAACGGAGGTTGTTTGATTTCAGGACGTCCACATGGCCCTCACTCTTCATCAATACCATGGAGAGGGAAAAAGTGCTTTTCAACACGCTTTAGGAACCTGCATAACTAAGTCCACTCTGGTTAAGGAAGCACGGAGCAATTAAAACAAGCTGGATATGATGGTCTGGTGGCTCAGGGGTCACTTTGGTTAACATGTCAGATGTGGGAAAGTAGAAGTTTTTGTGCTTTTTAAGTTTCTTTTTGTAATAGTAATCTAAAAGGCTGTATGGTGGTACCGAAAAGTACCCACAGCAAAGGGTCAACACAAAATTTGCACCCCTAAAGGTACAGTTTGGTAATTTTCTGAGTGTGGGGGAGGTATGTCCAATGGCCAAGGTAATTTGTGGCACTGTTTTTGTTTGGCCCTCATTAATGAAGCTAAACAATTTATAGACACACACACACACACACACACACACACACACACACACACACACACACACACACACACGTATATATATATATATATATATATATATATATATATATATATATATATATATATATATATATATATAATTTCAATTTTTTTTTACATTTTTAAAATAAAAACTAACAATTTTGGTGTGGTGAGGACATTTGGTGTAGAGAGAATTGTATGCCAAAGGATGGAGGTGACACTATGACACAATTAACCATTTAAACTGTTTTATTTCATGTTTGTTAATGTGTTGTCTTGTTGTGTGGATTACAAGAAACCTCCTTGGATTTGTATCATTACCAGATTCAATCTCACCTTTTAACAGCCCCTGGTGATCAGAAACACCTAATTCCTTCATCATGCCCTCATAGAGCTGCCTCTCTTCATCCATAGACCGAGCACTGGCCTGTATGATATGATCCTTCAACATGTCAGCCTCCTTTATATGCAGCTCATACTCAGAAAGAGCCTGTGTTGGTGGAAAATAATGTAAGAATCCAGATGTACCCATTTTCCTCCAACAAAAACATAAAGTGTGGTGTACTGTTACCTGTTGAAGATCCTCATGACAGCTGATTCGTCTTGCCTTGGTGTGAACAAGGTTGGACAGTGTGTCTTTGTCGTTTGTGTACATTTCAGGGAAAACGCTCGCTAATATTTGAGAAATGTCCTAAAGTGAAACATTATTTTTACTGTCAGCAGTATGTTCACACAGTTTCAACAGAACCTAATCGAACCTGTGATTTTCCTGAAGCGGGTGTGTGGTTTCCTGAAAGGTCAACAAGCCGCGGCTGTATCTGGTCTGACTCGTCCATCATTGCTGATTCAGCAGCAGGAAGCTTGTGCTATTTTAACAGTCAATGCTAACAAAAGTTCCGAAACGGTGAATCATAAGTTATGTTTAAAACACGTAAAACTTTAGTGACAACCAAAACGACATCAATGTTAGCTTAAACTTGCTGTGTTAGCTTCTAAATCTAAAATACATTCAGCTCAATTCGTCCACATTTGGTTGCTTAGCAACCACCAAAAGGGAAGAAGACCCCGGAGAACTTTTCAGTCTATCTAACTAGCATCCAGATAAACTCACCACTAAATAGTTTTTATTTTAAAACCTATTTTAACTCATTCAAATCAAGTTAATATAAGTATGTAAATGTTGAAAATACAATTAATTCTATAAATGTTTCACTTCCGTATTCGGCTTTTAAGTCAAAAGCAACAGAAAGCAGAGTAGGATGAAGTGAAGATCAGCAGTGTTGTTCAACGCAGCCTATTCCAAACCCTGCCTGGACAAAGTTTAAAATTCAAGTTAAAGAGACATGTGGGTCACAAATTTTTTTTATTGTAAAAGTGTAAAAAAAATTGAGGTTTTAAAACTTGTTCAACAATATTTTAATCAAAGGAACAAACATGGTCTGTCTAAAAAAATGGATTTGTATATTTTTGTAGATACCAGGCTTTAAAAATGGTCTCCTACATGCACCTTAATGAAAGGGAAACAACAAATTCCCTGAATTTGTTGGGTTGATTGTTTAACATTTCCTTGGTCTTGGACATAAATTTTGTTCATTTTCAGCAGTAATGGGATTCTGTCACTCATTCATCAGTTATGTCTGTGGCATTTATGTATGTACGATTTATGTATGGTCTGTTTCAGCACAGGTTCTGCTTTTGAGGGCAGAGACCAATTTCCAATTCTTGTACCGCAAAACTGATTCTACATTCAAGGTATCACAGAAGAAGAATTGAGAATAAAGGATCACTTATTTGTCTTTTATACGAATTCAAATGAACAGTTGAAAAATGACTGCAATTCCAAGACAACAGATTATTTCCTTTCGCCAAGTAGGCAGTTTTACAGAGAAAGTCGACTTCACAGACAGTCTAAATAAGATTAATACACAAACGACCATGTAAATTTTTCTACCAAACATAAGACCAACATTATCACATTAAATAAACACATTTTACCACAGTTGCAGGAATGTTTTCAGCTCTTTCTCTCTCTCTATATATGTTACGATCCAGGCTGTCTAGGGGGCCTGGGGTAACAATTGAGGACGCATGTTCTCGTGTTACAGTTAACAAAACAACATTTATTTACACAAATATAACACAAAACACAGATTATCAAGAAAAGACACATCGGCAGCAACTGAAAACTAGTAACAACGACTAAACTCTCTCATTAACCAAATCAATACCAAAACTTTGAAATACCATCACACAACTTCCTTAACCGAGTGAGGTCTTATTTAACCCTCTCAGGCTCAAAGTAAGTTTTGATAAAAGGACGAACAACTAAGTCCTTCAGGGGTACTTCTGAGTTCAAAAATGCTCATGAAATACGTATGTGGAGTAACCAGGTAGGTAGGTTTTAACTGTTGCAAATCTGCAACGCCTGCCTCCAGAGGGTTAAAGCAAAGCAAAGCAAAGTGTAAAGTTTCCTTTGCACTGAAAATGGTTGCAGTTAGAGTTTTTCAAAGCACCTGCCAAAGTTGTTACATTAAACTTAATTTAACTAAACTAAACCAAATGCGTCTGAGGAGACAACAGACCAGAGAGAACCTCTCTGGTCAGCTGCTCCCTGAACTGAGGGCTGGGTGATTTTTATGTTGCTGGCAGAGCTGATCATCAGGCACAGCTGAGAGAGTCTAAGGCCCTGTCCACACGTAGCCGGGGATCTGCCAAAACGTAGATATTTTTCTACGTTTTGGCCTGTCATCCACACGAAAACGGAGTTTTTTCACAGGAAAACGGATCTTTTTAAAAACTCTGGCCAAAGTGAAGATCTGCGTTTTCTCCGTTTTGGGTGTCTGCGTGTGGACAGACAAAACCGGAGTTTTAAGGTCTGCAACGTCACTTTCCGCAACAAAACAATGCTGACATCACGTGTGCGACCTGTGTTTACACTAGCCGACAGAATGGATGCCCTCAGAGCTGCGATCGCTTTATCAATTGTCCAAGCGCTTTTTGCTTGTTTGTTTTTGCAAGCGGAATTACTGCTCCTTGCGGAAGACCACAGACGAAGGACGAGGTTAAGAACGGGGGAAGTACTGCCGCCTACAGGTCTGGCATGTCCTTAACAACGTATTTATCCGGGTACGTGTGGACAGAGTTTTTTTTTTAAACGAGGTGGTGTGGATGCAAGTTTTTGGAGGGGCGGATATTCGTTTCTTAAAAAAACCCGGCTACGTGTGGACTAGGCCTAAATTGGAGGCAATCTAGTGAGATGGGAGACAGGTGCCGCATCTCCGCTCACACATAAACTAAAACTCAGGGAAAAACCCAAATGGCCCTGGGCCATAACAGAAAGAAAGAAAGAAAGAAAGAAAGAAAGAAAGAAAGAAAGAAAGAGAGAGAGAGAGAGAGAGAGAGGGAGAGAGAGAGAGGAGAGAGGAGAGAGAGAGAGAGAGAGAGAGAGAGGGAGAGAGAGAGAGAGAGAGAGAGAGAGAGAGAGAGAGAGAGAGAGAGAGAGAGAGAGAGAGAGAGAGAGAGAGAGAGAGAGAGAGAAGTTCCAGCACCTTCTAGCCTGTGGGTGCAGACAAAAGGCCTGCTTAGTGAAGCCTCTGGTGGATTACCACTGGGGCTCCTATTTGCAGGATGTCAAGTGTGTTTTGAGTAAACATACACTTAAACCCCAATACCATGTTCAGACTCCGTTTCATGGTCACCAGCTGTGTTGTAACATAAATGGGGGCTTGTCCGGGACTTGTTGAGCTGTTGTAGTTAGACTGAACCTGGAGTTTGATGAGTGTTATTTTTTGCAGCCAGCCCTGAGAGTGAAGTTTTAGTAGCTTTTGTATACGTCTTGTGTTGAGCCCACCTAGTTCTTCTCCGATGAACTTTAAGCTTCAGAGACTGTAGTTTCTGTTCTGTGCAGTCTTGTCCAGCATGACTGTTCTTTCTGTTGTGTAGGCTAGACACATTAATAGTTTGTTTTATTTGGGTTGTTTTGGCATATGAAAATGACTGAAGTGGGTTTCTGATGGCTTCTGGTGTTGCAGTGTTGGTGTTGCTGGCTAAGTAAAATATTGCAGAGCCACACTATTTGTGATCATTTTGTGTGGGTATGACCCAACCTTTTTGTGACCATTTGTATTGTTTTTGACAACAGTTCCCTTTTGAGCGGGTTGTTTTTTTGAGCCACATGGTGAGAGGATGTAGTTTTGCTTTTAGGACTCTGTCAAAGCTGACCTTTGTTCCTCAAACATCAATGGCATGTTGTGGTTTTGTCAGTGGTTGGTAGTCTTGTTTTCGTGGTTGTTATGTTCAGTTTTCTGTTCACTCAGGGTAGACAGAGCACACTAGATTTTTCAGCCCTATGTGGGCTGGTCTGAGCGCCGCTGTCTCTCTTCTTATTTTCTCTAGGCCGACTTTTCTATTGAAATATTATTGAAGGAAATCATACTTTGATCTTCTGCTCTCATCATTTTTTACTGGTTTGAGCCACACTAAAGGGTCTTGGGCTTGGACCTGGTGAGTATCAGGAGGAACTCTTTAAGATGGGGAGGTGTTATACCACTCTGCCTCTCCATTAGCCAGGCTGTTGCGCAGGCCTTGACGGCACCATGTTACAGGGAGTAGAAATAAAGAAGATGGCTTGATGTACTTGAAGTACCTTTGGTCTACAGTCCAAAGCAAAAGCAAAGCAATGTGGAAAAGTGTGAAAAGGTGTGTGCAAGCAGTTTGCAATGAAGTGCAAGTGTGATCAAAGGGTGTCAGCATGAAGGAAAGGAAAGGAGTAGACAATTAGACCAGCCATGTTGTCTCATTTAGAGAATGTCTGAGAGGAAAAGACAGGAGACAGACCTGGAGGTTGTAGAGCTCATGCTGATGTTCTGTTTGGTGGAGATGGCAAAGGATAGGATCAGGAATGGGTCCATCAGAGGAACCACTCATGTTAAACTGAGATGGTTTGGACATGTCCAGAGGAGAACTTATGATTACATAGGTAGAAGGATGCTGAGAGGAAGACCAAACCAGACTTTTATGGATGTGGTGAAAGGGGACTTGAGAAGAAGATGCAGAAGATGGGACTATATGGAGAGAGGATTCACTGTAGAGACCGCCAAAGGGAAAAGCCAAAAGAGAAAGAAGAGAGTGATGGGTGAAGGTGGTGTAACGACATAAAAACAAATGAAGTGGCCTCAGGTGTCATTCTTCAAAACCTGCAGCCTTGACTCTCCTTCCCATGTGGTTTCACCACCAGCAACACCTTGAAACGTGTAACCAAAACCATTCCCATGTTGGTCAGGTAAGCAAACAGCTCACAGCGAGCCTGAAAAGTGCATTACGTATGGATCAGTGACTCACACATGACGCCTCAATGATCATCAGAATCAGACGTCTTTTGATCAGGAGGTGACACATCTGCAAAAACCAACAGAGTTATAATCCAAGTTTATAAACCTCAGTCTCTGTTATTTGTTAGATTACTACAAATCCACCGTGACCTTTTCCATGAATCTTCATGCAAAGTCTTTTACAAAGCATGTGGTGTGTCTGGTTTCATGCAAAAAGATTGGTCTTTGCTTACAATAATAGTGCAGGTCCAAAGATGCTTGAATGTCAGTTTGCTGCAAAGGTCAAAATTCCTCAGATGTCCAAAACAAAATGTGTGATTGTGCTGATCAGCAGATCTGGTTATTATGTGGGATTCTGAAAGAGGGGATTGTTAAACTCATGTTGTGTCTCAGACTTAACAGAGCAGTAAAACGCATTATTAGCAATACTGTAAAATAATGGGAAATATCTGCTTTTGGTGACGACAACCAAATAATAAAAGCTGCGTACCTCTGATATCTGTTCTCCTCAAAATTAGGAGTTAAATCTGCTTCGATTCCAGAATCAAAGTCTTGTGTTTTTCACATTCATACAACACTAAACCATTTATTACGGTGATTTAACAGTGATAAGGTCAAAAAGGAGAACACACAACCAGAAAAACAGGTCAGCAGCATGGAGAAACTCCCTAACCGATTTAGATCATCTCTGAGTGGATAAATATGGAAAATCGCATGACAGCCTCATTTTAATACCCAAACATCAGTGTAGCTGTAAACTTATGTAATTCGTCCAGTCTTAGAAGTATTAGAAGTCTGTCTCAGTTAGATTCCTCCTGAAGGTGTAGTTTCAGTCACCGGACAAGAATCTGCCTGAAAACACACGCACAGTGTTGGACTTGTCAGACTAGTGCTCCAGTGGGTGTGGACTCACAGAACAGAGGAACTCGAGGTTGGAATTGGCTGAGTGGGTTGGCTCAGAGGGGCACTTGGGGAGAATTTTTTCCCCCTCACACACAGACAAACAGAGGAATTACACAGCTGGGTTAGTCCACTCAGTTAGGACAGTCTGGGAGAAACACAAGGAGCTTTAACTCAGCATGGACTCTGGGAAACACGGTGAGTAGATTTTTTGCTTCATCGCTCCTATAGAAGGGCGTCATGCTGATTCTTGACTATTTATTTTCATTGTTTTTGACATGAAGGAGCTTTGTAAGCTCAAAGGGCATTCACAAAAGTAGTATTAGGGTTCACATAGATGCTTAAAATATTTCTAAGTGCTCGGCTCTTTGATGGGTTCCTCTAAAATTGATGATAGTATTAACTTTTATGAGACATAAAGTGAAATAAGTACTTTGATCACATGTTTTTTTCACGTATAGTTTGTGAAAACCATCATCGCTAATATAAAGTGCTAGATAATCATTAAAACTCACATTGAAAGTGATTAGATTTGATTTGGTGACTTTAGTGAGTAAAGTACCTCCTAAATAGTGTTCGAGTACTTTAAAATAAACACATATTACTGGTGTATAACTCCAGAAACGTTGCTTTTTAAATTTTAATTACATAGAAGTCGTGATTACAACTCAAAACAGTTCTGCAACAATTAGTGAATGTGCAATACATGATGCTACCACCAGGTGGTGGTGTTTCCTATCAAATGGAGTCAAACCTGAAGGTAAAGTTTAGAAACAAAACTAAGCGTCCCACCCAGCTGGTTCAAAGCAAAAAAAATGCTGCTTCTAACATGTGGAGGCGTATTTTTTCTTAAAGTGAGACTTACTAAAGACATTTAAGATATTAGTTTGTGTATTTATTTTATATTTATCTGAAGTGAACGCTGACAGGTAGCTGAATGTGGCTGCTAATGCCTGCGTCTAGACCCGCCCCGTGCTGGAGGTAGGGGGAGACGAGACTATCCGTTCCTCTCCTCCAGCAGAACTCATGCACATTTTAGTCCATTAAAATTATGTCCTGCCTGAGAAGGCATCCAAAAAGGACAAAATCCGAGGAACGGGTTTATCAGGAGGAGCTGAGAAAACATGAGCAGGATAACGGAAGACGTCTGGGTGAGTCCGCTTTTAAACGCGCAGTGATGTGCGCCAGACGCAGACGCTCTTTTTGTTTATTTGGCAACATAAACAGGAGCGCGCGGGTTGTGTTTGGGTAACCTGGATTGCAGATTGTGATTTTCCATCGGAATACAATCACTGACTATTTGAGAGACGTCTTCGTTGCGTAGACCCGCACATTCTTCTTGTTGATCATTTTTTTCTGTCCTGTGAAAATATTTTAAAAGCTCCAGGCAGCTGGTTAAAATTTCTGCCAGTTTTGTTGCTTATCTGTCTTTTTGAGAATTTCCTGTTTCCTTGTTAGAGATAGGAAAATGTTGGCCAATCTGTCAGCTGTTAGTGACTTTAAATTTTAATCACTTCTGTAATTCAGCACTCATTTGTCAGTGTTTCTTAGAAGGGTTCAGTCATAATTCCTCCCTGTTTGCTTGTAAAACATCTAAATCCAATGATTTTGCTTCAGAGAACTCCTCCATAAACCGTGTAATACATTCCACATGCGAGATGATAGTTAAACATTAACCCTTTCATTTCCTCAGCTATCTGCTACTCAGTTCTGAAATGAAAGTTGGGATTAACAACGTCAAAACCAGTTTTAAAGCTCAAAACTGAAGAACTGGGATGCATTTGAGTGTCATTTGTCACTCCTCAAAGTCAGTTGTCTTTATTGTTTCACCCTAATTCTCAGAAACCTGCCCTAGCCTGCCTCAGAGCTGTGGATTAAAAAGTCCTCCCTGTTTTTCCTTTGAAACTCATGAGTCAGCTCACAGCAAGACTGTACTACTCTTTTCATAAAACTGAAATTGTGCACTATAGTCGTCTAACAGGTTGGGCCTCCCACTTTTCTCTGACAGCAACCGAAAGTGTGTCTGTGCCAAAAGCATCTTCGAGAAATCATAAAAGCTGGTAAAACTGCGTCTGGAAATTTGTTTGACAATCTTTAGTGGAAAAATACCCATGAACGTGTCCAAACAAATGTCCTATACACCTAAAATAATGAGTACACAGGAATAGGTAATTATGTGTTCGAGCTACTAATGTGTAACTAAGACAAACAAGTACAATGTACATAAAAATGTGCTTAAATACAAGTTCAGTCAACAAACGTTCAAGAACTAGTGGTTTGTCTTATTTGTAGTACCGTTAAAGGTGCAGTGTGTAAAAATAATTAAGACGACATCCTGTGGTCAAATTTGGTCACTGCAATCAGTCTCTCGTCCCTGTTCCATGAGTTTAATGCCGTTGCCAGTTACGGCTCACCACCAGAAGATTCCAGATAACAAGCAAAGTCATGTCATACACAGTACGTGGATAAGTAAATAAATACATTGTCATAGCTGGTGATGGCACTCTTGGGTGTTTAACAGTAGGGAGCTCTTACCACACTTATTACGGTAATATTCCTCCGCCATAGAGGAAGTGTCGTTTTTACCGTCTGGCTGTTAGCTTGCTTTTATAGTTCTAAATGACTCATTTAAGGAAGTAAAGCACTATGTGGGACTCATTCACTTCACACACATTTCACTGTAATATCGAGTTGTTGTTAATTGAAAAAGTAGCTTGAGATATTTTTATAGCCGACTCTTTGCTTCTAACTCATTGTTAGCATTGCTAGATCAATGCTAGCTTTTAACCTTCTTTACCCGGTATTAGAATAAAACAAAAAGATGCAGTGGCTTCTTATGGGTGCAAGAAATAACTTCTAGGTTGCTCCTGTTACTGGCTTTGGTTCTTTAAACTCAGAAGCTTTTTGTCAGCTGTAGTTGAATTACAAATGTCGGCGCTGAAGCGTTAGCTTGCAGGAGACATGGCCACCTCACACTCACTGATGGTAAATAGCTATGTCCCTACATCCTTTAGTTTGAAATGAAAAAAACTGAGAACCTCCGCACTGTGAATAAAATGTGTTTCAGTATAACTGTCCTTCCAACATGACGGAGACATTGGACTGTTTTGGGACTATTTCACTGTACTTTATTCCTCCACACTGCACCTTTAACTATTAGTAGCTCAAACACATAATTACATTTTATTGTGTGCTTATTTTAATTGCAACCAATTTGCATGCTTTTTCCTAGTAAGGTGAACTAATCAGATTTTACAGTGTATGTCCTCATACGCCGCTGTTTCTAGGAAATCTTGATCCTTGATTGTTTTACAAACAAAAAACAATCCAAACCCTCCTTTTCAAATGCAACTGGTTTTTATTTACAGAGTCTGTGTTTTGTGAATCGTTCCCTCAGCTGAGCTCACACGCCCCTCCCATCAAAGCCATAATCAGCCTGCTGCTTGACTTGGTTATTTGTACGGTGAGCTCTGAACACAGACAAAGGAATTGAAGTAAAAAGAATGGCCATAACAGGACAAAAATAGGATTAAGAGATTAAAGTGCTTCAAATAAAAGGATTTTATGTGTATTTTCTATAACATTTATATGTAATTGCAAAATCAAATTAGGATTTTATGTTATAGAGGCACAAAACCCATTAATTAAGTTTTACTCAGGGATTTTTAATATTAGAAAAATTATATTATTGCAGTAATAATCAGTTTTCCCCCAATCTCCTTTTCTTCCTCTAACACAACATCCCCCGTGTATTTTAGCATTTTGTCTACTTTTATCAAATTAAACAGAGTTTTAGGATATCTGATTGCAAATCACTGGTATGGAGTGTTTTCAGGTTACTATCATAGTATTCTGTCATGTCAAGCTCTAACATTTTAAGTATACATTTTGTTTTTAAATATGTTATTTTGGCCATTTTGAAGAGTGTTTTTGTGTAAAAGTTATAAATAACAAAATAACCTCAGTTTGGAGAAATGGCTATCACATTCTACCAGACTGATAGTTTAGAGAAATGCTGCACGTCCTGTTTATTTGAGGGTCAAAGCTTGCAGAATTGTAAACGCCATTCAACGTCTTGAATGGCATTTACATGAATCGTGAAATTTAGATTAGAGCTATTTTAAAAAGACAGGAATACATTTTCATCTTGGCTGTGCTCAGACTAGCCATTAGCTTATCAATCTCGAAAGACTTTAAGAACCAGTTCAAAAAAGTATCTACTACGGGAAAAATAACTTTCACAAAATGTTCAAAATATCCCTTTTAGGATTTATTCATATTAAGAATTTGAGAAAATATCAATACACTAAAGTTTTGCAATATTTTGTGTTATGATACTGACTGAATTGATATCTAAAAGCAGTATATTGTTTTTTTTTATCAAGCATTTACATGCAAACATTTGATGCATTTCTTTTGTGTGGTGCAATTCAAACTCCGACTGCTAGGTGGCAGCAGCTTTTGCCGCTTGCTTTCTAACGGAACAACGAGATCTTGTGATACGACTAGATGTGCCTTATTGTCCGTCCTGTTTTCCAATGAAATTCATTCTTCAAAATTGCAATTTTCGTCTGGTGTTCAGTACTTTAGTATCGCAGCTCATCGTATCGTGTGCCCAGTGTTGTGATACATATCGTATCGCCAGATTCTTGCCATTACACACCCCTAATTCATATGTTTTCTGAATTCAATGAAGAACAGCGAATAAAGTAAAACTTGTGGAATTTATCCAAAATGTTTGATTTGTCCCACGTGAATGTAAAACCTTAATGAATCTTTTGGGAGATATCCAACATGGTGGTGATGGTGGTGCATCCTTTAGATGTTTGATCAGACTGAAATCTCTAGGTGCTGGATTAATAATCTGGATTTTATTGGATTTTTGAGCTCATTGGGAATAGTTAAGATTGCTCGGTTAGCTTCATGTTAAAGAGAAATAAACTATTTCTTTCTCTCCGCCTGCTGCTCACGTTTGCGTCCTTGGTGTGCTTAGTAGATCTTGTGTTGTCTCTGTTCTCCCAGGTCTGGAGGGAGACCCAGATCTCCAGTTCCTCCTGAATGGCGGGAAGCTGATGAAGGTTCGGTCGAACTCCTGGCAGAAGAACCGATTCTATAAGCTGCAGGAAGACTGCAGAACCATGACCTACAACTCTAAGAAGAAATTCAATCGGAAGCGGACCTGTGAGTCTTGTTTTGTCATGTCTTTGCAGGTTAAAGCTTTACAGCACACACTAGACTACGTCATCAACAGTGTTGGGATGGAAACAGCACACAAATGCTGGGGTGTGGACTGAAAACTTACTGCACACCCCCTGTGTTTGTGTGTCTGTGGCAGCTCTGATTTCCCGCCTATGGTTTGCCGATAACCTCTGCCCTCAAACTGAGCTCTGAACAAACACAGACGTGCTTCCTTAGAGATGTGCATGTGTGTTTCAGTGTTTGCAGGATGAAGCTTCTGCATGTGTGGGAGAAAACCACAATTTCCACTCAGCTCAGGGAAGACACGTTAGAGCAGTAGGTGTTGTTTTCAGCCATATTTTGAATGTGATGGTGCTCACTAAGAGGGAGGAGCTTTAAACCACAAGCTGAAGTCAACACCTTTAAACAGACTGTAGTCATTGTTGTTCCAGAATTAAAGTTAAAGGTGTGCAACACTGACAATCTATTTTCAATGATTATTTCTGATTATAATCGGTCACTCTGGGTCTTTCATGCAGGCTGAACATGAAAATAATCTCCTGTTATATATGCAGTCACTCTTTATTAACTCATTCACCGCCAGCTGTTTCCTGATCAGAAAAGCCCTTTGCTGCCAGCTTTTTTCAGCGTTTCATTGTTTTTTTGTGAGTCACAGAACGTTTGCGCTCTATGATGGTGTCGACGCCAAAACTACCAAAAACAAAAAGAGGAGACTCACCTCTTACATCAGGAAGAATCCATGCATTTCGAGCGTTATCCATTCTTTCATAATCTGTTCTCGAATTGTGATCGGCAGAAGCTTTTCCGGTTCGCGCCTCACTTCTTTTTTACAGCAGCGGCCCAAAACGATCTCCTAACACATGGATTTTCTACTTCCTGATCACGTGACGTGTGACGTACGCCGATGAAGATCGGCTTTGTTCTCACGGTGCGGGGGCTCGTTCCCACGCCCACACAGTAAAAAAAATGCAAATGACGACTACGGTTGGATTTAAAATGACGACTTCAGTCGTCATTGGCAGTTAATGAGTTAATCTAGAAATAAGCTAAATAATAGTTTTTCATTTGTTCTGACACATTTATTCAAAGGTCTACGATTTCCCACGACTTCCTCTTTAATTGTGACGGGGTTATGTTGTTTTAACGCCTTCATGCAACTCTCGGTCAGCTATTTTATATTAAAGGTGATTATTTTGCGGTTATGATCCAACAGCGAGATGAACTGTATCCTTATCAGATCAGAATTTGATTAAACAATTTCTGGATTCACATTCAAATCCATCTAACAGGCCGGGTAAGATGGAGGTTTCTATTCTAATGAGGTAGTTTTGTGTACATTTCCCTATTAAATGCTTTATGGTGTTAGAAGCTATTAAATAATCTGAAATGTTCACACACATTATGCGGCACACGTAACCTCTGCAACTCAACCTATTTTTGCACTAGAACAGTTTTTCGAGCCACCACAGCCCTCTCTCTGCATAACATCTCAAACATTCCAACAATCCTTTCTCGACAAAGATGATCCCACTTCGGCTTTGTGGTCAGAGTCTCTTGATGGAATTCTCCTAAACGGATCCTGTTTCACAACCTCTGTTTTGTTGGAAACAACGTGCACGCGCACTTGAAGCTGACACTCCCTTCTTGTGTTCAGCGTGAAGGCTTTCTGTTTATCCACCGTTTTGTAAAATGCAGTGCTTTCAGAGATTTATCTCTCTGCGCCGCGCCCTCTGGGTTTTTCTAGTCCGTCTGTTGCCATCTGAGCTCCTTATTCTCCGAGGACAGTAGAAGAGTAGAAACAACCACCACTGTGACTTTTGTTAGCGTGTTTGCATCATGTTGCTGAAACATGCAGAAACCTTTAGTTTATATTGTCAGGGTCTGGAAGGAAACTTTCTCTACTTTCTGAGTCGATGGAAAGAAAGAGAAAAACACAAGAGACTGATAAAGTTTTGTGTGATATGTTGCCAAAGAATCCTAAGAGACCAGACCTGAAAAGGCTGTTCACGGATCACTGATGGATCCTTGTAGCAAATTTTACATGATCTCTTTAAAGAGCTGTTTCCTGAAAACGTCTCGATATGTTCTCCTTTACCCAGAATTTACCTTGGTTTAAGAGTTAAAGAGATCAAATTAAACAGCTTAAATAATATTTAGGGAACAGATTGTAATTTAAAGGTGTTTTTGACACCAAAAGGTTATGGCAGAGGTAGGCAGTTCTGGTCCTTGTTTTTGTTGTTTCCCTGCTCAACACAAAAAACATTCAATGGTTGTACCATCTGTTCAGGTTCTGTAGAAACCTGTTAATCACCTGCTGAACAAAATCAGATGTGATGGAAAAGAGAAACAACTCAAATCTGCTGGGTAGCAGCACTCGAGGACCAGCATTGCCTACTCCTGCCTTATGGAGTTCCACAGGGTCGTGTGCTCGGTCCTGCTCTCTTACTTTTGCATGTTTTAGATAATAATGTTTTTATTCTTAGGAATCTTTTATACGGTGTTTTAGCCTAAATTCCTTTTAGAAATAAACTTATGTGCTTCTTTTATGAAATATTGTTTCTAATTTGAATAAATGTTTCAGCTCCCAAAATATGAACCTAAATACCTCTTGGAAATAAACGAGTGTTTAAAAGCAAAAAGCAGAATCTTCATCTGTTAAACTCTAGTTTAGTTTTACGTGCTTTCTGATTAGGTTCTGATATGTCACACTTTAAGATTCGAATTTTTGCAAAACAATTTTATTTAAATCTAATTTTATTAAATAAGAAATTACCGGTAGGCAAAATCTGAAATTCAATGTAATATCCTTATTTTTGGCATCAAGACTTTTTCTAATTACCCTTTTACAACAAAAACCTTTTCAATGGATCAAACCAAACAGACTTACTTGATGTAAAAACCTCTTTTCTTAGATTCAAAAAGTTTTTTTGTTAAGGGCATTTAAAAACAAACACTTTCCTTTATGTACCTTATCCTGATGATAAGATATGAAGACACACTGGAACTAGTAGTCTGCTGCTACTGGATATTGACAACAATGACTGATGACTACGAGCAGAATGGTTGACTATTTACATTTGTCAGACTTTTCAAGATGGGTTCTTCTTTGGTAAATTGTACTTTTTGGATGTGAACTCACTTGTTATGGTGACATCTCTAACAAATCTTCTGTTGTTTCCAGTTGCCATTGACGACATTGAGTCGGTGCGTAAAGGCCGTCAGTCCGAGGGGCTTAAAAAATACACCCAGGACAGCGATGAAGACAAGTGCTTCTCCGTCATATTTAAGGGACGCAAGAAGATTCTTGACTTCATGACGGCTTCTAAAGAGGAAGCAAACCAGTGGGTGACCAGTTTGGAGAAGGTCATCAGCAGCATACGCAACCTGAACAACAAGCAGAAGAGTGAGCAGTATCCTTTATGCAGCTAATGAAAGGCTTTGCCTCTCCAAAGCGTTCTCCTCTCCTTACATCTAAATGCCAGCTGGATCATCAACTGCATGCGGAAAGCAGACAAGAACAAAGACAACAAGATGACTCTGAAAGAGCTGAAGCATTTTCTGCGACAGATCAACGTTGAGGTCAGCGACACCTACGCAGCCGAGATATTCAAGGTGAGTCAATTCCAGGTCATATCTTAAAAAACGTTTTCATTTGATGACGAATGTCTTGCGTTTGCACAGAAATGCGACACATCAAACTCAGGAACCCTGGAAGGCACAGAGATCAAGGAATTCTATGACCTGCTGACGCACCGCGAGGAGATAAAGGTGATCTATGAGAGTTACGCTAAAACAGAGGGTCAGATGAGTGACGAGGACCTGGTGAGCTTCCTCCAGAAAGAACAAAGGGAACAAGCGTCCTTGGCGGACGCACACAGGCTGATTGAGGAATGCGAAATGGATGAAACAGGTAAGAGTTCACCCAGAAATGGATCTTTTAGGGGTAGATTTGCTCCATAGGGACTCACTGTTCCTCCTAACAGCAAAGCAGCAGAAGAGGATGACCAAAGATGGCTTCCTGATGTACCTGCAGCAAGAGGAAACGTGCATCTTCAACCCAGCTCACAAAAAAGTGTATCAGGACATGACTCAGCCTCTCAATCACTACTTTATCTCCTCATCTCACAACACCTACCTGATGGAGGACCAGCTCAAAGGGCCCAGCAGCACAGAGGCCTACATAAAGTAAGTACTCTTACATGCCATTGTAACAATATTACATATCAGGCTAAACGTGCACCGATAGGCCATCTCATGCTAGAAGTAACTAACACAAATCCTCAAGATGTATGATAGAAACGGTAAAGGAAAAGTCATAGATTTGTTTGTAAAAGTTAGATCGTTTCAACGTAACAAGTTTAAAGAGACAATGTGTAGTTTTATCATTAATCTCTGGAAATATTAATCAAAATGTTGTAGAAAATGAATGAAACGATGCCCAGTTGTTGAAAAATATTGGCGACTTTGTAACATAAAACCATAAAAATCAGGTCTAAAAACATGGGAGCGGGTCTAAGTCTCTGGGTGATGCCATATTTCTTTCTAAGCGAGCCCATGAGGACAAAATGCATGTACTGATTTGTAACAAGTGGTTACAAAACTTTTGTCATTCTTAAATGTTGTTAAGTAACACATTTACTTCTTCACTTGTTTCCAGTGATGAAAGGGAGTCTGATGTGCTTGTTATTTAGCTAAAGTTTGCACTCCCCAGGGCTTTTTCACCCTAATGGGTATCCATTGGAAAGGTCTTACTCCAACACAAAACTTCTGCTTGCTTGCAATATATATATATATATATATATATATATGTATGTATATGTGTGTAATGTCACGAATGGCCTGATTTTAAGACTCACAGGTCAGATCCACAGCCTGGGTCACCTTGCCCTGGCTACGACTCCAATCTGCAATATAGTCCTCCACAGGAGACAAAGTCTGCTACCACACCTTTAATCTATGCAGCTGTCGCTTATCTGACTGCTATTCCATCCAGCAAGAAGAGGACATTTCAAGATTTAAAAGAATCATTTAAATAAACTCTCTTTACTGCTAATCATCAAGGTTCATTATAACTGTGTTTAATTACTGAAATGAGTTATTATTCTTTGGTTAATAATTATTTATGATAATCAGTAATATTTAACTTTGACAAGAATCATGTGAACTTAGTCAGCTCACACAGGTCACAGTAACTAAGTTAAAGGTAACTTGCGCTCACATGATCTTTTCCCATAACACCAGAATTTTCTATCTTCAGGAGGCGTGTTTCTGAGGGTTTGTTAAATATTCCTTCTACATGTCAAAACCTGATTCGTTAGAAATGATAATAGCATCTTTTAAAGCAGAACTCTCGTCAGTTGCGAGTGAGTTCTAGAGAAGGTTGGGTCGGCCGCCCAACGCTCTTTAACCAAACAAACGATTTCTGTCACATTGGCAGAATTGCTCCGACACAACAAAACGACACCTGCAGAACAAGCTGATGCTACGAGATATATTTGGATATATATACATGTAAATTTAATTCGTTAATTTGTTTGATCTTCTTAGGAATTAAAGTATAAGCTGATAGCAACAGCCTTTAATTCCTAGATATGTAGTTCATTAACACTACATACAATATATATATATATAGTGCATAGGGTGTCCTGATACTCAAGTGCAGAGGTTGACCACGCCCCTTTTGCCCCTTTTGCACCCTTCATCCACAAGAAGAAGAAGGTGGAACAATGGCCTTTTCTGAAAATTTGTATTTTCAAACAAATACACTTTAAATACTGTATATTTAAATATGAGTAAAGTTAAGCTTTAATCACACGGGCTGTGATGGAAAGGCGACAAAGCAGCCATGAGGGTTTTGTCTTGTTGCAGAGCTCTGATGAAAAGCTGTCGCTGTGTGGAGCTGGACTGTTGGGATGGGCCCCACGGAGAGCCTGTTATTTATCACGGCCACACGCTCACATCTAAAGTGCTCTTCAAAGATGTCATCAAAGCCATTAAGGACTATGCCTTCAAAGTGCGTCAGACATTTGAAAGCTGAATGTTTCACTTTTGCTTCTAGATTGTTGCTAACCTATTGAAAACGTGCAGAACACTGTACATTTTTCCTTGTGCTTCTCAGATGTCCGAGTACCCGGTGATCCTGTCCCTGGAGAACCACTGTGCCGTGGACCAACAGAAAATCATGGCCCGTTACCTGAAGTCAATCCTTGGGGATGCTTTGGTCACAAAGCCTCTGGGCGGCAAGATGCCCACCAACTTCCCTTCACCTAAGGTGTGGAAACCTTCAATACAGACGCACTCTGACTCTAAAATACATTTGAGGTTATCTAGTGTGTGGAGCCTTCCACTAAAAGATCTCCCTTCCACAGGAACACTCTTCATACACTTTTCAGTTCCTTTCCTTGCTTCTTTGATTAATCTCCTTACTTTTGTAGTTTACTTTGCATTCTTCCTCTATTTAACCATGACTGCAGCAATTAAGTTTGGATATTTTGGAAAGTTATTGTACTTGTAAACTAAAGAATAGGAGTTTTTCAGCCATTCTTAGGTCTTTTTTCTCTGCAAAAAAAAAAACAAAAAAACGAAACAACCTTTATTAGGTCTCGGCTTGTAGGGACTCGCCTCAGTTAGCTCATGTTTCTCTTAAAGGAACAGCAGCCAAGAAAGCTCAAGACCGAATGTTTTACACAAGCTCACATCATCAAGACTCTTACTCCTGTCCTTTAAATGTATGTATCTTAGTTTACATGATTATAGGAGTCCCGTGTTTTTAACTGGAGTTATGTGAACTCTGGGCGGGGCGTGGGCGCAACAACAATTCTTTCAAATTTAACTCACATGGAATAGATTTCTGTGGAATTTCTGCCTCAGACTCCAAACACTTTTTTTCTTCTTTTGATTGGATGTTTGGAGGGTTTGAGCGGCTTCAATAACTAGAATGCTCTTTAACTATCACAAATGAGAAAATATGCATCTAATTTAGCATTCATTTTTACTGATAGCACAGGGAAATGTGTGTGTCTGCAGGAGCTGAAGGGCAAGTTCCTCATTAAAGGAAAGCGTCTGAACAAACTGGATGTGCTTTTCTCCAACATTAACACAGTAGAAGATGAAATGGTGTCTGAGGAGGACGAGGCCGCTGAGTGTAAAGAGAACAGTCAAAAACAGAAGCCGAAGGTAACTCGATGGGTTTGCACTCATTTGGAAGAAATGTGAAATTTGCTTAAGATGAATGTCTCCTTTCAGAAATCAAAGATCACACTTGCAAAAGAACTGTCGGATGTGGTCATCTACTGTAAGAGCGTCCACTTCAGCAGCTTTGAACACGCCCAAAGCAATCAGGCTTTCTATGAAATGTCATCTTTTAAGGAGAGTAAAGCCCTCATGCTGGCTGAGACTTCAGGTAAACGCTCTGTCTGACGCTTCCTTCAGTGACACAATGGAGTTAGTTGACAGGCATTAAGTGTCTTGACTTTGCAGCTACGGCCTTCATCCATCACAACATGGACAAACTCAGCAGGATCTACCCCTCGGGCTCCAGGACGGACTCATCCAACTACAACCCTGTTCCCATGTGGAACGTTGGCTGCCAGATTGGTAAGATCCCAAATGAATCTGCAGAAGTACTCTTAATGAAGTAACAAGTAATGATTTTGTGTACGCCTGTGTTTGATTTCAGTGGCGCTGAACTTCCAGACTCCCTCTAAGGAGATGCACATAAACCAGGGACGGTTTCGTCCAAATGGTTTTTGTGGCTACATCCTGAAACCGGAATTCCAGAGAAGTTTATCATCCCAGTTCAATCCCAACACAGTATCCAACAGGCCAGAGATGAAGATCTTTCATGTCATGGTAAGAACCTTGCATTATTAAAAGAAATGTGCAAATAATACATCTTGTACAAATGTGATCTTGATACTGCTTGACCTATTTGCAGCATTTGACACATTAGATCATTACTTTTCGATCTCTAGGTTGGAGCAGTGGACGAGTAGTACTGTTTTCGGACTGGTTTCGGTTCTGCCGCTCAGACAGGAGCCTTAGCGTCTGATTTTGGCTGTTCTTTTCAGTCGGTCCCCTTCACTTGTGGGGTCCCCCATGGTTCCATCTTTGGCCCATTACCTTTCTCCCTTTACATTTTAATATAAGGTGCCATTTTCAAAAAGCATGCTGTACCCTTTCATCTGAATGCAGATGATTGGCACTTTTTTTTTCTCGTAAAGTGACCGTGTGCATACCTAAATCATTACAAGCGAGCAGTATTTTTGTGTTCCAGACCTTGCAGCTGCAAACGAAACGTCGCTGGTAAATAAAACCTTTCTGTGTTTTAAAAAGAACTAAAAGATGGAATTAGAATTTCAACACAGCAAGAACATACCAAAGATGCTTGTGGGGGTTGCTCTGGGAGTATGGGGTACCAGGCCCTCTGATACGGGCTGTTAGGTCCCTGTATGACTGGTGCCAGAGCTCGGTCAGCATTGCCGGCAGTAAGTCGGGCTCGTTCCCAATGAGAGTTGGACTCCACCAAGGCTGCCCTTTGTCACCAATTCTGTTCATAACCTTTATGGACAGGATTTCTAGGTGCAGCCAAGGTGTGTAGGGCGTCCGTTTTGGTGGCCTGAGGATCAGGTCTCTGCTTTTTGCAGATGATGTGGTCCTTTTGGCTTCATCAAAACGTGATCTTCAGCTTTCGCTGGAGCGGTTCGCAGCTGAGTGTGAAGCAGCTGAGATGAGAATCAGCTCCTCTAAATCTGAGACCATGGTCTTGGTTCGGAAAAGGGTAGAATGCCTTCTCCGGGTCAGGGATGAGGTCCTGCCCCAAGTGGAGGAGGTTAAGTATCTCGGGGTCGTGTTCACGAGTGAGGGAAAACTGTAGGGTGAGATCGATAGGCGGATTGGTGCTGCATCTGCAGTGATGCGGGCGTTGTACCGGTCCGTCGTGGTGAAGAGAGAGCCGAGTCAGAAGGCAAAGCTCTCAATTTACCGGTCGATCTACGTTCCTACCCTCACCTATGGTCATGAGCTTTAGGTAGTGACCGAAAGAACGAAATCGTGGTTACAAGCGGTCAAAATGAGTTTTCTCCGAAGAATGGCTGGGCTCTCCCTTAGAGATAGGGTGAGAAGCTCGGTCATTTGGGAGGGGTTCGCAGTAGACCCGCTGCTCCTCCACATCGAGAGGAGCCAGTTGAGGTGGCTCGGGCATCTGGTCAGGATGCCTTCTGGACGCCACCCTGGTGAGGTTTTCCGGGCACATCCAACCAGGAGGAGACCTAAGGGTAGACCCAGGACATGGTGGAAGGACTATGTCGCTCACCTGGTCATGGAACGCCTTGGGATTCCCCTGGAGGAGCTGGCCCAAGTGGCTGGGGAGAGGGAAGTCTGGGCCTCTCGCCTTAGGCTACTGCCCCCGCGACCCGACTCCGGATAAATGGATGGATGGATGGATGGATGGATAGATGGATGGATGGATGGATGGTTAATCGGTCCTTGTCAGGTAGCACGGAATTTGGTCGATGCCTTACAAAGTACAGGATCTGGTACCCATCCCTAAGTAATGTAGCCATCTTTTATAAATAATTTTTTCGAATTATTTCAGGTGATCACAGCTCAGCAGCTACCTAAAATCAACAAGGAAAAAGAGAAGTCCATCGTAGACCCTCTGGTGAAAGTGGAAATCTATGGTGTCCCAGCAGACAACGCCTGCAAGGAGACCCAGTACATCAACAACAACGGTAACATTAAACCACCAAGCACTTTTACAGCTTGTGGTACAAACATCAATATCAAAACAACACAATCCTCTGTTTTATACAGGGTTCAATCCAATGTGGAACGAGAGGTTTGAGTTTACCATTCAAGTCCCAGAGCTGGCCATTGTGCGGTTTTTGGTGGAGGACTACGACGCGGCGTCTGCTAACGATTTCATTGGGATGTACTGTCTGCCCCTCACCAGTGTTCAGAATGGTAAGAAATTTCAGCAACAAAGAAAAATAATAAAAAAAGGGAAAAAGTTCAGTGAATGGTCAAGTGGGGAAAAAATGAACAAAAATGATAGAACCATCACATTAATACCCTAAAGTCAAACTGTTGATGAATAATTAACATGTTCGGGCTCCATGTAGAAGTTACAAAGAACTAGGAGTGTAAAAATATCTTGATGTATCAATTAAAAGTGGCATTGATCCAAAATTTAAACATTGATCAAATAACTATTTTTCAAACACACTTTTATTTAGAAGTTAGTCTTCGTTTTAAGAACAGATTACTTTTGTTTAAGCTGATTTAAATTCATGAGCTCAGGAATAAAAATGTAGAATGATGATCTAGTTTCTGTTTGGGATTTTGATTTGAATGGAAAGATTATGTTCAATCGTTTGTAATATCGGGGGTGATGGCCGCATCGTCGTCAGTGTGAATGTGTGTGTGTGCGTGGACTGAGGGGATGTAGAAATCTAAAAGGCGCTGTATTAATGCTGGTCATTTATCATTGTTTCTTATTGATCAGTGGGTCCCAAATGGAGTCAAATTGAAATGATGTTGTGACTGAGTTAGAGATACCATCAACAACCACTGAATGAGTTACACCCCTGATATTCAGTCTCAGTGGTGTTTAAAGGACACGAGTGAGGGAAAACTGGAGCGTGAGGGCTGCATGGTGGCGCAGTTGTTAGCACTGTTGCCTCGCAGCACGAAGGTCGCAGGTTCAAAACTCGCCTTTCTGCGTGGAGTTGCGTGTTCTCCCCATGCATGCGTGGGTTTCCTCCGGGTACTCCGGTTTCCCCCACACATCACAACATGCCCTACAGGTTATAAAAAAAAAAACAAAAAAAAAATTGTACGTCGCTTTGGATAAAAGCGTCTGCGAAATGAATAAACATAAACATAAACCTTTCAAGATGAGGGCCAGAATTCTCATATTAGTAGTTCTTACAAGCAGGGTTTGACATACGGGGGAGCTACGGGGGGCTTGGCTCCCCCAAAAAGGTGAAGGGCTCTCCCTAAAGCCTTCAACTGACACGAAAATTGATCCACCACCACCCCGGCCCCACTTTTACAGCATTATAATGAAGGTGATCCAATAGAAGACTTCACAGCACCAAGCTCTCACAGAGCTGTAATGGACGAAATTGGACAGACGACCAAGCCACTCTTAGGCATTCTCACCGGGCTCCCCCGCAGCCACAAGCCACAAAACGGTTATTTTTCTGTAAAATATTGTTTTATTTTAAGATTTTTTTCTTTTCATACTCCTCAAAGTAGGTCCAAAACAGATCAATATCAATATAATTTTGTATTGGAATCAAAGTAGTCATTTTAGACCCCTATAAAGGATAAACAGCCATGTTTTAACTACAAAATCCTTTAGAATCTAGTTTTTAATACAATGTTTATACGTTTTTGGTCTTGGCCCGACTTTTATACTTTATCTCAGTCAATCTTACCAGAAACAACCTATTTCTACAAATTGAGGCTGTTGAAAGGTCCCACTACATCAAGTAGGATATTAATTTGTGTCCTTTCCCCTCATGTTCGAAGGAGTCACATGACTTTAGAGTTGTTTCCCTCTTGTCATGTACCAGCTCTGCTGACGAGACCAAAACCAACTTCCTTTTTTTTCTCAGGATATCGCCACATCCCGCTGCTCACAAAGAGAGGTGACATCATCCCTTCTGCCGGGCTGTTTGTGCACCTCATGCTGCTGGATGCTCAGTAGGCTCGTGTGAGGATCACCACAAATACATTGTTTTTTGTTTTTGTTTTGTTTGTTTTTTTTAGTACAAAGAGGGAAGTTTCTGTCTCTGTGTAACTTTTTAAATGTTTGGTTTAATAGGATCTACTGTAGTTTAACAAAATATGAAAGAATGGAAGTGTGAGTGAGAAATCTTTATTTAATGACTGTCATTTCACTGTATTTTGGAGAATAATGTTAGTTTTTGTTAGTTGACTTCCCTCTTTTCAAACACTGATTATGCAATATGAGGAGTTTTATATATTTTATTAGATTTCTTGAGTTTTTATCTGTATTTAAGGTCAGATACTTTAAATGATTTATGTTTTCCTTCTTTATCCAACCAGAACAAGCAATGAGTTTAGTTTTCTTACTAAAAAGCCAAAGGGATGTGGATCTGGGGGGTATGGCAAATGTTTTTATCGTGTTTTTGCACGTTTCCACTGCAACGGCCCATGTAGATGCACTTTAAACACAACTAATGTCTATAAACATGGAGTAACGTTTAAGAAAAGATGATCAAATCACACAAAATGTAACAAACTTTCATTCGTTGACAGTTTTTTAGTTTGTTACATCTTGACTCTTTTGGTATCGTGTGTACTTGATCGTGAATAAAAGCAGTCTCCTAACAGCTCACTTGTCATTTTATTTATTTACTTACATTTATGAATCATTCACCGTAAAAACCAAATAAAGATAATCATTACATAACATCTAAAAAGATTAAGTCATGTTTTGACTAACATTTGTGATCATCGGAAGATTAAATACATTTTTTTATTTGGCGGCGAGCTGCTGCTGCTATGTCCACAGCAGAGACAAACAGTTTTTGGCTTGGATTTCCAGGAACCACATGAGACCGGTTTGGCAGCTCTTCCACACAATCCAGCAGCGACTCAGAAAAGGCCGGCGTTTTTCTTTAGCTGGATCTGACGCCACCTGGGCAGACCCAGAAACTCGGAGCGAGTCACACCTAGTAGGTTCTCAAAGTCCACGTCGGACAGGTAGTCCTGCAGGCAGAGGGGAGGACATAAGATTAGGACGACCTCTAGTGAACACTTTGTGTCTTTGCAGAGAAACGAGAGGAGAAACACTTACTGTGGAAAGAAGACAAGTTTATACTTGATTTGTTTTTGTCCTGCATCGGGTTTAATTTTCCTTTCAGAATATTTTTTAACCTCTTAATGCGTGAAACATAAAATGTAATTTAAAGACAAACGTTTTTGACAAAAGTTTTGTCTAATGTCAATAAAAGACTTAAACTATATAGTAAGTTTTATTTTAATATGTAAATATAAAACAATAAAACAGTAGTAGACATTAAAATTGGCCCTCACCATCTGTAGATCGTCCACTAGAGGGAAGTAGACGTGATGGTTTTTCCATGAAGGTACTATTCCTATTACTTTATCTGGACACTTTAAAGTGACTTTGTGTCTTTTCCCTGGTGATGAGGCAGTACGTACCTATGTCATCGCAAGCAAGCAGTATTTTTGTGTTCGAGTAAGACCTTACCAACGAATAGCAATTAGGGCCAAAATACCCTAGGAATGCAATTTTGGAGCGAGTACTTTGTCAGATCATTCAACCTCCAGCTAAACAACAAGCACATCAGACTCCCGTTCATCACTGGCAACGAGCAAAGAGGTAAATGTGTAAAACAACGTTTATGAATGGCCAAAGTTTTGTTACAAATCAGTAAATGTGTTTTGACCTCATGGGCTCCCGTAGAAGTAAACAGCGAGTGTAATATGGTGTTGCCCAGAGACTCAGACCCATGTATTTTAGACCAGATTTTTATGTTTATATGTTACAAAGCTGCCAGTATTTTTCAACAACTGGGCATTGTTTCATTCAACAACATTTTGATGGAGATTTCCAGAAATTAATGGTAAAAACTACACATTGTTACTTTAAGACCAGAAAGGGTTTGATGCTAATTAGTAAAATTGTTCAAAACACACACAGCAAGACTATGGCAATTTATGACCTGATTGCCCTGTTATGACAATCTTAAAGAGGCCCCTGATAATCATAAAGGCTCTAAAGATAATCTTAACAGATATTCCTGCTGTGTGTGGTGTGTTAAGAGTGCTCCGGTCTGCTCTGAAGGACGTTGGAACTGCTCCAGTCTTAAAGCAGGGATATTCGCTCTGGTGTATCATCTTGACTCAAGGACAAACAAGAATGCTGCTTGTTTAAACGTGTAGTCAATCACACAGCAAGATAACGGCATCCCGCTGTACAGAGCGAGGGATATTCCAATCCTACTCTTTGTCTGCCATGTTTGTTTACTTTTATGTTACATCTGAGCGGAAGACGTTTGGCAAGATGTCTGCGTCTGAACTGGGAATGTTGGTTAGTTGTGTAGCATGTTTTTGCCATGTAGCTGCACACAACACAACACAACAAAACCAAAACTGTTATATCCAAGGTTTGTTTATTACCGTGTTTTAAATTCTTTCAACAAGTTTAAAATCTTGGACCAGCACCGGTTTGAGATTATTCAAAAAGATATAAAACTTGGCTTTTGTGGTCAGTTCTGTCTCTCTAGTTGATTCTGTACTTCACCCACCTCCCTTTGGCTGGGGTCCACTCCCTCTGGAAGCTCACTGGCAGGAGTGTTGATAAGAACCTTTGGGTCTAGCTGCCTCCCAGTGAAACCAGCGGAAGAGACTGGGCCTCTACTGGTGGATGGGCTGGTTGGAACCCCACCGTGCATCTTGTAGACAGGAGCAGAGGATCCAGGACCTCCAGGGGCTGTGTACCCACCGTCAACCATTGTAGCAGGACTCTTTCTCTCCAGACCCTTCATACGTAAAAAGTTCATTCACAGATTAATGAGATGATATTAAAGACTTTATTTATTACTGCTGTTAATGAATTAGGATCAAGATTTGGGTCAATCAATCACTTACTACAGTGATCTCAGAGACAGACGCTGCATCATTCAGCTTTTTTTTTATTTCCTCATAGGAGTTTCCTCCCTGTTGGGAAGATCAGCTCGGAGTGAAAATTAGTTTTCATGCAGAGTCGTCATCATACGTTAAGCTCTGATTTCTGATTTATTTGAGTCATTCTCTGGATTTTTTTGTCAATTTCCCATGATCATGCATGCAACAAGATGGAATCATGTTAAATTCTCTCATCTTGCCTTATTAACAAGATTCTAATGTCTGCCAGAGAGATCGATTGATAAAACTCACACTCCACTTAAAAGGATCCCAGGCGTTGAACCAGCCAGTGAAGGTGAGCGGCTCGCTGCCCTGTTTGATGGTGATGATGGGTGTGTCGGGGTCGCGACCTGCCGGGTGGGTCTTCAGGTACTCCTGCGCACTGTTCAGTGACTCTTTGATCTCGTATTCGTTGGCGGAGATGCCGATCCACAGGAAGATCTGAGGAGATGGAGGAGTGAGACACTGTGGAGAGGAAGCCTGAATCCATTTACAGAAACCTCACCTCCTCCCAGGTGTCCAGCAGCATGACATCGTCTTCGTCTAGGTCGCTCTGCTCAAAGTCGCAGATCTCAGTCATCCTGAACTTACCCGTCTGATTGGAGCATTCAAACAGACGGGGGCTGTGGAGAGGCTCCTCTCTCTCCAATCTGAAATCACACCATCAGATAAATTCTTTATGCTCACAGATGCCTCTGAAACCATCAACATTTCTTCTGATGGAGCTCACCTGCTGTCACTGGCATAGGGGCCCTTTCCTCCCAAAGCAATCCAGAAATCAGATGGCTCCTGGCCCTCCATCACCACCTCCTTAAACTGCCTGAAAAGCGTATCGCACACTTCCGTTGCCATCATCCTCTCATCTCCACTGCAACCCTGGAGACAGGCAGACACAAGAACCTTAACCCTCCCACCGTCCTAATGGGTGTGACCCCGCAAGGAAAGTTGACCACTGAGCAGGGTTGATGGTTTATCCCTTGAGGGCCACGTGGCAGGGGTGAGGAGTGAGCACCACCTCACGACGTGGACCTCAAGGGATAAACCATCAACCCTGCTCAATGGTCAACTTTCCTCACGGGGTCACCCATAAAGACAGTGGGAGGGTTAAAGATACTTTGTTTTTTATGTGTTTAGCTGCCTTGTTACATGAGTCGTACCTTTCCATACCACAGGTAGCATTTCTGGTTGGTTTTCAGCATGAACACGTCGTTGCTGTTCAGAGACGAGGCCCTCGCTGGCACTTCAGTGGCTTTGGTGTTCATCCCTGTGGTTCCTCTCACCTGGAAGAGGCTGGAGCTGGTTTTAGGACTCTCTACGCCGGGTCGACCCGTCCCTCCCTGGAAACAAACAGCAGCTATAGCTCAGGAGGTATAGTGGGTTGGCCAGTAATCAAAGGGTTGAAGGATCGATCCCTGCAGAGAATGCTGCTGCTGTGTCCTTGAGCAAGACACTTAATCTCGCCTGTATCAGTGCGCCCCGGGGCAGCTGTGGCTACATTGTAGCTCATCACCACCAGCGTGTGAATGTGTGTGTGCAAGGGGGAAGGACTGACTGTGTTGCAAAGTGCCTTGGGGGGTTCTGGGGCTCTAGAAAGCGCTACAGGCCTTTTGTCATTCTTCATGCTCTCGGGTTGTATTGTCTGAATTTGTATAACCTGTCTGAAATAACCCCATGACCACATGAGACCCCACGACCGAAAATCACACCTCAAATATGATGAGTTTGCCTTTGAAGATAGCCAGGAAATGGCGTGGCTCTTTTCCCATGACCACTCGGACCTGCACAGGCGCTCCGTTATACATGTTATCAATGTTGACGGCCTGGTAGGCGCACGCTGTGATCTCGTCCTTTGTGGCGTGACGTCCCTAAAGATGGAGAATCATCAGTACAAAGCAGCTGGGAGGAAGAAAGGAGGAATATTGTGAGGAAGCTGACCTGCCACATGTACAGTATGTACTGTTGCCTGTTTGATACTTGGTACGTGTACAGAATTAAGTAGCAGTCGCCTCCATAAAACTGTCCATGCATGCTCGGTTTCACCTCAGCCAATTCCAGCTTCTCAATGCGCCACACCTATAACGGACAAAATCTATGGATTTAAATTAAACTTTGGAGCAATCTCACAATTTCTCTTTTGTTGTTTGTACCTTAACCTCTCCCGAGCCATCGTCCACCATGTGCTGCCGGGCTGCCAGTTCAGGGTGAGCATGGAGCTCCATCACATCAAACTTCTCCTGGTCAACTTTAGCTGTACAGACAAGCAGAGTTTATTACCAACTAAGAAATGTTGAATTTATGTCAACTGGTTCCACTAAACCCAGTTTCTTAAATGTAATATACATTTATTTTTCATCATAATGTGTAACAATCTATTTTACTCTTTACATTTAAAGACCACATTTACTGAGAAACAACTTTTTAACTTGTTATTATTGAAATATAATTGTTCACTCTGAGTTTAACATGGCTGAATGGGAAAATAATCTTCAACCCCTATTTCCTGCATTAGCTTCTGATAGAAATCAGATGATCTAGGATTTGAAAAGCCACAAAGTCAAATTAACATTCATGGACTCGCCCGTCTTGACTCGCAATGGGGAAGCTGTTAGTTTAGCATCCAGAAAAGAGCAAACCACATTTTGGCTTGTAGAAGCTAACCGTTAGCATTAGCTACTCCACCACGCAACAGAACTCCTTCAGGCTTGTTATTTGTGGAGATCAACGTTGCAAGGCAAACAGAATGCCAAATCCTGCCTTCTGCTGCCACATTCTACTCCAGCTAACTTCTATGTCCTCAAACAGGTGCACCGGAGCTTTTTTACCCTAGAGAATGGCTCAATAGGCATTCAACCCCACTGCAAATGTATTAAAACATAAGTAAACTTGATCTTTAAGCAACTAGGAACGGTTGAACCAGCTGAAATAACTTGGTCAAGTAAACTCAATATTTTATTTTTTAGAGTGTAAAAAATACAAAGGTAGCTCTACAGAGGCGGCTTAAACAAATGGAGGTTAATTCTATGAAGAATGGCTGATCAAAGCAGAAAGTGGATAGAAGTAGCTTGAAGAAATCCCAAAGGACCAAGAATGATTGAGTAAATGATTAGAAGTTGTTTTTTCAAGCTTCTTTGCATCAACAATTTTCTCGATCAGGACAGACAGTATCTGATATTATTAATAATCTAACAATAACAATGAAAGGATTTCTACACATTCTCTAGTACAAAAACTTCAGAGGAAAGTAATAAATTACACCTAAATGATTAGCGTAACTCTGACCTGATTTACAAGCTAACAGCTAATCTGAGCAGGGCCATAAAGGACATTGCTGCCATTATAAAACAACTCATATCTCAGAAATCATCATAAGTCCATGTGAACCATAATTTATTTCACAACTTTATCTTTTCATATTCCTCGTTCCCTCGGACAGAAATATTAGTTTAGAAATATCCCAAAAATCTGAACTTTACCTATTTTCCCAACCGTGTGGGTGGTACCCAGACCTTTAATTTGCCCCTTTTCTTTCCAGGATTTGAACAATTGCTTGAACATTGCTGACTCCCCCCCTTCGGACATCACCTCCACGGGGGTGCTGGATGGGTAGTTTTTGGCTTTAATAAAACTCTGGAAAAAGTAAAAAATCAAGTGAATAAATCTGAATTAATTTCACATTTCATTCTTACATTTCATCTCTCACCACCGCTGTATTCATAGCCTTCTGCCGCTCCTCTTTGGAGGACTTTTTGCCTTTCCAAACCATCACACTAGAGCCGCTGTGGTCCACAATGAAGCAGTCCTGAGACCCAAAACAAAAAATAAGGATAAAGGGAAAATCGGACGTTATTTGCTTTAGCTTTTATAAATTTATTTAACTCTTTAACATCCACACTGGAAAAAAGTTTTCTGTTTAGCATTTTTTTTCACTAATTTGAAGCAACAAGTGTTATAAAATGATAAAAATTTATAACAAAAATATGATTAAGGTAATAATGTTGAAGTATAATGATTTTTAGGATGTTTTTAGTTTATTATATTTCTTTCCCAGTTAAGCTCGGTGCATGTCTCGTTAGGGTTTTACCAAACAAGTGACCTGGCGAATGAATTATTATAGTTACAGAGGAGAGCAGCAGGTCTTGTGTTAGAGGCTGCATGGCCACTTCTTTGATCACCATATTCCCGCTGTCGTCAGAAACACTGAAGAGTGAATAAATAAAAACGTTACTGAGAAGTATTTTAAGGTGATGAGCTGTGACAGCAGAGCCCTTACTGGTAGAGTTTGACACCGCTGGCCTGAACCTGGTCATGTGTGTCATCAGGAACAGCCTTCTTCAGATTGTTGGGCTTTGGGCCGAGCGCCACCATCATGAGTTTCAGCTCTGGCGTCTCCTGCTCATGTCCTCCCTCCACCACAGAAATCTCAGCTCGACCTCCTCGCTCCCTGTCCCGGATGTCCTGGGCTAACAGGACCGCCTGCAAATAGAGAAGAAGTAGTACTAGCTGGCAAGTGCCAATTTTATTATTTTTATTATTAGATTATTATTATTAAGGATGTTCGATATTAGCTTTTTTACTGATGTACTGAAGTTGCATAACTCTTATATTCTGATACAGTTCCAATACAAATATACACACACACCAAAAAAAAAACAATATAAAAATAATTTACTTAACCAAGTTATGTCAACAGGGTCCAGTAAACCTGGTCGGTTAAATGTAAAGAGTAATACAACAAATTAACAGACCATAAAAGACTTTTTGATTAAATAATTTATTTGTTTTATTTAGTTCTTGGCCCATTTTTCTGCATCAAGCTCTAAAAAGTCAGTAAGTGCTGAATTGATTATAATTCAATCAGAAGCAAAGGAAATAAAAAAAAAGAGTTAGCCATCATTTTTTTTGTTGTTTTATTGTTATTGATGCTATAAACAAGGAACCTGCTGCTGCTGCAAGCAGGGCCCTTATTGTTATGCACCTGGGGAGTTTTCGTACATTAATCGCTTTTATTCTTCTTCTTCCGGGGACGTTAATGTGGCTCAAATGGCAGCGTGCACCCCCACAAATTAAACATCAAAACAAGTGGCTTGGCTGTGGGAGGTGTGCTATTACTTTTCTAAGCGTTTTGATTTAAGATAGCAAAATTATTAGCAAAAAACATATAATCAGTTTTAAATTTTGACTCTAAATTAGCATAATTACGGGACTTGCTGCTCTTCCAGCAGGCAGGTCCCTTTTACAATTTCCTCAGGAATTTTCTAGTTTATTATTTTCATTGTGTTTCATTTGGAGGACAAATAACAATGCCCTCTATACTGTGATTCTCATATATTAGAAAAATAATGATTTATTTGTATGTATTTATTTTTTGTTTTTAATGTGTTTATCCGTGTTTAGAGGAGATTTCTGTTTTTGTAACAGATAATTCAGTGAAGAGGATTACTTTCAGCCTCTCGCCCTTGTTGCTCTCTGGCCCATTCCACTGCACGATGGTTTTCCCCATGTCCAGAAGGAAAACATCTCCGTTGTTGAAGCTGTTCCATGACACCTCCACCTGCACACTCACACAAACCCCAGAATCATAATCCACGTTAAACAGCACACAATCCCAGTTAACCTCTGCTGTGACTGCAATGACAACAAACATGCTTTAATTGGTCACCAACATCCGTGTAGATGAATCCAGACATATCAGTGGGAGGCGAAGAACAGACACCAGTAATTTCAGTTACAAGCATCACAGACCTCTGTTGCAGAGACGTGTTTCTTCCCTTTGACGCGCAGCAGTCTCAGGATGTTGTAGACGTTTGTGTCAACATGGTTGAAACCCGAGGCCACTCCGCCCTTCTTATAGCTGTGAAATCAGAGCACGGTGAAAGTTCAGGAGCAAGAAAAAGCTGCACAAACAGAGAAGGCTGAAAGATTAAACTTTGTGCTCTCGAGCACGGTGAAAGTTAACACACTGGGTCAGAGAATACTGTTTTTTCCTCTGCTAATCCTCTAAACTAATACCTTTTTGTATCACAATCCCTGCAGGATTAGGAAGATTACAACATAAAGGAGTGTTTGTGTCGTTTAAACTCACATCAGGCCATTCTTGAAGTAGCTCCTGAACTTTGGGGATTCGAAGCCCTGCACCTCCCTGTACTGCACGGGGCTCCCACCCAGATACTCGTCCAGCTGGGTGACGTAGATGGCTGCAGCTCCTTGCTCATCCGGAGAGGAGGAGGATCCGATCCAGTAGTGGACGTCCAAGGACTCTCCTGAGCCTTTGTTCTTAATAATCTGGTAAAACACAAAGATTATTTAGGATTCATGTTGAAATTTGGACTCAGGATAGCAGCTGATAATGATCTTACGTTCAAAACGATGTAACAATCTCCTTCAAAGAAGTTCCCAAAGGCTCTGGCTGGAACAGAGACCATCTTCATTTTCTAAATGAAGAAAACAACATTTCAGCTGGATTTCAACTCACAACCTCTTAATTTGGACATATAATGAAATTTTCTCTTAAATTTTAATACTTCTATGGTCAATAAAAACATGTTTATGTTGTCCTTTCCACTAAATCCCTTTCACATAAAACAATTTCAACAGCTTTGCTCTCAACATTTTCAGTACCTTCCAGAATAAGCTGTTTCAGGGCTGAGTCACTTTAAAAAGAAAACTAGTTGACCACGCCCACCCCAACCCCGCTCAGGTTGTTAAAAGCTGAGAAGCTCTGATGCACAGGATGGGCTCGGAGTAGAGCCGCTGCTCCTCCAGAAGCAGTGAGAGGTAGTTCTGCTAATTTCCCCATTTGTGATGTCACAAACAGAGACGTTTTAAAACAGCTCATTTTAGAAAATATTTTCAAAAATCAAACACCAACAGAAATTGGATGGATTTTTTTTCTATGTTTGTAGTGATTTTAGAACCAGTAGAGACCCACATGACAGCACATAAGAATGCAAAAAGGTGAGTTTTGATAACACGAACCCTTAAAATACAGAAGTACTTACATTGATGGTCCAGATCTGCAGGCCCGGAGTCCTGCTGACATGTTTGACGGAATATTTTTCCCTATCGTTCATCATTTTGTTAAACTAAAACAAGAAACAAAACAAAAATCAGCTTTTCTAGGAAGAGATAACTACATTTATTAATTTTCACACATTTGCATTTGTTACAATCTTCATAATAGACTGGCAGATTATACAAACTTGCTACCTACCGTAGTTTGTTATTGCAGACGTTGTGCAACAATATTATGAAATCTTCATTCACTAGATTTTTTTATTTTGTTTTTCCCAGTAATTAAAATTGTTTGTGGGTAAATTTGATTTTAGGAATTTTACACCTCCTTCAAAACCTAAATGTAACAAAAAGAAAAAATAATTAGAGGATGTCAAAACAATCTTATCATCCTGAAAAGTTTCTATGTATTTGTAAAAACTGATAAAAGCCTTTTTGATAAAAACAAAAAATCTCCAAACATTTTGAACTGACATGTTCCTACACTGTAAAAAAACAATTTTCATTTACTTTACCCAAGTTAAGTCAAATGATTCCACTAAACCTATTTTCTTAAATGTAAAGAGTCATATACATTGATATATATGTAAATGCATGTTACATTTTAGATTTAAGCTGTTAGGTTTTGTAGGACTAGTTTACTTAAATTGGTTAAGTATATTCAACAACTCATTTTACAGTGTAGCAGGCATCAAGAATGAGTAAAAACTCCTCTAAATCCACAACAGCTGTCATAAATATACAACACACACCAAAATACACATTAGTTATGACTCCTTCAACAAAAATCCCAATATTTTAAAGATAGTTTCTCCTTCAATGAGTCTTTTGTGTCTTTTGACTGGTGAAGGATCTTTTTAACAGCAGCAAGGAAGCTTTTCATCTGACTTGAAGAAGCTCTTCCACATTTCCACTAACGAGCGTCGCAGCAGACAAGTCGTCCAATCAGCCGCCTCTCAGAAACAACCGCTCTGACACACAAACACAGGGTCTACAGCTGTCACCCTGAATGGAAAACAGGCCGGGTGGGATGTTACGCAACTCCAAATGTCGGATGAATGCAGCGTCTCCATCACTCATCAGGATGTTTGTCAGATATCTGGAAAAGCTGCTCTTTAATTGGTGTTTTGAGTCATTCTTGAGTCTATTTGGTTCCACAGCTGTGTCAAATCTGCATCTCAGGGAGCGATGAACGCATAAACAACTCATATTATTAATATCATATAATAAGAAAATGATGCTCCTCAGTTTGCTCTAAGGTTGGAGCTATAATGTGACTAAATGCTCTCCTAAGTTTCTAAGACCTCTATCTTTATAACAGGATTAGTGCGTCCCTCAAACATTTGCTCCATTGAATTCTGTACAAATCTGCCTCCTTGTGGAGGATTTAGGTTCTGCAAGAGATACGTTCCAATTACATGTTATTACTCGTGTAATATAGTCTAATGAGTCTATAAACAGATCAATCTTTTGAAAATAAAATCTGATTATCAGTAAATGAGTAAATAATCACAGAGGGATTTTATTATTTAACTTCTTGTCTCTTTGAAAATATATTATTGTTCGTTCAGTTTTAAACTTTAGATGGATCATTCAGGGGTCAGCAAGAGGAAATTACAACTTATTAGTAATTACAAACTTAAAAAGACACCAAAGTCAAAAGTAAATCTAATCATTACTTTATTAATGACAGACTTTTAACAGCATGTCATTAAAACATCATTCATTTCTGTTTTGTGGAAGAATCTAAAATAAAAATAAAAACACAATCTTGTCTGACCGTTTCTGTCTTAAATAAGCCCATTCAGTAAACAATAATAATAATAATAAAAGATCTGATTTTTTTTGTCTGGGTGGATGTTTAGTTTCTTTTATTTCTGGATGTTTAGTTTCTTTTATTTCTGGATGTTTAGTTTCTTTTATTTCCACAGATGTCTGTTTTTGTTGTGTTAAAAAAATTAAAGGCTTGAGCAAACAGTGGACTAGCATTGCACCCATTACTGGGACAGGCAGGACTGGTTTCCAGTCCATTAGCCTTTTTCACAATGAGCTTATATACAACATACAAAATCCTTCTTTTCTTCTGGTCAGACAAAAGATGTCGGTACAAAAGTAAAAAATAATAAAAAACCAAACACTTTTGAGACTCATCATGATGTAAGACATGCTGCTTACCTTTTCTTCTGCTGATGAGATGAACGTCAGGATGACTCCTGCTCACAGTAAACGCAGATTAGTGGATTTATCTCTGTAGATTAATAAAGTGCAGCTGCTCCTACGTGTGTGTGTGTGTGTGTGTGTGCGTGTGTGTGTGTGTGAGAGAGAGAGAAAGGGCTCGGTCCATCTTTGTCCACGCCCTGATTCAAACACACCTGCAATTTCCTGATGTCATATTTGCAATAGAGCTTTTAACACACCCACCACCTGCCAGATATGGTGGTGATGAGGTTCTGGTCTCTGACTGGTCTGAATGATCAGAACCACCCAGGTCTTTTTGGTTCTGCTTTAATTCTTAGAAATCAAATAGAGCTGAGAATAATCTAGAAGAAAATGTTCAAAAGCTTTCATTCTCCACACAGAGCTGCTATTTCTAACTAGTTCTTTTGTTAAAATGAAATATTCAAGTCATTTTATTGTTTTTTTTTGTCCAGAAACGACTCATTAAAATGAAAAAATAAGAATAAAAAAACCCTCATCTTTCTTTACAACCTGTTACATAACTAACCCAGTTTCACTATCAATCCCTAACCCTAACCCCGATCAAGGCTCTCTTACCTTTAACAGAGATGCTTCTTGCCTTGATTCAGGCCAAAAATCCATAATACATCTAAAATATTTTGCACATGTTGAACTTCAGTCTTGCTCGTATCTGGAGGCGGAAAAACCAGCAAACAGAACCTCTGTGGGCTGCAGCAATAAGCCGTGTAATGCCTAATCCTGCAGCTGCAGTAGAGAAGCTAAAAGTCCACATGGAGCTTGGTTGCACATTAACTATTTTATAATCGTGCAATTAATGCACCAAGAGATCACCTCACCCTGTAGACACCCGAGCTCAGCAGACATGGACTTAAAGTACAAACACTGATAGGGAAATGCTTTACTATGATCGCCATAAAGGTGCTTCGTTGGCAGGTAATAGCTTAGATCAGGAGTCTGCAACCTGCGGCTAATTAACCCCTTAAAAAGGATAAAAAACAAGTTCATGCAAAAATATAATGAAACAAGTTCAGGTTTAAGCACATTTTTGGTGTTTTTGTTGTTTTTACATAGTTTTCCTGTATGTACGCCCAGCAGGGCTCTGAGATCCTAAAATGATAAATGACCCGCACTTGTATAGAGCCTCTCAGAGTAAGGACTCCAAAGCGCTTTACACTACAGTGTATCATTCATCCATTCACACAAACATTCACACACTGAAGGTGATGAGCTACGATGTAGCCACAGCTGCCCTGGGGCGCACCGACAGAGGCGAGGAAGCAGTCAGCTGGTAGAACCTCGGGTCGGAACCAAACAGGGTGAAGCTGCTTTTAGCTGCTGCTCACAGATGGATCAGCTTCTTTATGACCTCAAATGGCCCCAACTCTGATAACTTAACCCTAACCTCCATCCATCCTGCTTGTCCATGCAGGGTCATGGGGGGGCTGGTGCCCATCTCTAGCAGTCAACGAGCAAACAGACAGGGTACATCCTGGATAGGTTGCCAGTACTAGTAACTTTTAAATCAAAATTAAATTTCATGTACTCACCAGCCCGGCTGCACTGTAACTGCTCACCCTTTAACTTTGTCTATTTTCTGATTCTTAAATCTGAAACTAATTTGTGGTTTTAACCCTTTGATGCATAATGGTCACTAAAGTGGACAGGCACTCAAACTTGTTATTTATTTATTTATTTTTTGCTGTTATGTACAGCTGTTGAAGACTTTATTGCATTTGAGCCCCTCCATTTGGACTTCAGTAAGTCAAGCCAACATATTTCATGTTCAGAATGAACGCTGTCCACTGAGGTGGACATGTAATATTTTATTTGTAAATTATTAAATGTTACAAAAAATATTTGTTGAAATTTGTTTCATTCACACCTAAAGATGAATGAAAAAAAATGTTTAAAAAAATCATGGTTGAAGATTTCATAATTCATGCATCAAAGGGTTACTTTGGTCTAAATGTGTGTATTTTAACTGTGCTGTGGCGTTGATTAATGTTCATGCTGGAGGTCATGCATGTTCTCGCTAATAGAAAGCCCTTTGAATTTCGTTGGTGCATGAAATGTGTGATACAGACAAAAATGCCTTGCCTTGCCATGAAAAATATTCATACATGCAAAGTTTTATGTTCTTTACTTTTAAACCGAATAGAAACAAGTTGGTGGTTTTTCAAAATTAACAACAAATCACTTTAACATAATTATGCAAGTGAAAAAAGTCAGAATAGTGACTTTTATTTTGAATTTGCACATTATTCTCAGGTTTCTGAAAAAATTTGGACTCTGATCCTTTTTGTAAATATAAAAAATTATAATTGGTCTTTTTTTCCAAAGGTCCTGTAACGCTTGTAGCTCTAAGAGGAAGAACGAATCTTTGGATTGTACAGTTTGTAGGTCCCTGGCTTAGACACTGTTCCTGTCATGGTTTAGGTGTGGTGAGGACTGCAGAGGAAGTTTAAAGTCTCTTTAATTCAAAGGTCAGGACAGGAGCGAGGAGGAACAGCAACAGATGAAACAAGCTGGGTGTAAATACACAAGGGTAATCAGCTAAACAGGTGGTAGGGTAACAAAGGACAGGCGAGTTAACACTTAACAGGACAACAGGGGCTGGGGATGAGATCCTGAATGTTTCTGGGAGATCTGTATCTAAAACAAGCCAGTTAGACATGGTTTTGGTCATATTTTGGCTTCATAAAGTGACACAAACTGATACATATCTTTTTGTCTCAACAGCTCTATTTCTAGTCCTGACCCTTCATGTACTCATACAACTCCTCTATAACGATGTTGAGCTGGTCAGAGTAGAAGAAACAATTTAAATGAATATATTTATTCAAATATTATTTAGCAAATTTCAGTTAGTACAGAATTTTCAGGCTTTTAATAGAGAAAACATTTCAAGAAAATATCAAGAAGACAACTGAAACTGGGTCAGACGTGTATTTTTTTTTTGCTGGTAATTTTCAGTTTTGAGTGAACATAAAGAGACTCACCAATCTTGGCTCGTGACGGGGAAGGCTGTTGTTGATTTAGCGTCCAGGAAATGGCAGGGGAAGTCCCAACTAGCAGAAGTTAACTGTTAGCATTAGCAACTGGCAGAGCTCCTGATTCTTGGATGTGTAATTTGTGGAGATCAAACATCAGAGTACCACTTACAAGGCATTCAATCCAACTAGAGACCAAATGCAAATGTATTAAAAAAACAAGAGTAAAATTGACCTTTAAGGTGGCAGTGTGTAGTTTCCTGGCACTAGGGGGCCGTACATACATACATTTCAAGGTAGTTTTACACCATATTGCCATTCATGGCTAAAACCATTAAGGTAAATGTTGTTACCTGTGGACCAGACAGCATGCAACCTCGGCACGAATCCTCAGATTTTGGTGGTCCTTCAATTCCACTGAGAGAATGTGATGATGATTGTAGATTTCTGGCGCTGAACTTTCCAGAACTGCTTGGGGTCCTGCGTCTGCTGATGACATCATCATACTACAAAATATATTGCATCTTTTTTTTTATTTTGCTCTTTCACACGTTTTGGAAAGAGTTTAGAAGTTTTGTTGTTAAATTCGTGTTTCTAACTGGCTAAATGTTTTTGAAAGTGGTAACAATCGTAAAGTTGTAAATCCAGCCAATCATCTCGTACAACGGATGGCAATCCTGGTCGTCGAGGGCCGCTAGCATGTTTTTGTTGTTTCTCTGCTTAAACACAGGCTTGAATCTACTGGTGATTAACAGGCTGTTGGAGAGCCCCCTGGTGAGCTGCTGAACAGGCGATACATCTGTGGCAAGGTGGAGAAACGAGGGCCCGGGCGAAATTCGATCCCCAGGCTCCCGGGTGAGAGTCATGTGCGCTAACCAGTCAGCTAAAGGGACATCCCCTTGGCCAAGTAGCCAGGGCGCATGATCAATCGAGATACAGTGACAGGACGCTCACACTGTCACACATCCAAGAATCAGGTGTCTTCGAGCAGGAAAACAACTAAAACATGCTGGATAGCGACCCTTGAGGACCAGGATTGCCCAACTCTGATCTAGTGTGACGTCATCAATAGGCACAGGACTCTGAGCGGGCCAATGGTGTCTAACATGGCATCCCCCAAAGACCCAAATTGATCCGTGCCCTATGCACTCGAGACCCGATTTTTATGGTTATTTGTTACAAAGCCACTAATACTGTTCAACAACTGCACATAATTATATTCATTTTCAACAACGTTTTGATGGATATTTCCAAAGATTAATGGTAAAAACCACACATAGTCACTTTAAACAACCTTTACAGCATTTTTAAATTTGATCATTCTGGTAGAAATAACTGTGGAAAGTTGTGCTCCCATAGCTAGCTGATGCTGCCTTTTGAGCAAATAAATATGTTCATTATTAACTAAATATTTGTGTTGAGGCTTTTGTTATTGAGCTGAACCTTGTGGGCTACTGTAACTGATCCCTGGAGATGTTTGTGATAAAAACAGTATTTTTGACATGTTTGTTTGTCACTAAAAACAACCATTTTGACAAGAATGGAGGTGAAAATCAAAGTAATTAAAAATACTAGAGTAGTTATTACAGTACTTTAATAAAATTCAATACATCATGAGAACACACCAACAGTGTGCAAACTTGCAACTCAAACCATGTTATTACAGTACGAACAGTCTGTCTTTACAACGCTCCCAACGTCACTTTCCTCATTGAATATACGCTAAACTAATGTTTTATTGTTATTTTTATCGTTATTATTAGTGGACTGTCATCACAAACATTGACTTTTTTTAATTTTCAGAAGTAAAATAAAGATGGGTTTGTTTGTTTCCAAGGATCATCAATTTACAGTCACTGTCAAAAGGATTAAATGACGTCATTTATCCACAGATTACATTGAATTGTATAAATCTTTGGTAAATTTAACAAATCAGTGCTATCAAACACATTAAAATCTCCCGGGTCTGATGTGCTAGTTTTATGAATTTCTAGAACCGACCTCGATTACACCGCAGTCGCTGAAAACTTTCCAATGTCAGTTTATAAGATGTACACAAAAACTAAATCAACGGTAAAGAAGGCACTTCAGTTTGTAAGAAATGCTAAATTAAAGTTATTGGAACCAGAAGAAAAGAAAAAACTAACAAAAATCAGAGAAAAAATAAATAAAACAAACGCCACCTGTTACAGAAACACAAAGAAATTGCTTTGTACGTTTTTGGTAACTAAAATACGTTTTTTTTTGTTGATAGAATCTTGACAGAAGAGTAAAACTGCCTCTTTTAATTAGAAAAATTACTTCATGTACTTCTTCCTTTTAGAAACCTTCGTTATGTACATAACTTGTGCCAAAGTCCAGGGTCAGCTGATTGACCCTCAGAAAGGTGGCGCGATGGGCGCCTGCTACCTGTCCCTCAGGCTCTGTAAGGGACTGTACACGTCCTCCTCTTTACTGAGACCCTCAAGCAGCGGGATCAGGTCCAGCAGCTCCGTGTCTGTCATGTCGTCGAACCACGACTGCACAGGAACCTGCATGAATGAAAAAACAGGAATGAGCAGAGGCAGAAATTTCCATTTTTATGCATCACATGTGAGAAGCTAGTGTGAATAATTGATAAGGAGAATAGATCAAAGGCTGGAGGAGCTGCAGCAGCTCCACCAAGAAACTCCTCATCAGAGTAAGAGCAGGAGGAAGTTTCTGACTTAAACTTAACCCTTTACAGCCACATGCATCATATCTGCTCCATGTATCCCTACTCTGTCTCTTAAACATGATTAATACTTTTATACATGTATTTTAGTTTATTGTACTTAATTTTTAATTCTAATAGTATCATTTTGTTTTGTCTTCTGCCACCTTGTGGAAGATCTAAATGCTGCAGGAAATAACTGACTTTTATTACGGCTGTATTATTGCAGCCATCCTATATATGCGAATATAGTCTGGCCATGAACCATTGAAGCAGCGCACTCAATATGGTCTGTCTCTGCATGCAGTTGGACAGCGTTAGGACCAATTAGAGCAATGATTGATGCATTCTTTATGATGAAAAATACTGGACGGGGTAGTGCGCACCATAGAAAAAGAAGAATGGGGTTGTCATGGTGTCCAACAGCAACTTCAACCATATCTGTCATTTAAATTTAATGCTAAAGCCGTTTCAAACGAGCGTTCCTGAGTCGACATCCTCCTTGCTGTAGCTCTAGCATTAAGCCCGCCCAACAAATGTAGAGAGCTGTGATTGGCCAGACACAAAACTGTTCAGTCCAATGGTAGACCTGCTGAGGCAACAATGGAGCATGGCTAGAACAACCTGCAGAGCAAAATCTTTTATTGATTTATTTTTTTATTTTATTTTTTTACCGTGTCCTGTCTGGCTGTGAAACAAACAGAATTGATGTCTGAATGCTGGTAACAAGCCTTACAGATTTACTCTCAGGTGGAGCATCAAAGCGTCTGCTTTTAATGTCACGCCTGATACTTAAAACTTTATTGTTGTTGTTTTTGAATGCTTTGTAATTCCGACCAGACACGGAGTCAGAGGTGAAAGAGAAAGGAAAAGACAAAAGGTGGGGAGATGGGGGGAGGGGGGGGGGGGCAATGGCCCTAAATGTGTGTTTGCGTGGAATGTCTTCAGTGGACATGTATAAGGTGCAAATAAAATTGGGGGGCAGGTTGCCACAGGAATGCAGAAATGGAGTCCCTACCGGCACTCCCTGACTTGTCCACCCCCAAGGTCCCAAGTGCATGTTTGTGTGATGATGTGAGGGAGCAGGAGGAGAAAAATATGCGGGGATGGGGAGGAATGGCTGGTTGGGCTTAGCCCTCCAGGGAGCCAGCTCCCCCACTGGCCCCAATAGGCACCTCTTTTGTCAAATTGCCACCTAGGGCATGGAGACCCCAGCCCATCCTGCCAGGGCCCAAAGCAGCAGCATTGCAGAACCTCACAGAGCCCGAGGGCACCAACCCAGTCCCACCCCAGCAGAATATCTATGCCCATCCCTGCATTTGTACAACTTCCAGAATATATAAGGCATAGGGCATCCAGGTAAGGTTGGGTGCTCCCCCTCCCGGGCCTCCCCCTCCCCTGTGATGAGACAGCAGAAGAGCCAAGGTCTACCCGAGGCCCCCGAACCCGGGCCAGGCACTGCTGCATATGCCCGCCTCCTTCCCGGCAGCATACATGTCAGGACCCGACCCTCAAGGCCCCGCCCAGATCCCCACACCTGGCCGGCCACCCCCACACCCCAAGCCCCCAGGCCCCACCCAGACCCACCCTGGGGCAATGCAGCTGCCAGGCAGTGACCCGTGGCCGCCGCCAAGACCTCTAAGGGGCCCCACTCACAACCACCAGTAGTCCACCCCCGAGGCAACCCAAGCACCTCCAGAGGGGGGCACCTAAGATGGCGGATTGTTGCGCATGCGCAGTCCGGCACCCGGCGTTGTATTCCCTGTAGCAGAATCACGATTCTAAACACCGGAGCCTTTATTAGAACCGCCGCTAACGTTATCCAAAAGTACTCCATACCGGAAGGTTTAGCGGGTTTAAGGACGCAGAATTGCTACTTCGGAACGGCTTGACAGTTTCGCGGGACGCGTTCCCGAGCGTCTTACCGAGAGTGGCTAGTTAGCTCTTTGGCTAAGTAGCTTTTCGTCTGTAGCGACCAGACTTAAATTTGTCCGATTAGCCAAGCAGGCATCTCGCTCCGCGGCTAAAACGGACTTTAAAAGCGTACGCAAACTGGATGCAGTAACACCTCCGGTAAATATAACCCGAATTACAGCGGTTACCTAGCAGGTGAAGCTACGGTAGTTGCTCACGAGTCTACCGGGAAAAATTGACGCTGATCAGGCGTCTTCTGGACGGAAAAAAATTTCCGACGGAGTCTTTTGTCTCCGATTACACAAATGGATGCACACAGTGTCACAAACACCGCGACAAACAATAAACAGACGGTTCCAACGTATTAAAACAGGAGAAATGTTTACCCTCAAATGTAGGCCCAAAATGGCCGTTAGCACACGTCAGCACTCAAGGTGTTTTGATGAAACAGCGCCTCCTGTCGGAGGGTGATGAATGTGCACCCCCCTTTTCTGAGAAGCTGAATGAGGAAAATGCTCGCTTTTTCCTCTCCCTGAACTCACACACTGGACAAAAATCCCAAAATATGTTTCAAAATCGGCACAAAGTGTAATAAACTGTGCAGATATCAGGCTTAGCTCGCCAAATGTAGTGAAATAGAGTGATGTAACGATCTAGAGTTGTATTTTAATATACTGTAAGTAGATCACTTGTTATAATCAGAAGATGGGCTGTTTTTATCATCAGGGAGTTTAATTAAACACTCTGTATTGACTTTGAGACAAGAAAAGAGAGAGATAGTTGGGATCGTTTAAGAATCTTTAATTTCTTAATTATAAATTCTTAACAATCTACCAGGACTAACTCTGTGATGGATGAAAATGGATTTGGATGTTGTGTTGGTGCGTGTGTGTGTGTGTATGTTGTTCAGGATCTTTAGGCTGACGGAGCGTATCTGGTTGTTATGACTACGGACCACGAGGCTTCGGAAGCTGATGACATGAGCAGCTATTTTGCCGTGTACGTACCCTGTGGAGTCTCCCAGGTAGATCAGGAAATGCCAGGTCCTAGGACCTCGGATGTGTACTGGAGCTGGTTGAAGCAGCGGTCACAGCACGTCAAAGCCCGTCTCTAGGGTCGACCCCGGTACCATCGGCAGCGTCAGCTAGTGGTGCTCTTATTTTGAAGGGGCGTCGTCTTGTTGGTAAACAACGGAAATCTCCAGTAGCTTCACAGTTCTCAGTTAAAGAAGAAAGCACATCTGGCCAGCTGTACTTCTCTTTTGATGACGGTGGAACCCCGTAGGACTTCCAACTGAACAGAACTGAAGTCAAAATGGAACTGCCCATAAAATGGCGTTGCCTTGTTTTTATATCTCTGATTTGTTTTAAGTTTCAGTAAACGGGATTGGACACTTTAATTCAACAAGCCAGATTCTCTTACGGCAGCCGAAAGCTCTGATTGGTTGGAACAATGTGTCATGCGTTTCTATGGAGATGAGGGTCAGTCTGTCTGTGCTGTAGTCCTGTTTTCATTAGACACATAAATCATGACATCTTTATTCCACAGATCATTCACTTGATTATTATTGATCAACATCTGTTTCGATTAGCTTTAATCACAAATTAAGTACTTTGATTATTGAAAAGCGTTCTTCTTCTCCTTCTGGCTCTTCTCCTGGAATGTAAACAGTCTGAGGAACACCCGACCTTGGCGTTTTCTACACGGGTGTTACTGTGTACAGGGGCAGCTGTGTGGAGCTGAAAATTATGAACTTCATAACGTTACACCTGTCAAGGAACTCATTGATCTCATTATCTGATGGGTTTATCTGTGGTGAGTACAACGTTTGGTAAAAATCTCTGAAAGTGTTGTTTATTCTTTCAGGGTCATAAACTATATTCCCGGTTGAGTTTTGTTGCTGCCACGGTTGGTCTAGATTTCAAGGCTAATTTTATGGTTTATATTCACCGAAAATGTTCAGTGATTTTTCCTTGTTTTGCTTACGTAAATAAATAAATCTTTAGAAAACAGAAAATTCCAACATCTTCCATAATCTCGTTTTTGACTTACCGCGTTCTCAGGGTGGAAGATGTAGGAGGCAGGTGAGTTGTCTATAATGATGACTTTCCGAAGCTCCCGGCCAAGTCGGCTGAGGTCTTTGACGTAGTTTCCTCTGTGGAAAACGCAGGATTCCCTGAAGAGCCGAGCGCGAAACACCCCCCACTGGTCCAGCAGGTCCGCCACGGGGTCAGCGTACTGAACCGAAACAAAAGTAAGCTAGTGAAGAGACAGAAGTCCGTGGTTGAGATGAGTGTGGAGGAATAGCCCACCTTGGCTAAACTGGCTGTGAAGAGGACACACTCAAACAACTCCCCCATCTTCTGGAGGAACTCGTCTACATGGGGCCTCTTTAACACGTACACCTGGAAACAAGGTGCGGCAAAAAGGACATTTACAATTATTTGCTAAATATTTGACACTGTGAATCTAATCTTTCATGAGGTAAGGAAAAACATTCTGCCAATCCAAGGTTGAGCTGCAGAGAGAACCCCAGACATCCCCCACCAACTTACTTCAGCTCCTCCTAAGGTCAGAGGGGACAGACTTTTGGGTCAGACCAAAAGACCTAGGGTCTGAATGTACCCGGAAAACATCCAGATGTAGGCGGCCAGGGGGCGACTTAATCAGATGATCAAACCACCTCACAAGAGGAGAAGTCGGCTTATTTCAGCTCTAGAATCTTATTCTTCCAGTTATGATCCAGATCTCAAGACCATTTTGGTTGGGTTGGAACATCTGCAGAATTCAACCACAACAGACTGAGGATAGAGCCCTAATCTTTAGTTCCACCCATATTTTAAATAAAACCGGTGCCTTGGCACAGTCTGACCCAACCTGATGAAGAACAACCATTGGTTGATGGTAGACCTAGAAGAACCATGCTGCAGCTGCCATCAGCTGCTGACTGAAACAATGAAATTGCTTCACAAGTTCGCTTATTCTCAAAGTTGGAGTAAGGACCCCACTGTGTGTCATAAGACATGGCATAGCATTCATGATTATTGGGGATATTTCAACGGTATTGGTTCACAGATTGTTGTCCTCAAAAGCTGCTGGCGTGCTAGCTGCTGCCCCCAAGTGCAAGTAATCGAGGACAGGCCAAAGCAGAGACAGAAAGCCTATCCTGGATTACTTGAACCAGGTCACAGCAACACATCTGCATCTTCTTCTTCAGCATTCATAAATTACTAACTTGTAGGAAACTAAGGCTGTGTGAAAAGAGTGGGGCTGCATCTTTCCAAGGTTGCATTTGAAGGCCAATTATGCTTCACAAAGGCTATCCCAACTCAAAGTCCTTCTTTTCCCCAAATTTAAAGGAGGGGTCTGGTGTTTCCATCCTAACCCAGGGTCCATCATGGTTGCTAGGCAACAGGACAAATGCCGAAGTAAATAAATCTGAGGACTAGACCACCCAAATTCACAGCCGCTCACTTCTTTGTAAAGACCTCCGGAGGAACATGCTTTGGAACACTGAAACAATCCATTTATCATTAGAATGACAGACGATGAATCACAAAGTAGTTTGAACATTTTTGACTTTGACACCCGCTAGCTGGGTGATAACAGGGTTAATAAATACAGGAGGAACTCAAACACAGCCAGGACTCCCATGAGAACCATTGTAAATTAAAACAGACAGCACAAAGTTATTAAATCCACGCCTACATGTAGAAGTCCTCCATATCTGTGGTATTACCTGATGAACGGTGCCATCAATCTCCACCGGGACGATGAAGTCTGCATTGCTGATGGGCTGCAAGGGGAGCAGAAGATGGTTCAGATTGTGATGCTCAGAACAGCCCAGCCACACGCCCACTTCTGGTGCCAAAGAGGAAGCAAAAGTAAGAGATTCTTGCAAAGGCGCCTCAGGCAAGTGACGAAGACTCCAGAGCCCTCAGCATTAAATAAATACCAGAACTCTAGAGAGGAACCTGGGAGCCGAGGAATGTGACAGATGTGACACTGAACAGGAAGAGCACTGCCATTTTCTCTGTGTGACTTGTGTCAATTTTTTTTCCTTGTAGAAGTGGGAGAGCGAAGAGGAGAGGTGCAGAAGGAAGAGGAGAACAGATACCAGAGGGGTGTGGGTGGAAGATGAACAGAAGGCGTAAAGATAAGGATGAAAGCATTAGGTAGGAGGCACGCTCATTTTGGTACAGAAGAAAAATAGGTGACAGAAAAAACTGTTTTTGCTCTTTCGGAAACAAAAGAGAAAACTCAGAGCAGTGCTGTCGCTAACTTGGATCATTTCCTGTACAAAAAACAAAAACTAAGGGAGATTACTTGAAAGTATTTTAGATGTTTATTCAACTCTTAAGTAAATACGTAACACAACCAAATCTAAAACGTCTATTCAGTCAAATGTATGTTTCATGAAATAGTTTTGATACCAAATTTTTTATTAAAACTGAAAAAGTCTAAAAAGATTTGTAAAACCAGGGTCTCTGACCCTGGTCCTTATCCGGCTTTATCCACTTTTAGTTGCTTTCTGCCCCAACACTGATTCAGTGGTTGAGTCACCTGTTCAGTAGATCATCAAGCTCTGCAGAAGCTCGTTAATCACCAACTGATTAAAATCTGGTGTGTTGGAGCATAAAAAACCCTCTGAAACGTGCTCTTGAGGACTGGGGCTGAACAGCTCTGACTTATTGCCTCCAGCAGGGGGTACTGTTTGCTGTAACACTACATGGGCACGTTGACCTCCAACACATCAACTTTACACCCAGTCCAAAGTCTGTAGATATTAAGCTGACAGATAATCTACTAAAGAATCTATGAAGTCACATTTCAGTGACGCTTTACATCGTTCGGATATATCTGAGCAGAAACCCTTAGAGGGATTATGTGCCGCTCCCTGTTATGGATTATGTTTTTTTCAGAAGGCTGTTGATGTAGATTCACACTTTTTAATTTTACTTTTCAGAATTTTGTTAATGTGTCAATTTTTTTACAATTTGAGAAACTTTTTTCATTTCAAATAAAAATAACAGAATTTTCTGGCTTGTGAGGAATACTAAATTAACGATTCTGGCTCTTGTCTTAAAACGTTTGGACACCTCTGAGAATAAACATACACCAGCTGACCGGATGTATCAGAGACAATGAGACAGAAAACTGCAAATATTAGAAGTGGAGGGTGCTGAAACTGATCTGTGCATTCATACTTTAAATGATTAAACATAAAACACGTTCATGTCATTTTAAAGGTGCATGTAAGAATGGAGTAAGCATGACATCTTGTGGTCAAGTTTGGGTACTGCAGTCCATTTTTCTACACAAAAAGTGACTCTCTTACTCCCGTTTTGTGAGTTTGATGACTGTGTCTGTTACAGATCAGCGCCGTATCATATACAAGATTTATATCGTATCAAATTTCAATAAATCAAAATACATCACAATCAATATTTCATGTCCAATCACTAATAAAGTAATTATTGAACAATACGAATCTTTATTACTAAAAATCTAAATAAACACAAAGCAAAAATTGTTTATAATGAAGTAAAAGACTAAATCCTCTCTGTTGGTTTCACATATCTAACACACACACACCACCTCTAATCCCAGAATAAACCCAGGAATTATCCCTTCATCCATAACATGAAGGATAAAGCAAAGATATTTGTTATGTAATGCTTCTTTTTTAGTCAACACCCATCTGTGCATCATCTGTCTACCAGTTACTTGGTTGTTATTTTTTTACACCTTTATCTTCACCTATTGTCTGATTCCAGTATTATAAAAATAAACGACTTAATCGTCTGAATCACCTCTGAACAGGACAGCGAGGACAGGAAATCTTGCCAGGAGTCAGAATAGTAGTGAAACTTTTGTTTTTATGCCAGTCTGTTTCCCCCTTTAAGCTGATTTTTCTTTTTTGTCATTGCTTTCTATGAGTCTTTATTATTGTGTCACTAACATCTAACAAGACGGGCCGAGTGTGTGTGGTGACCTTATGATTTGTTTTGACCGAAACTGTTATGGGAAGCCCAAGATCTTTGAGAATTTCATATCACAGCCGTTGAATGCAACAGTACACTCTGTGTGTGTGTGTGTGTGTGTGTGTGTGTGCATGCGTGTTTTTCTTTGATTTCAAATGAGTATATCTGTTTTTGGACTCAAGAAAAAGTTGATAAATCTTCACGTTGTTTCTAGACATTGTTTAATTCACCTGAATGAGTCTAAAACACACATCCTCTGTTCGAGATGTTTCTTTGCACATTTTCTCATTTCAGCTGCATTTTTTTCTCTTTCTCAGTTTCTGACAAAATCAGATCATAAACACTGACCAGAAGTAACCATTTTTATCTGTGAACTGTGAACAAACCTAAAAAAAAATGTTTTTTCCACGTTCGGAAATAAGCGCGTTCTGGGCATCAAAATGCGTCTTTAAAATTCGCGGACTTCATGTGTTAAATCCATGGCACATAACAAAGGGAATTTGAAAATAACGTTTTTTTTACCCGTTGACTTGCATTAATTTTTTTGTTCTTCCGGGGACCCATGGTCCGGAAGTAGATAGGCGTGATCTAGGCATCCCTATACAGGATGGTGTAGCATAGTATAGCAAAGTATAGCATAGTATAGCATAGTGTAGCGACATGAATGGCCTCATTTGTTACCCAAAGGTCACACTTCCTCAGCTGGGTCAAGCTGTCCTGGCTGTACTTCTATCTACAGATTATCCATCACAGGAGACGCAAAGTCTGCTGTAAACCATCTTTAATCTGCCTTACCATATCTTGACTTCCTTTGCCTCCACAGCAAGGATTTTGTCATGTTCCGGAAGAATAATTTATAATAAACTCTTTCAATTGTTAAATCACCAAAGGTTCGTTATAAATGTATCTAATTACTGAAATGAATTTGTATTCTGTGGTTAATAATTATTTATGATAATCAGTAATGTTTAATCATGACAAGTGTATTATTTGCATTCTCACACATACTGTAGTCTCCATGTTAAATGGTAACCTTGCACTCACATAACCTTTTGTCACATGACAACCCAGAACTTTCTGTCTCTGAGAGGGCGTGTTCTGAGGTATGTTAAGTCCCACCCTCTAACATGTCAAAATCTAATTCATTAGAATAAGATTACCGGCCGTCTCCTAAAACCTAACTCCTCAGTTCAAGTTCAGTTCTTGAGCTCACCAAATTCTCTAACGTGGCAACGAGAGTCCAGAGGATCGAGTCGGCTGTTCGAAACCTCTACTAAAGCTTTTCTGTCACACCGATGGAATTGCTTCAACAGAAACGCCATCTGCAACAAGCTGACGCAAAACTCCTTCAGAGTTATTGATTTTTGAGACGCAACCAGTTTCATCAGTCGTGACCCGGAGACATCTCAGGACCGATTTGGTCGCACTACGGTTTTTCTGCCCACCTCGTGCTCGGGGGTCATCATCTCCTCCTGTCATCTTGGATCCAAAAGGGGGTCTCCTAACTGGGTGAGGTAGACACTTCCGACAGATTGCGTCTGAATGCCTTCTATTAAGAAATAATTTAGCATAACTGCAAACCAAATTCTTTCACCCAGAACATGTTTTCTCTCTCTAAGATAAAAACATTCTGAGACCTACATTCACACACCCAAACAAACACACTTCATGTTTAGTTTCATCCAGACACAGATTGCTTTAATACCAAGTTTTAATACCAAAGCTTTTATAAATTGTCATTTATGAATTGTCGTTTAAATTGTCATCTTTAAATTGTTAGTAATAAATTCTTAACTTTTTAAACCTGACTCATTTTTGAAATAAGACAGAGTGGTGAATATTGATCATCGAACGAGCAACGATCTCTTTAGATCTTCTGAATTAATAAATAAACTTTTGCTGTTAATTTAAATCTTAAATTAAATACTAATCTTTTGATTAAATATAGACCAAGCCAGATGGTGTATGAACGTCAATCGATTACATAAATATCCGTGGAGATATATATATATGTATATATATATATATATATATATATATATATATATATATATATATATATACATATATGATATAAGTTTCATTGCCAATTCGTTTGATCTTTCTCAGGGTTTAACAAAGCTGAATAGCAACAGCATTAAATTCCAGTTATGTAGATCAACAATGCTACAATAGCATAGTTTAGTATGGTATAATATGGTAGGTAATATCATTAACATAGTGTGGCATAGTATAGTATGGTATGGTATGGTGTAGCATAGCTTAGTGTTTTAGTATAAACTTGGCTTTCCTATGACTGGCTGTTAGCTCATCAGTCCTGGTGAACATGAACAATTTTTGTAAGCGAAAAGGAAATCTACAGTGAGTACGATGGTATTTTTTGTAAATGTTACACAGAAACACACCAAATGGCCAAAAATGAAAACTGATACAAAACACCCATAAAAACACCCAACCTGTCCTCTGAATTCGATCTCAAATTTTAATAACCCACAAGAACTATGGTTAATAAAAATGGATTTAGAACAAGAATGATCATTAAATGTGTCCAATTTAATGAGCTAAGGGGTTTCCATACCTTAAAGGAGCTGTGTACCAGGGTTTCATCCAGGTCAATCACCACACAGTTCTTGTTGTAGTCTGATATATTGACCTCAGGCAGGAGGAACTTGGCAGGAGGCTACAGACAACACACACACACACACACACACACACACACACACACACACACACACACACACACACACACACACACACACACACATTTGACAGATTTAATAAACTCACATAGGATGATGTCATGTTATAATTAACAAATTTATTTAGCAACCTTTCCTTCCTCTAACGTCACATTTCACCTTTAAAACCTTTCAAGTGGAGTTTAACTGCCCCCAGAAGGAGTTTTCTTAAAATGCTTTCATCCAAGAAGCTGAACAGGCTCTTTGAAGTCAAACACCAATTTGCCTTCAATTAAGTAATTTAGTTATTTTTTGTGCTTGTACAGGTATTTTTTTCAAAAATGCAAATACAAATTGATTCCAGCTTTTTCTCTTTACATTAATAGAAACTAGATTTGTAAATTATATCAATTTTTGTGCAAAAATCCAGCATGTTCAGCTGTTAAAATATATGCTAAATGATCTCCATATGTGTATACTTCAGATAGAAATTAGATAAAAGTGATAAAGGTATAGTAGTCAAATTACTTTTACAAATCAAAAGCATTTTATCTGTCCCTTTAGATCATATTGATCTTCAAAAATCTGTTATTTGGCCAAAATTACCACATCTAAAAGCCAATTTTGTTTATTTTTCTTCTTACTGAGCACTTGCTGTTATTTTATTATACCAAATATGCTTAATAGATGTTTTATTGGCTTTATTATTTCTGAGACTCTTTTTCCTTCAAGGTTGGGAGGAAGGGAGAAATGCTCATGACCTTTATCAAACAGGCTTGTAAACACGGGCCACATGGTCCAACCATGGAGGGTCTTACACACACACACACACACACACACACACACACACACACACACACACACACACACACACACACACACACACACACACACACACACATGCACGTGTGTGTACAGGGGTGAGGGTCGGGGATCCTGACATTCCCATGAGTGAGCTGCTGCTCATGACGACCGGCATTTCCTACATGTCTCTATGTTTACGTGTGCTTTTCCGAGCTGCGCCATATTTATCACGTCTGATCACCAGCCTGCACACTGATGTGTTGCAGAAAGAATTCCCCTTTGAGCAAGGTCAGTGCATAACACCCTGGCAGCCTGAGATGGATGTGATTTACTCAGACCAGATGAGTGGCTCAGGTAAAGAGAGACACACTACTAGGACCTTGATGTTTGAACCAGTTAAAACGAGCTTTTACCGACAGCTTCAGACAGGGGGCGCTCTTCTAAATTGGTGACTGTCCAAATTCAGGGGCTGCATCTTTCAAAGCTCCTACAAATGCATCCTTCCTTACCCAGCATTTAAAGGACAGGTCTGGTGTGTCCCTCATGGGCTGCCTTATCCCAGGATTTATTGTAGGTCAAACAGAGATTTTTTTTTAAATTTGTAATAATGGTGGACGAAGCAGAAAACGTATCCAGTTTCAGCTATAAGTTTTTTCAAATATGGTGCAAATTTGTTTTAAAAGTAAATAAGAAAATATTTTATGGTAGTTTTAGTTGTGCTTGGAAAACGTAGAAAACTTTCTTTATTTGGGACATGAAATTTGCGGCTAAACTTTGAAGTCCCCTAATTAAGGGTTGGGGGTGGAAAGGTCTGGTGGGCCGGATGTGGCCCGCGGGCCGTAAGTTGAGGTTCGCTAATATAGAGGTACAGAGAAATAGTTTGTTTTTCATATTTTTAAAATTTGAATGATTTTATGTTTCATAAATAACATATTAAAAAGCAATAAACAGATTTTTTTACATTTCTCATATTTTTTGTGAATATTTCTTGATACATGTGAAAATTTACTACATTTTTAATTCCTGTTTGCTCCGACGTTTAAAATGACAGACAGGAAATAATAACACATAATTACTGTCAGAGGTGCAATATTTGTAATGAATTCTGTGTCATTTTACGTGTGCAGCACAGTTTTAACTCTGTGATATACTTATTGGCATCTCAGTCATTTTGAAACAAAACCAAACAAACTAACAGTATCTTATTTTCTCTGGTGTTGATTCAGATGCTATTCTGTAATAACTGGTGACACAGACGTGACCTGCACAGTCGAGCTGGAGTTATTTATGTCGTCGCTCTGAAATCTCCGCTTCCATCCTCCAAACAACACGAAGAGCAGACCTCGTCTCCGTATGACTTTCCTGCTCTTAAAGGATGGCGTCTGCTGTGTGGTGGAGTTTAGAGCTTGGCTGCAATGTGGGATGCTGTGAGTGTGAATATTCTAAATTACAGTAAACCACAGGCAGCCAATTGAAGTCCAAAATAGCTAAATGAAGTGCAGCTTCAGCACAGACACAGCAGAGAAAGATATGATAAATATATGACCCTGTCTACACCAGTGGGGATAGCATTTGAATGGAGTTTTATATTTTTCCTTAGTTCATAAACATTTCCCCATCCGTGCTACACCAGTAGGGTAAATGTACAAAAATACAGAGAACTAGCATTCCTATATAGGCCAAAAATTCCAATAATACATACAAAGCCACACTTTGAGACCCCAGCCTCATGCTCTTTAGCTCCCATAGGCCCAACTATCAGAGCCTCCGGGTAATTTTGCCAGACTTTTGCGGCATATGCAATGCGCCATTTCACCGGGCCATTTCAGGGACAAACTGAGTACCTGAAATGGGATAGGTACTCAAAAAGGCCTGGTCGAGTTGCTGCGCGGGACTTGTGGTTAACTTGTGCCGATTGGTTGGAAATGAGGAAATCAGAAAATGTTGTCAAACAATCGGCATTTTAGAAATGGGAAGAGATTGTGGGTGAAAAATGGTACTTCTTCTGCTGATTGAATGCCATATTTTACATCGCACTGCAGTTCTCTCGATTCCCTGAAAAGAATAAAGCCACCCCTGACCACCCCTTGGGTTAGGTTCAGTAGATATAACTCAATGAATTCCCCCTGAGTCAGTCCAATGACCGAAACAGTTTCATTAGGGAATCACTGGCAGTGCACGGGCCGCCGCATGTCACTCAGAAGCCCCCTTCCATTGTTGGTCCCTCCAGATAGATAGATAGATAGATAGATAGATAGATAGATAGATAGATAGATAGATAGATAGATAGATGATAGATGATAGATAGATAGATAGATAGATAGATAGATAGATAGATAGATAGATAGATAGATAGATAGATAGATAGATAGATAGATAGATAGATAGATAGATAGAGAGATAGATAGATAGATAGATAGATAGAGAGATAGAGAGAGAGAGAGAGAGAGAGAGAGAGAGAGAGAGAGAGAGAGAGAGTGTGTATAGAGACCAGGTAGCAGAGGTGGCACCGTGTTATTACGTTTAACCACAACTGAGCCGGACTAGGCTTAACCTGGCTCCCCCTATACCCTCTCCCGATTAAAGGAGAAGGAACGGGAGAGTGAAAAGAAGTGTAAAGGAGATTGAAATGTTTTGTAGTTTTGTCTATGATTCAAGTTGAAGATTATTTTGTTTTATAGTGTCCTTAGGGTTAGGTTGGGGGCGGAGTCAATGTCCTTAAGGTTACCCCCAAATTCCACTACCTCCGCTCCGCTCCGAGACGAACGCCGGAGCAAAATCGGTCCCGTTCTAGTCAATCAGAGCAGTTCCACTACTACGGCCATGCTCCGGCCGTGCTCCGGCCGTGCTCCGGCAGTGCGGCGCCGTGCGCCGCCCTCTGTTCCGGCAAAAATAGAATCGATCCTATTTTCGCCGGACGCCGGAGCACCTCTGCAGTAAATGGACAGAAATCACAACCACCCAACAGGAAAAGGAACAAGCACAACTTCCGTTTTTCACAATAAATCGATAAACAAAAGGCGTTTTTTGTTTCATATGCACAGGTTTAACAACTATCAATGGCGGCTGAAGTTTAAATGCACAAAAGTAAGCCATAAATACAGTTTCTACTATCAAAGTAGTCACCCTTTGTTGATCCAAACACTGCTGATCTCTCAACACAAATGATGGGCAGATTAAACAGCTCATGCCGATGCTTCTCCCACACAACGGGTGTTTGGATCTAACTTCCGCGTTTATTGCTCGGACTGTATTGCAAGATCTCGAAAATCCCGCGCATGCTTGTTTGCCCCCCTCAGGTCTCCGCACCGGAGCAGAGCTGTTGTAGAGCGGGTACCAGTAAAAATTGAGTTCGGAAGCGAGCGGCTGCGGAAGGCGGGGGCGGACCGGAGCGGAGCGGAGGTAGTGGAATTTGGGGGTTAGGGTTTAAAGTTAGGGGCAAGGTTAGTGTCCTTAAGGTTAGGGTTAGGGGCAAGGTTAGTGTCCTTAGGGTTAGGGGCAGAGTTAGTGACCTTAAGGTTAGAGTTTAGTGAGGTTATATTTTGAGGACAAGTGCCTTTAATGAATGTCAATTTGAGCTAAACGGATGGTTCTCAGTTCCCTAGTTGGGATTTAGATGTATGGTAACTACATTACCTTCCTACAAATTAATTTTATACAAATTTTGGACACATCATCAGCAGTGGACCCAGAAATCATCGAGTGTTTCGGCCATTACCACTGAACACTCTATTCTGGGAAAGCCCGCCAAGGCGATCAACTCTCGGCGTGTGTCCGTTGTGCCCAATTGGGTTAGGGTTAGGGGGCACCCCTGCATGCTTTGATAGAATAAATCTTTTAACTTTATTACAGATTAGGTTCAGAGAGAAACAATTTCTTACTTCTTATTTTTTAAACTGATCGGTCACTCTGAGTTTAACATGTAGGCTGAACATGACAATAGTCTTCTACCCCTATTTCCTACATTAGATTCTGATCAAAAACATGAAAAAATAAATAAAACGCTTCATTCAGAAAATCCTGACAGATTTACATCATGCTGTCACCCATCTTGGCTCACGACGTGGAAGTCTGTTGTTGGTTTAGCATCCAGGAAACAGCAGAGAATGTCTCAGCTAGTAGAAGCTAACTGTTAACATTAGCAACTCCACCACATGGCAGAACTCCTTCAGGCTTTTGTTATTTGTGGAGATAAATCATCAACATTGCAGGACAAATGGAGTCAGTGGTAGAGTCACATTTTAGCCAATCAGAGGTGAGATGTCCAAATATCTGGGGTTTTTCTCAATGTCAAGGCGCCTTGCCTTGTGAGGCGATGTCTTGCGAGGCCAGGCGCCTTACTTACGAGGACACTGTCCTTCCTTGGTCAAAGAAGATGGAACAGACTTGCATTAGGTGACCGTGGCTTCCACGGCGGTCACGCAACATCACGTGACACGAGAGATAACGTTATATTTTATACGTATTAGTTTCAATGTAAATATAAAACAAGCCTTTTACTTTTAAAATTGTGTATATGCTTATTAAATTAAAAATATAAGTGAGCTATTACCCGCTAGCCACCGAAGCTGCAACTACTAAGCAACTAACCATCCATAGATAACTTCTTTGGATCTAAAAAAAAACTTTTTAAATTGGCTGACTTACTTTAAAACTTGAAAATTGTCCCCGAAGTAGCTGCTGGCTTCTGATCCGCCGTCTTTTTGAAAATACTGCAGTGTATTGTGGGTAATTTTTGACCAAGGCTAGGCTACAAGACACCTCCCGTGTGTCCTTGCTCAGCTAGCTAAACGGCAAACAAACGGAGAACACATGCCTCGATAGAACACGAACATTGGAACCGATTGGAACACGTCTTGGCGGCTCCCAATGACGTTAGGACTGCAGCTATCGAATATTTTTGTAATCGAGTACTCTATTGAATCTTTTATCGATGAATCGAGTACTGTAATAAATGACCATTTTGTGTTTGTAAACCATTATATCAAATAGCGTGTTATAAAATATGAAAGACCTCTTAAAATGAGCAAGCAATTGCCATTTATTCTTCAAGTTTTATTCAAAATTAGTTTTCAAAACTTCATCACTTCAACTTTACTTCACAGTAAACAAATGCCTGTGCAAAACATAAGTATACAACCTGAGCCGATTTTCCCCTCGGGCGAGAATCTAACAGCACCAGAACCGCTCACGGCGCATGCGCAAACATGGCTCGCCAGCTATTTCCCTATTAACACACGTCTGTTTTAATTTCTACACTTTTTTTTCTCACACAATAACAAGGACTGTCGAGAAAGCATGTTTGCCGTGGTTATGTCAAATAATTCTGCTCACAAAACATTTATTTACGTTCTTTCGTTTTCCTCCGCCACTCTCATAAATACCTGTCCTCCTGCAGCAATCCCGAGGGACAACAGACATCAATAACAACACAATAAAAAGTCAGACCTGTTGTGTAAATACTGCTATTTTTAGCACTTTTTTAGTTCCGACGTGTTGCTACCAGACACACACTGTGAGCTGAAACTGAGTGATACAAATCAAAAAGTTGCAGTGTCCGCAGAATATATAGCGGACCTCCGAGTCCGCTTGCAGAAGTGACATTTACAGGTACTGCAGCATCGAGAATGTGGTGTTGTGGTAGGGTAAATCCATTTTACAATATTTACACTGGACTACAATTTCCGCTTTACGGAGTGAAAAATGGTCCCATACCGTTGACATTTTCTGTCTTTTTCGCACTCCACTGGGGTCCATGTTGTCCGCCATGGCTTAAGAGACATTCGCTACTCGCGTGTGCATTCAGTGTAGTGTGTATGTGCACCACTTATTTCGGTCTGGGTGAAACATGACCCCGAGCGATTGTAAAGCCATGAATTAATTAAACATGAATTAAACGAAGCCTCGAGGCAGAGAATTTGACTCAAGGTTTTTTGTACTCGAATTATTCGAGGTACTCGAGGAATCGTTTCAGCCCTAGATGACGTATCTCCTAGGCAACCAGGGCGGGGCCAAGACATCAAGGCAAGGTTCCTTGGCATTGAGAAACACCCAAGGAAATGATCCTGCCGTCTGAAGCTACTTTCTCCTCCATCTGACTTCCACTTCCTCAAACAAGTGCACCAGAGATTTTTTCCCCAGAGACCAAGGCATTCATTCCTACTAGAGACCGCTGCAAATGTAATAAAAATATGAGTAAAGTTGACCTTTAATGTCCGTCAATGCCTTTTGGCACTGATCAGTGACATCACTCACTGCCAAAGCGGTGGCGATAAGCTGACGTCTTAGTAACGTCCTGAAAGGGCCAACTTTTATGGAAACTGGTGAAAGGACCAAGTCGTCGTGTCTCCAGGTCGCTTTTTCTCCGTCCCAGACATCCATTCCTTGTATTTTGTTTGGAGCTTCTTTTCTTATTCACATTTTTTTAAATCACTTAAAAATCTAAAGCATGGCTTTCACATTCATATAGATACAATGGTGATGAAAAATATATATTCACATAAATATTGTAATAACGCATAAGTAACAGTTATATTTTCACTTTTATGTAATGTAAAATCATTTAGTGTTAACACTTTTGATAGCACACACAACTGAAAGAGGCCTCCCAAAGTTGCCTGCAGCGGGTTTGTTTCACCCAAAGACTGTTTCTATTCTTTGACAATGTTTATCATCGATAGCCACATTTAATCAAACTTTAATGGTGACAGTAGGGGGACCCAAAAGGTAACCCTTGTGTGTGTGAACAGGAGAGGGAAATGCTACAGGTGTTGTGTTGATCCATATTATATCACTACTATATCCAATCATATTTATTTAAATCAAAATAGTCATATTGCAAAATACAGTAAATAATGTGACACCACAACACATTTACGTTCCCTAGTGTGCACAATGATTTATTGTAAATATGTATGGTGATGGAGGTTTTAAGAAATGGATGCACTATAACATATACAGCTGTAGCTGCAGTCAGAGATGTGGAGAATGATTAAATATTTTTAGTTTTGCAATATTAAAAAAAAATCTATTTTTCTACAAATTTCCTTCTCAAATTTTCTAACAGAACTTTATTTATTTGCCGAATTGAAAACAAAAGGTTTATTGCTTGTTTTGATAGTTAGCGTGAGTAGAGATCATATCAGTTGCAGGGAGAGGGGGAATTTTGTAGGCTAGGAAAGAAAGCAAAGAATTAGCTTAGCGCTAACACCCATGTCCCATCATCTTGTCTCACCTGTTCGCAGCACTACTTAAAGACCAAGTTTGCTTGTTTTTTCGACACATTTGAAGCGGTCTTTGGTATAAATGAAACCATTAGGTCTTTCTCTGTGGGAAATAAAACTCAGGCTGATCAGTTTCAGGAAGTAGAAGTTAGCCAGAGTAGAGTGGAGCAGAAGATGGCAGGATCCAAAATTCAGACATCTCACTTCTGATTGGCTGCCAGCAACAAGACTTTACCACTGACTCTGTTTGCTCTGCAATATTAACGTTTTATTTCTCCCTGTTGTGGAGTATACAATGCTGACTGTCAGCATCTACTAGTCGAGACGTTCTCTGCTGGTTCCTGGATGTTAAATAATCAGATCATCAAAGCTACTTGTGGTTTCCCGTGTCAACCAATACTAAATTCTGTTAACTCATTTTCAATTCATTTGTACTCTTGTATTGAGGCCACATTACCAGGTCCTTAGAATAAATCATGGAGAATAAGGAAAAAACTGTGAAAATGATTGAATTTTAATATTAAATTCTTCGAATGCACAGTAAAGACAATCGGGGACAGAGGAAAGAGACATGCAGGGCAAATGGTGGGAGAAAACAAGACAGAAAGCAAACAGAGCTGCCATAGCAACAAACTCGGCTGGCCAAGAATCTAGCAGCAGCATTCGACTTGGAGGGACGGCAATCAGAGGCCCAGTTAGAGAATCAGACCCGTGCCATAACAAGACTTTTTATGGCCAGGTTCACTAAGTTCACACTAAAATAATGGGAACTCGTTTATCAAGGTGAGGTGGGGAGCGGGTCGGTGCTGACCACATGTGCAGTGTCTGTGAAGGACCGCAGATTCCTCCCCTGGACGAGAGATGTTCAGGGGTGATTCTGCTCCGTTTTTAGCCCAGTATGTTTGTAGAGCAGCTTCAGGGTTTGGCGCCTTTTCAACCACCAGAACGTTCTCTTCTCACGTTCTCACTACACTGGTCAGAGTGTACACGAGGAGTGAAGGAGGCATGGGGGGGGGGGGGATAAGCAATCCATCATAGCCGACACACACAAGGCCCACTATACAGGGATTAAAGAAGCATCAGTTTCAGTGCGTGTTTGGGTCGGTACACGTGTTGTCATGGTAAGACTCGTGCACTCTGCAGGAGTGAGCGAGTGCATGTGCATATTCCACCTTCCTCAGGATCCACTGATTTCCCTCTTTCCTATTCACTCTCTCTTTCTTAACATTTTCTTTAATCACAATTGTCTATTTTTTGCTCATTTTAATATATTTTAACCACTTTCTAAATTCTTTTTATATTTTTACAGTTTTTGTTTTTGCGGATCTTGATTTTTATCTTGAGAGGCGCTATAGAAATATTTTCTTCTTCTTCATCATGTTTTTTTGGGGCTTCGCAGTGTGCTCGCTACGCTGCGTGTGTGTGTGGCGGCTGTGTGCGTAGGCAGATATTGAAGAATGCAAGATGGGAAGCGAGCCCATGTTTTCAAGCAGCGGATGGTAAACAACCTCTGGGTTCAACGGGTTTGAAACAGCTGGAAGAATTTGTTGAGGGGAGGCTCAGTGAGGCGTTCCAGCAGGAAAAGACCAACTCTAAAGGTTTTCACAACAAAACCCCGTTGTCAAATTAGTGTTCCTGTCCCAGAATTCCCAAAAATGTATGATCTCTGGGACCATAATTATATGCAAATAGGATTTAAGCCAAACACGAGAGGGAAAAATTAGCTTTACCTTCGGAGGACTGCCGTTCTCCTCAGGAGGAGTGGGCAGAGAAAGTGTCTTGTTGTTGGCGGGTGGGGGCTCCACATGGTAGTTGTTGTAGTTGCAGAAGCAGCAAAAGAAGGGGCTGAAAATACTCCGACTGCGGTGCTTCTTTAAGCTGCTGTTGGACTGGGAGACTGGAAGACACAACCACGCAGAGAGAGTTACAAAACCTTCTCCTCATATGGTGAGCGTGTCCTCACTTGAGCAGAAATCCAACACCAGAGGAATATCCCGTTACAACAAAGCATCACGAACAGGGACATAAGCACATCAACACTCAGATTTGTAGGATTGCTATTATTTACATATACTTTTTCCCATTTTTTATGTTAGCATTAAATCAAACACAGATTAATTATAAAGTCTCCATTTTTGACAAAGCTAATGCAAAAATGTGTGCTGATGCTCAAACTGAAAAACATTTTTAACACCATCAGGTGAAATCCTGCAGCAGAGGTTCATTTTTACTGTAACTAAGTAAATACTCGCAGAATTACAGCAAATACAAAAATCTAACTTTTGGATAAGAGAAAGCAAGATGAACAGAATAAACTCCCTGTAGGGATTAGAACAGTCCAAATATGTTTGGATATTTTACTATTGAGGTCTAAAATTTGCCCATATATTTATTTTGCTCATTCTGAGCTGAAAACAACCTCGTGTGTGTTTTTTGACAAATCAGGCGAGGTGTCTGTTATGCATTAAACAAATCAACTACCAGGCATCTTAGAGCATCATTTTTGGTGGTGTCCACAGCACATTTAGTTGGCTTGTTGAGTTGTAACTGGCAGCTGCAGGCTGCAAATTAGTGGTTTGCTTTCAGAACTTTTATAAGGCTAATGGAAACTCGGTCTGTACTTAGCTTGAGTTGGAGGTTTTTGGTTTGTTTTGACACTTGAACGTCTTTCGGAGTTCTAAGTTACAATTTTCCTTTTACAAACAGGCACGACACGAAATGTGAGAAAACACTCTTTATATTCAAGCTAGCATGCTGATATTGTGACAAGAAAGCTTTATTTGAATAGCGCCCTACACAGAATAAAATCTACTCAGCGCTTTGCAATAAAAATTGAAACGCTCTCTTGAAATCGTGTATCCATTCCTATCCGTAACATTGAACTCAATGTAACATTAGACTCTGGCATAATCTTGGTTAGCAAAACCACTCCACAGCCAGACCAGATATGTGGAGAGGTACACAGGCAGGGGCGCCTGATAGGGGTGGCCAGATGGGGCTAAATACATTTTTGGGGTGGTTCACCAAATTGGTCCTTGTGGTAACTCTGGGAGAGTTTAGCCTGTGGCGATGTATTGCATTGCTCCTTTATTCGTTTTTTATTTTTTTAAAAACAGTGCGTATCCAAAACATTTAACTTAAATTTTATAAACACAAACATTTCAGGAAAATACATTTCAGTTATTAAAATGTTATCCCAAATTTTATTTAAAAAATTTGTTTTTTAGATCAATTCACCTGTTGCTGTGTTCACAAAAAACTATGGAGATAAAAACTTTTTTAAATGGTGAGAAGCAGAAACATATGTATTATTTTCAAAAATTCTGATTATGTCTTTACTCATTAATTGTATTATTTTTATTTTGTTTTACAATTGTGTGTTGAATAAACATGATCAATATATGGTTTGACTGAACATTAATATGATTTATTAACACTTGCTTTTCCTGGGGGGGCAATTTTCTAGGGGTGGCCATGGCCACCCCTGGCCACCCCTTGGGGGCACCCTACCCTGCCTGTGGATGATCTAGTCTGGTTCAACCTCGATGGGTTCAACAAAGGGAAACCACATTTGTGGAAGAATTAAACAGACTCGAATAACCTTTGAATTTACCGATGGCGTAAATACAGAATGATGAGTTTAAAAATAACAGTAGAGCACAAGGAACTGATGAATGCATTAAAGAAAATCTAATAACAATCAATTAAACGGAAGATTAATGAGGAGCAGGTGTGCTGATTACGAGTAGCGAAAGGAGAGGGCAGCAAAGCAGGAAGTAAGTAAACAGAACAAACAATAATAAAGTAAAGCTCATAAAAGATCCATTTAAATTTGCTCAAGTGTAAGCTAGAGCAGAAACAAACATGACTATGAAGCAATTTTACTCAAGTTTCGCTGTAAAGCTTTTCTCTAACAGCTTGATGCCATTCTTTACTTCTCTATTTTCAGAAACTTTCCAGAATAACTGTCCCAACAAAGCAGGTGGGATTGAGAGACGGGGGAGAAGAAAAAGGGAGGTAGAGGGGGAGAGAGTGGGAGGGGAGAGTTACTGTGGTGAAGCAGCCTATACTTGGATCTGATTCTTACTCCACCCCCTCCCAAACCACCACCAACGCCACCCTTTTCCTTTCTCCCATGGACACAAACAACAGACTGCTGCTGCAGCCATGTGCAGAAACACAAGCATGTACACACATAGCATCCTGTGTTAGCCATACAACAAGGTCCGAAAGCGTCTGAAGTTAGCTAGCTAACGTCTAAAAGGGGATTTATCCAGAGAGGTGAGAGCTCTTCAGAGCAGGTGCACCTTATTTACCCCGCTGAGTCGAATTCAGCAGATCTCAGAGCTGTGAAAAGTGCCCTCAGGAGTCGGTGCCTGCATCATTCCTCGCACTCAACGTTGAGAAACAGAAAGACAGCAAGTCAATCAAAGTCATAGCTCCCATCACATGTTCAGACACAGCCGCTAACGAGGCCGGAAGAAGGAGGAAAGGCAGGAAATTCTCAGCATTCCTGGCATGAAGAGATAATCACCCCGTGACCCACAGGGTGGAATAATTCCATGTTTCAAGAATGCGACTTTAAATGTGGACTCTCTAACTCTCAAACAGTCACTTGTGGAGTTGAGTCAACGCCTGTGATCAAGTCCATGAGTTTTTATAATTGTCTAATTTATTCTTCTGAATACATGACCTACACATTCACAGACCATAGTTTACAAAGGGAATTTAATTTTTTTTAAATAAAAGGACAAAGTATGCACCTGTTCTATCACATTCTAACACGCCCCCAGCGCCATCTTGGAAGGTGAGCAGGTATAAATGAGAGGAGAGCGAGCCGTGATAGCAATGTGTTAGAAATATTATGCTTTAAGTTGAGAAAAAGACGAAGATCAGACGATATCCTATCTTGAAAGGTTAGCAAATATGCCAGGGATTAATATTTAGTTTAGTTTTTCTTTTTTCATTGGGGGGGGGGGGGGGGGGGGGCACAGCAGGCATCGGTACCTGTTTATTTCAGTGTCAAAAATTAAGCGTCAGACAACATCGGTATATCAGATATCCGTTAAAAAAGCTAATATGGAGCATCGCTAATTCAAATTGCAGAACAGCATGTGTATGATTGAGGGCGTAAGCAAATAACTTCTATCCGCAATCATAGCCAACTGGACAAGGAGGAGACTTACTCCTATTTCACACTGGAAGCATCAGCGGCGCGGAACATCAGCAGAACGTCACTGCTCCAAATATAATCCATTATAGTCTATGGGGGTGTTTCAAACCAGCCACGGTGGGTCAGTTTTTAGGTGAGTCCTCGAAGCAGCACTCCGCTGTGGATAGGATCACGTTCTATTTCCGGACATGTCGATTTCCGCAGTTAACATAAGGCTAGACAGAAAATCACACAGAGTATCAGTGTAAAGCCCCAGGTAATTTTCTAAATAAAAGTATTGCAGTGATGCGATTTCACACACACACACACACACACACACACACACACACACACACACACACACACACACACATATATATATATATATATATATATATATATATATGTAGCTTAGGTGTGGCCTAACGGCTTAATCGCGGCCTGCATCGTTCCAGAAGTGCAGGGTGTGCTTTTCATGGCTTTAATCCTGTCAGTGGAGAGGGACTACATCAATAATATCAAACGTGGTTTACTTCTTCTTGATTTAAAGGCAGATTGCATAAACAAATCGTGACATTTGAAGTCTCATTCTGCGCTGCTGATGCTTCCAGTGTGAATTAGGGGTTTAGGCTCCTTATGGAGTCGTACAACTTCAGGGCTGACGGTTGGAGACCCGACGTACCACTCCCGCCAACTTCTTCTCTAGATATCACCAAGTATCTGGTTCACGCAATGGTAAAATCACACTATTATGATTTTATTATGATTTTTGAGGTGTTTCATTTCACATTTGCAAAGAAGTAGAAATAAAGCAGAAATGTGGAGTTTTCAGTTGGAGGGCACCATCTAGAGGTAGAAAAATGTATCGCACCGTAAGTCCCTCCCCCCCATTCCCATGATTACAGCTGAAGGAAATGCCTCTCATTCGTTAAAGTACACCTTTAGCTGGCCAACTGATCTAATACACATACAGTAGTTTTACAATTATTATTTTCACATTATGCTGTTTATTCATTTATCTAATATTAAATACTTACTTGTCCATAAAAAATGTCACCAACTCTACTTAAATCTGTACCTCTGCAACAGTGCATGCACACACTGTTGTGACCTGGCCTTTTGACCTTTTTATGGAAGGGCAATACAATTATAGGGACTAAAAATGGGTTCTACCAAATGTTCGACCAGCCAGTTTAATAAGTAAAAATGAACACTGCATAAATTTCAAGTATCCTAACTTCATTAAATTGCAGTTAACGCTTGTCGGACTGAGCTTAAACGCCTCTCTAATAGCACTTAGTTGACCATTCAGGCAAGTAAAGTGAGTGGTTCCCGGGGGGGGGGGGGGGGGGGGGGGGGGGCTGAGGTAAACGTGAGAACCGTCTTTGTGAACGTAGATCTTCAATAATTCAGATGGAAAAAAGGCTGGTTTAAAATGGGACAGCCCAAGTGTTTTACAGCCAGGGATTTCTCTTCTGCAGTCCATAGCACTTGAACAACAACAAGACGATGTTGAATCCGTGCCATCACCTCAGGCGGCGAGCACCATTTCACCGAATGTTTGGCGCCTCCCTTCTCCGAGAATCTGAGTCGTGTTTGCATTGAAAGTGGAACCAGCTGTTTGTGGCCTTATGTAACAACGTGTGAGATAAAATACGTTCTCTGCAGCAGTCAAAATGACGAGCAAACGTGCACACACACATGCACACACAGCATTCGCCTTCAGCTTTGTTTCTGATCCACTG